CAAGTGTTGACAAACCAGGTGCTGCTCTAATATGTCATTACGCACAGAGAACAAAAACACACATTTAGTTGAGGCACTTATGAAAAATGAGATAACAGCCAAAAGAATAAATGTTAACGTCTTTAAAGTTTTGACTATATTGCTTTTAAAGGTTTTGAATTACACTATACTTAGAAGCTGGAAATAATTTACATTTCAGCAATGGTGAGGAATTCACTGGAGGGCAGTGTTCAGAGTTAATGACTTGTTCTGCAGCGGGAAGAGGCACACATGCGCACACACCACACATGCATAGTGCCCCCCCTACCTCTAAAATTCCTGCCATTGTTGTCTGAATAGGGAGATTTGCTATATTACACAGGCAGGGCCAGACAACACAACAGTGTGGATATTTTATTATGGCCAGTGGAAAAATGTGCCATAGCAGATTCACACTGTAGTCATTGAGCATGACGACCTTATCCGTCCAAATGCCACTCGCATATCTAAGCCACTTACACTTAACTCAACTAGCATCCCAGATGCCTAAATTACCCATTCAGGGTTTTTCCCTGAGGAAAAATCAAAGAAGCAGCAAATGAATACAATCTAATTTCCCTACAAGCTGGCTTTCCAAGCACTGAAACACATGCATGGACCGCTGCCATGTACTGAAGAAATGGCTTTGGATGAATGCCAAAGTGTTTTCCACAGCAATCAATAGTGGCTAGTGCTGCAGTCCCAGCCTGTCAGGGCTGTATGTTTGAAAGGGCCAGGATAGAGGAGAGGTCATCTCAAACCTAAGGTGATAACAGCATGTTAATACCATAGAATGTACATTTACTTTGTGCACTTGTGATATCCCATTAAGAACCTCGTGCTATATTTGCACTGAAGTGGGATATATACTACATAAAAGATAAGCATATGCAATTAGTCGCCTGCAGCACATTGTACAAGGGGTTGTTTCAGTGCCTCTATGAGCTGTTATCTTCCAGCAGTACTCCTGAAATAGGGAGTCCAAACACAAAGTATTAAAGTCGGCAAGCCATAGCACAAAGAGAGAGAGAGAAAGAGAAATGTTGTGTCACTCGGAGAGAGAGGTTTAAAACACATGTGACTGTTTAGTTGGTGGCAGTTTGCAGCAGACAAATAGAGCAGAGGCCCCTGTAGAGGGTCTGTCATATAGTGCATGACCATCTTAGTATCAAGAGAAATCCATGGTAAAGTGGATGGACTGCATCATTTAATAAATAAATATATTATATATTGATTATTGAGAATATGAAGTCTCAATATTAATATTAACTAATAATCATGGAATTCAGTTTTTTTCATAGGTTTGAATTTATTCTGACCCTTTATGGTATGTCATTGAAACATTGTCAAAACTAAATCACAAGATAATTGAGTAATAGCAGCAGAGCATTATTGTGTTTTAATGTCAGGCAAATAAAACATAAAAAGCAACACTAATGCCAAGTGTGCCAATGAGAAGGGAAAACCATCATAATATAGTTAAAAGTTTAGACATCTTGAATCAATATGAGTACCCGTATATCATTTTGAGTACTTGCTGAGCCTGAGAGTGAGTACTGACAATATTGTCCAGAGCTTGTAACCGTAAAATACAGCTATTGACGTTGCTATCTACAGTAGCGTCCTTTACACATTGAGCAAAATAGAAACTTTAGAAACTTCATCACAACAAGGTCAGGTTTGAAAGGTGCACAAAGGGAAAAAAATTGAGGACTTGTGTTATTTAAGTTCAGAGCACATTATTTAGCAACGACATCTTACCAGTAACTTGTCAAATGAAGGGACACTAATGGTGGACGCAAGTATGTGACATCAACATTGGGCATTTAGTGAGTATATCAATATCAATAAACATTTTAGGTACTGGTATTTTTATAGTTTTAAACAGGATCTTTTGTTAGTTAATTTATTAGCTATAGCTACTGTCTCGCTGATTTGCACATAATTGCAATATAATATTGATTCTGTTGCTAACTACATTGTAGTTACACACAGAATCAACAGTTATGATTTATGACTTGAGGATTCAAGATTAAAGGGGATTGACCTGTGACCAAAGACTAAAGCGAGGTCATGGGTTGGTGTCTTCAGCAAACATAGCAGAAACACTGGAGGCTAGCTGTCACACAAATACCTTAGAAATAACCAGGAAATTACATCATACCTCAGCTCTGCCGAGTAAATCAGTCATCTAATTCAGCTCAATACCCCCATCTCAACTCTATGTCGGCTTCAGACTTGAGATATCATTTGATATATACATTTACACTCACAAAAATGTGTTTTGAATTCTCAAATGGCAGATCAGAAAACCTCCCTCAGTGTGTTAAGGATATTTCTGTACAAATAGTAAATATATTCTGTTTTTTGTTCCACTATATCTGCAGCTGGGACGGACAGACAGCAGTCTAAACAGCAGCACAGAGTGTTGTCACAATTTAAATAATCAATACTCATCTCATCTTGATACCATTTTCAATACAACAACAATTACATGTAAATCTCTTTTTGGACAATAAACTAATTCAAGATAACAGTCTCTGATATAGTTTAAATTTAACTAAAACAATGCTTACACAAATAGAACAAAATGTCAAATTTATTTGGTTCCTATACTTACTCAAATTAGTTTCATTGAAAAATCTACCCATTATGGTAATTCAATGAAGTCCTCTTTAATAATATAAAGTGCCGGAGTAATTATGAGTTTTTCTGCCGTCACAATGAATTTATTGTAATTTCATAATAATATTGAATTGTTACTGAGAGGCGCTCTACTCACTGCTAAATTATATTGGGTATAACTCGGGATTCTCCCTGTATCTGGGTGGGTCTCATCCATCAAAGCCTAAAACATGCTCAATAGATAAACGCCTCCAGTTAAAGTTGCCTGGACCATGCTGAGCTCGAGATCTGGAGATGAGTGCACACTGTAACAAATTTCTGTAAAATTACAATGAAATTTCAACATTAAACAAATGTTATTTTCAAAAACAATTCAAACATGCAAATTTAAGTATAAATTGGTTAAAAAACATCCAGTGGCGTTTTATAACCACAATTATAATGTGATTACAAAAAATGTTACAATACCATAAAATCACAATGTGATTACCGTAATTTAACATCAATCATGAGTGTAAGAGGTGTACACTCCTGCTTTTGTTAAAATTATGCTTTTGCGTTAAGCATGTTATAAAAGTAAAGATTTCAACTCTTTTCTTGTATAAACTGGAGATGTTAAAAAATAATTTAAAAGTTGTGTTCATTAAAGGAAAACCGAATTAAACTGTGTAGTTTTTTGTTCAATGAAACGAATTAGAAACAGAAACAGTCATATGGTGTAAAATAATATTATAATGCTTTTTTTGATGTATGTGAATGAACAGGAACATACAGTTAAATCCTGAAATCACAAAGACATAATGTGATTTAGTGAAACAGTCTTTAACCATTAAAATTAGCAACGGTAATGCCATGTTGAGAAAACGGTAAGTCCCTGGAACCATATTTGCCAGATTTTTACCGTTTTTCAACAAGGAAATTCTTTACAGTGCAGTACTGCTCAAGTTGTTTCAACGCCATTGAAGCATGGATCAAATCTTAACCATTATTGTTACATCTGACTTTTTCCATAATACTCTAGCTTGTAAACATTGTTTCCGTGCCTGCACTGGAACTGAACCAAATCACTGTATTATTCATGAGAGAAAAGCTTGTGTTCTTCAGAGTGACATTAAACACAATGTAAAGCAGGTGATTTATCTTGTACATTGTGTGCTGCACCTATAAAATTAGATTTGCACTGCGGTTCAGCCATTTTGGTTGTTAATAAAATCTTTTTCAAAATATTCCCAATGGTTTGGAATGTATTACCTTTGCCATGCAAATAAGTCTTTGGGAAAGAGGCGACGCTGACAGTCATTGCGCAAGTGTGGCCACGGAATCAGAAATGTGGGCACTTAAAGTAATTACAAAATAATTGCTGCGTGTTAAAGGCTAAAGTGAGAGGCTTCATGAGATGATAACGGCTCATACAGAACTTCAGTGAACATTGTGGCTTAAAGGGCAATAAATACCCACCTTTCTGATGAAAGAGAAATGTGATAGCCATTATTACTCAAGAGGAAAGAATGTAAGTAAACCATCAGCGGAAGACTCGAGTACAAACACGGCTTTGTCCTTGCCTAAACAATATTAAAGGCAGCACAGCACATGTATGGATCAAGCACAAACCGTGGAAACTGTCTGTACAGATATTAGACAGATACGCAAGCACATTATTTGTTTTTACGGTCAGTGCGTAAAACTGTCCCTAATAAAGTGTTACAGCATTCATTCAGTGCGGTGAAGTAACCGGATCACAAGCGCCGCATATGGCCACAGTCAATCATAACTATTGCCTTTTTGTGCCAACAAACAAAGTAATGTAACACGGGAAGGCGGGAAGTAGCCCACTACCTCAACAATAACACATTGTCAAGAGTGAAAATGTCCACATGGAAAATTATGCAAAGCGCAATCGAAACATGTCGAGCTCATGCCCTGATTGTGCTTTTTATGAGTCGCTATTTCAACATCATCAACATCTAATGCAAAGTGATCAGTCTAACATGGAACTGATGCATGTAACTAAAGTCATTCGCATTTCACATTGTTCATTCATTCATTTTCGCAATATCAGCTATAAAAGGCAATCTCTCGACTACTTGACACGCTTGTCGTCATCTATATGGCATTACCTTGTCCTGTTATATTACTTAGTGAACATTCCCAACATTGAGCAATGAATGGAATAAGCACATTCAGCAATTGGCACAGGGTAAACCAATCCAGCAAAAAACTGTGCTCTGTAGTATTTTGAGACCTCAGATAGCACATCAGCGCTTGTTATAATGGCTGTAAACGCTGCCAACCCTTAATGCAGTAAAGATGCCGTTAAAATAATGGGCTTGCCAACAGGGCTACAATAACAATATTACCTCTCCGTGTGTGACTGTCTTTCCCAGGGGAGTATCCTCTGGTAGAAAATAAAGTTTGGAGCTTGATAAAAGTTGCTTGCTTGTTCTTTCTTCCCACAGCAGTTGGAGCTCCGCTATGCAAATAGGTTCCTCAGGTTTACATCTGACGAGGAAAAAGTCACCTAGAGACAGAATCCTCGTTTTGGCTTCCTGGTGAAATTTAAAGGCTTTATAAAAAATGTATGGTCCATGTAAGCCGCAAGACGAGCCCACCCACTGTTGAGAAAACAAACAAGTTTTATTAGCCTGTATTCATCAATGGGTTGAGCAACAGCATGCTTTAAAATACAACAAACATCAGTACAATTGTGTATGGTTAATGACAGCGGTTGTAATAACACGCTAGCTAATAACCACGTTACTAGCACGCTGCACGCAATTAGCAGAGTGTAACTATTTTAAGACAAACAAGACAGATGTGGTCATATAGCGAAACTTTTGAATCAAGCAGGGTAGTCAAATAACAGTGTAAATGTCCAAAAGCGCATGCAAATACGAGAAAACATGAAGCAGGCGCTACCTTCAGTGAGTTCGGCTCCATCTCGACGTTATGAATTGATTAAACTCAACACGCTCTCCAAACTTGCTGGCTTGAATGGATTGCCGAAGGTCCTGGAAGGTAACTCTAGCGGTGGACTTTAAACGCGGCTGAATGAGGCATGCAAACAAAATGAGTTATTTAGCAAAATATGCCAAACAAAAATGATCATTCCATGTGTAAATATAATTGTGAGACTAGAGGCGCAGATTTTGTTGCGCACGCTATACTAATCATAGAGAATTACGCACCCGACATGTCCTAAATTAATTGTAAATGCATCTGATAAAAAATCGGGATTTAATACGGAATTTTATGTATATGTTGTAAGAGCATAATGATTCATTATAAGCATAGGATGATTGAGTTTAGCGACAAAATTTAGACACGTTGCTTTTTAATTTTGTGTATCTTCCAGGACTTGAGCAAAGACGTTGAGTATGAAAGCACATTTCTCACAGTAATGACACTGAGGCTTTGGATGCGTTCAAGAACAATGTTACATCAATGTTGATATGATTAAATTATTTCTTCAAAGGTAATTTTTGAGCCATGATAAACCAAGGGGGATTATATAAATGTAAGACATATGGCATATCTATTGTCTATTTTGGCTATAGCTATATTTAAAGGAAAAAACAAACAAAACATTTTTTTTTTTATCCCAAAATCGATTTTGACCTCAATGATTCATGTTGCTATCATGTGTGTAGCCCGTACTGACATTGATGGGGGAAGTTTATTATTGATCTTGTTCAAAATATTGTATAGCTCTTATTTTTAGACTATGAGCTATTAGGGGGGTGGAAGCGTGCATTAAGATAGCTAACTACAAACAGTCACGACATTATTCTCATATTTCATAGCGTCACATCTTGGTGCGTCAGCTTGATTGTAATATAGTTATTTGTTTTTATTTATTTGTCATGTTTAAAAAAAATAATAATAATCAGAGTCTCCACAGGGTTGTGCTGTTGTCCCACTGCGCAGCACTCGTTTTTTACACTTTGATCCAACAGCTCTCCAGATCCAAGCATGTAACGGCACAGTCCTACTTCTGACATCAGCTATTTAAAGTGCATGATTACGCAATGCGCCTTTTCCCTTCAGCAGAGCATAGGCGCATTGATTCACATCCAGTAAAACGTTCTCCTGTCTAACTATAAATGTTCCAATCATTTCTCTGCTGTCCTGAAGGGAAATATTGTCAATTAGCCCTATGAATTCGCCACAACTTTGACCATGACTATTATTTACTTTGACCATGGGCATGTTAGGCTGTTTTAGAGCATACAGTCTGACTTCATGATTAATCTTTATAGGAATAGATTTGAGAATCGTAATTGTCATCTTTGAAATGATAATATTCATCCTAATATCTAAAAAGATGTTTTAAATAAATTAGTCATTTCAACCTTTTTGCCACTATCACTAGCTGTCGCTGTGCTGCCATGAAACACATTAAGCAGAGGTTTAGTGGCACTGGTAGTAAACAGTGTATTACACAGGACTCATTGTCCAACATGGCTGTAGCAGAGTACAGGCTCCTGCAGGGAATACACTAACTACTAATGTTATCATTGCAGATTTCTCTCACAGCCGTTCACATTCTAAATCAATGGGCTTGCATTGTTTATAGCAGTCTCCATAATGAAGTCCCTGGCCTAATCAATGGTGTCTCTCTACTTCTTATCTGGCAGTGACAAGTGTGTTGCTTGTCAACAGGAAGAGTCCATCAGCAATTGCAACAACATTGATGCATTGATTCAGATGTTGATAACAAAGACAAAAGTTAAGAATTTACAATACCATTGATTCTGAATAACATTAAATGTGCACTCACAAGAGTAATTATTTGTATAGCAAGCTTAGCATAGCTTTCCACTAACAGAGACATGTGCGTTCAACATAGTGTTGAATCTTTGAATTTGTCTTGCATTTGAAATCTGTTTATCTGTTTATGTGGGAATTACAAATTTACTACAATTGTAACTTTTTCTGCCATGTCAGTTGGACCCTGTGTTTGCGTCATTGTTTGAGTTTCCATTACTTGATACGCAATTTAAACAACTGTCCAAAGGGTGTGTCTGATTCCCTTGCTTTGAAGCATATAAAATAAATATAGTACACTTTTTCTTTTCCCAGTAAAGGTGTTCCACACAAGGCTGCCGCAGTGGGGAGCCACAATAAGTTGCAAAATGAGATCAGAGGTCATGTTTCAACCATTGCCAATTTGTACACTGCCCTCATTAAAGTAGAATACGCCATTATTATTCCATATGTTGGTGTTCAAATGCTATAATAGGATTTTATAAGACTATGGGTCGAAACAATTTGTTTTCCTCCAGATGACAAAGTGACAACTTGATGATATTGGAGAGGATTTTATCACCAGTATGTGTAATAGTAGAAGGGTTTGTTGATGTCACTATACGTCACAGTAGAACCGGAAGTTGTAAAAAGGCGCGCACACACACACACATACACATATATTTAATTGTATAAACGTATACATTGTAAACCTAGTGGATCAACATAAATTTCAAATTCAAATGTTTTTTTTTTAAAGTTTAATACCTAAAACACATTTTATCCTGCGGACTAAAACAATCCATACGCAGTGTGATGATTATAAATTAATAACGCCGTGAATTGGCTTTGCGTGTCTAGAAAAGCATTTCTATAAAATGGATGCATTATTATTATTAAAATGCCCCATATAAAACCAATGCAATATCATGATAATTATTATTTTTTCCTTTATACACTTAACATGTGTTTTACCATCCGTGGAAAGGGAACCATAATAGGGAACACACACCTTTATATAGTAAGTTGGCACCTGGCTCTTTTGTGCTGCTGTAATCACATCACAATAGCCCCGTCTACAGGATGTCTTTAGGAAAGGTAAAAGGAGCCTGGAGAAATGTCGGCGAGCTAATTTTAGCCTTACAGTCATTATAACCCAGTATCACATCTCGCTCCAACATTAGACAATGCCTGCTCTGATTCCAATTATTATATTGAATTAATTACTCATAATTTATGTTGCTAATGCCAAACAGTTCACTATTGAAAGAACATTATTGCTGACAATAACTGACCCAATGAAATATCTGTGATGCTTTATGCTTTAAGAAGAACCACATGCAGTGAACTGTGTGTAATTACTGCGCAAAGCCCAACTGATACACTACTCTAAATGATGCAGTCTTCTGTTGTGCTTTGATCTAACCTTATTTTATTTGTTGATGGGAGAAATGTGCAGTTAACATATGTTTAATGTACATATCATTTAAATGGCAGGTCTCTAATTGTCAGTTCTTGATTCATTACATAGTATTTTCTATCATTTCAATTTGAACGTTGAAGATTTTTAAACACCTTCCTAAATTGTAGATGGTAATTTTATCTCTAGCACAGTCTCATTGATTTGAACTATCTTGGAAACATAAATCTGTATCAACAGATAATGAGAAGTGAGTCATTCTATTAAGTGGGCTGATGTAACCATGTAGCCTGCCAATGTGAGTATTGAGTATATACAAGTACTCACATAACGGTGGGGTTTAGGCTATTACTGCGGCAGCAAATGTAAATTTGGCTCATTGATAGAGTGCGTGGCGCTGAATGAGAAATGTGAAAAGCACAGACTAAATAGGCTGCTTCATAGTCTTTCCATCTGCATACACATCAGCTCAGTCACAAACAGAGACCAGAGCTGCATTTTATATCTCCCATCTGAAACCGGGATTAGGGCCATGAATAATACATGTATGTAAATGTTGAATTCATATAACAATAAAAGATTTGAGTGATTGAGAAGACATTTTGTTAGACTGATTTAATGTCACCTCAGTAATAAATATGTCCTCTGCTCAGATGGGGAAAGAACAACTAGACATTTTTAAATTTGAAGATTTAATGATGTCACCTCTTGGTAACAGCCAGTGGTTATCACTGACAACTACACCGAACCCCAGTGATACATTTGCCTTATATCTAATACATAAATACAATACAATAGTTCTCTGTCAAACTCTGAATGATCCCAAAACAGATAAATGTCAGTAGACATCTATGATCAGACTGCGCAGGGGCTTATCACCCTCTATCTGCATCACCATTACTGCATTATGTATACGTCAAATAACAATAACAATGTAGCCATTATGCATTGACCCCATAAACGACGTCTAAATATAGCGTGTGTGCAATACTGTGGTAATATGTGAAAAATCTCTGCAGATGTCTGTCAGTTTTAGTAAGAACTGTTTTTGTTTGTTTTGTAACCAACTAGGATCAGAGCATAGTCAGCGCACTGTCTGAAAGTGCTTCATGATGGAAGATTAAGGAGGTGTTAGTGCTATAGTTTCTTTTTTACAGAAATAACAAATAAATCTATAAAAAATATGTGGATTGTGGAATATGTTGATTGATTTATAAATCATACATTTTATATATTTTATATTATTTATTGTTTAATTTAATTTTTCTATTTGTGTATACTGGAATGTATATATGTCTGTAATAGCAGCATTTTTAAACATATTGGAATTATTTATGCATTCCATTTGTAAATAAAGTGTTTACTGAAGTGCAGTGTAGTGAAGGTGTGAGATAGTATATGCATTTCAATGTGGAAATGTCTAAATATTTGTTTAAGATGGTGTTTTTATAACCATCTTACCATTTTATTTGTATAATTAGTATGTATTATGTATGGAAAGGTTCAACCAGGGACAGGAGTTGAGAACTATATTTGCTATAACACTGTATGAATGCATTGTCCCCATCAAATATATATGTTGTGTAAGCTAATGTAGTCAGAAAACAGTACTGTACTTAGACCTATAAGATAAGATAATAGAATCATTTTCTGCTCCACTGTGGGAAAGTGTCAATGTCAGATGCACATTACAGGGAAGTTTAACATGCAATAAAAAGAGCACTCAAACCAAATCATGTTGATGATAATAAAAACACTAACATGATAAATGGCTATACATATGCTTTACATCCCATCAAAGCCATTCTTGGCTTTCATGGGTGGACTCCACAGACAATTCCAATGCTAAGTAAAAAACAATACTGCAAAATGGCATTACGACACTCCGCAGGACTACAGGTGAAATGTTTTGTGGACATGTGAAACCAAAATTGAATTGTTTGGGAGGAACACAGGAAAATTGAACATCAAAACCTCATCTACAGCGTGAAGCATTGCGGAGAGAGTATCACCGTTTGGAGCTGTTTTGCTGCCTCAGGGCCGGGTCAACTGTGTTCAAAAGTTTATCAGGATATTTTGCAGGAAAACTAGAGGTGATCTATCAGACAGTTGAAGCTCAAAAGGATGGACCATGATCCAATACACACAAGTCAATCAACTTCAGAATGGTTTGAGTCCTGACTTGAACCTCATTGAGATGCCGTGAAGACCCCACAGCGATTCATGCCAGACATCCCAGGAATCTGACTGAACTGCAGCAGTTTTGTAAAGAGGAATGGTCAAAAATTGAACCTCATCAATCAATCAGATTTTATTTATAAAGCATACAAAAAAAGGAATGCAAAGTGCTTTACAGTTTGGTTCAAAACAATCCCACATACCCAACAAATAACTGTCCCAACTTAAAGCTAGAATACATAACTTTGAACGCACAAAAAATAGCTATGTAATATAAATCCATGTAACGAGTTCCAAAAACTGTTTGGTTTCTGTCACATCTTTAGATCATCCCTCACTTAGCCGATCAGCTCTCAGAATGTAGATAACATGTTTTCTCATAAGATTCTCAGACTCTCTCTGTCAGGACAAACCAAATGTATTAATGAAACAAAGGCTTTAATGTTCACATTGTAGATTTTAAATGAATTGCTTAATTAGTGACGCATATGACTGCCAAAAACTGTAAAACAACCACATTAATCTGTTCAAGGCTTTCCTAATGGCTGGATATTAATAATTTTACAAGCCATTTTGGCCTTGAAGTTGCTATGGTGACAAAGGGATATTTTGAGACGTCTAATGACCTATGCAAAACCCACTTGCTGTAAACTTGTGTAAATGAGATTGCTGTCTGCCTGGTAATACATGGTTTATAGAGTCTAATCCCTGAGCTACGCCTGGCCTTTTCTGTGCAGAACAAATTAGGTTATTCATATCAATGTAAGACATCTCTGGCCTGTTTACAGCAAAAGAATTTGAACCAAACAGCCACCAGAGAACCACAACTACACACAATGTACTTGTGTACTAAGATTGTTGATATAGAATTAGTGACAGTTGCCAAAGTTTAGGTCGCCGCAGTCCAGGGAGTGAAACTGTGTGTCTAAATCTTTTCTTCATTTTGGGCTCATGTCAGAGATTCCACACTGAGAGAGAAGCAGTGAAGACCCAGTTTGTTCAGAGGAAAAAACATGTTAGTCCAACAGGCTGTCATGTAAGGAATTTTCTTTATTTTTACTGCTAAATTTCACAATACAATATCCAACTTGTAACTCTGTGAAGCTGGATCAGAATATTTGCTATGAGGTGTACACCAGGTTTATCTTTTGAGCAAATAACCCATGTATTATTTGTAAGGGTAGTGTCTTGAAACAGCTCACATGATTTGGTAATACTGCATCTCTATTAGACAAGTCTTTGTATCATCAGTGGATCAAGATTGCCTCAATAAATCAATAAAGACATTGATTTCAGAATGTGTACAACAATTACAGAACAAAATAACAGACGCTTCCAAAACCCCCTCGCCCATTCCACACGAGAGACAAGACAATCTGGAAACAAACGTCAAAAAGCAATTCAGAAGAATAGTAACACAATTCAGTACAACACAACACACACCCACAAACACGGACCCATATACTGAAAAGCTGAAGAAACAAGCCAACATTGTAGTAGTAATTTTGTAAGTAGTAACTAGTTAATCGTTTTACTTTTTGTAACTATACAGTTGTGCATATGGATGGTGTGTGCATGTGTGTGTGTTTGTATGTGTGTGTGTGTGTGTGTGTGTGTGTGTGTTGTAATCATACAGTCATTCATATGGAGGGTGTGTGCCTGTTTGTGTGTGTGTTTGTATGTGTGTGTGTGTGTGTGTTTTTACAAAAATATACTGTAGTTTATAGGCGAGGAAACCCAAAATAGTACATGAATCAAATTTACACACCGCAAATTGTGTTTCAATGTAAGAAAATCTAAACAATTCCCAACACATCCGTGCAGTTTCCATTGTGCTCTTCAGTATTTTTTATGGTAATATATACTTACATTTACATTTCTATGGCAAGGATATACTTTCAATTTGATCATTTAAGAGTTCTTGTTTTCATAACATAATTCACATCATATAGACATTATAAAGACATTTTAAAAAATCAGCGACATATGTGTGATAGTGCTGCTTTGTACTTTTTCGTTTTGGACAGCAAAACACACACTACAATAGAAACCTATGAGTTGTTTATTTCATTGATGTGGGCCAGTGGATTTGAGAAGTCTGGCTTTAGCACTTAAACGCCAAAAACAGACAACCACAGGGCATCTGGCACTTTATTAGTGGCAGTTCCTAAAAATATTGTGGTGATTTCACTAGGGAAAATGAGGGCGATAGACAATTGCAAACAAAGGCAGGAAGGTCACTGGACAGAGTTTCCTGGGGTCTACATGGGCAGTGATTTGTGATAAAAATAAGATGTGTGTAACCAAGTAGGCCAAGTCATATCTTTTGTGCTTTGTGAATTATTTGGATAATTTTGGATGTAGACACATTAACATAACAATATAGCTGGGTTAGGGTAAAATTGTTGTTGGCATATCAAAAAAGTTATATGACAACGTGATAATAACAATAAGTAACAACTACATTGATATATATATATATATATATACTAAAACTCCACCCGATTGGATGGAATTTACACAAATGTTGTGTGTTTTGGGAGGTAACTGGAGCACTGGAATTCCTCAAAGATATTGGATATGGAAATGCTGCCCTCTTCTGTGCGGTCTCAGGAAAAGTGTTACTTCAGTGTCCACATTATGTCCTATTAAATTATGATACAAATCATAGCATTTGGACGTTAAACGCAGAATATCAGGACAAAGCACCGCTTGTGCAGCAGGCTCTCCATAACGACTCCCCGACCCTGCGTGGTGCGCTCGTGGGCGGAGCGTCACGTTTTGGGGACTTTGTTCGAAAGTTTGGCCCAGACAGAAGCGCTGTCGGCTGACTCTGCAGTACCACAACCCAGACTTTTGGTGAAAATGACTTTTTTGAAGTTTATGTGTGCAATCGTCACTAGGACCATGTTTGTCCTCGTGTCGCTCACCGGGGTCTGGAGAGTGGCCTGGGTTAAAAATGACAAAACATACTGGCTTCTCACTTTTCTATTCCTTCCATTAGTTATTGAAATGATTATTACGCTTGAGAGGAGAAATGGAAAGGACTACAAATGGTAAGTGTGGATGCATACTATTAATTGTTATTGCAATTGTCCAAATGCACAAGAGAGACTTTATTATACAAAAATAATGCGTATTATTTGGGTGGAGTTCACTATGGTTCTGTTCTTTTTCCCTGCACATCCTGATTCCTTCCTGCTACATTGTTAAAAAGTCGAGTGACAGTGATAGGGTTGGGGTGGTGAGCTTCGAGATATATATTCTATCTCATACAGCAATAAACTGCTTCATTTTTCATGACTAAAGCTTCACCTGAAAACAGTGATAAAAATCCGTCATATCACTAGTGGTCTGTAAATAAAAGACACTTATTGGGAGCAACATAGCTGTGCAGATTGTTTTCACTGTTTTCACGTTTTGCACTTTTTAATCCAGCACGCTATTCCAGACCACAGGGATGTGCGGCTTTATTTGAAACCTTTAAATCTTCACCTGACACATTCAGAGCCCGGCAAATGTGTGTTGTAAATATATTTGTTTTAATCTCTAAACTGGTTTATTTTCAAACTGCAGGTTTTCTGCACCTATTTTCCTGTTTCTCATCAGTATCATTCCATCAATTTGGTTATTAGAGTTGCACCACCAGCAGAACAAAGCTACTGCTTCAGAGGTAACCATATATCATATTATTCACTTACACAATACTGATACTATGAAGTTTTCAAACAAGTTTAAACCTGCATGTGTTATTTAGTGCAGATCTCTTGACTCATGGGAGAATGTGCATCGAATGATTCCCATCAATAACAATAATAACACTGTGAACCTCACACAAGATTTCCTTAAGGTAGGTGACCTTATCATTAAGTATCCTATATGTTATGTATTTATGTAGCACTTTTCTTGTCACTTTACCTTATGTCACTTTACTTATCTACTTATTATCCTGCACTATTTAACTGTACAGTATATAACTGCACTACTACAGCATCTACAGCTAGTTATGTTAGCTACGAAACATAGCTACTACTTATTTGTATATATTGTGTGTGCTCCCTGTGTGCTCTTACTCCTGTCCTATATGTGCAACATCAAAATTTCCCCTTTGTGGGACTTTTAAAGGAATTCTTATCTTATCTTATCATTATCTTTTCACATACAGTCACAAAGTCACTTTAGAAGTTAGTATAACAGATTAGAATGATGTTTACCTTGTCACACAAAGTATGTCACAAAATATTTAACTAACCTGGGGCGTCAGCAGAAAACATGATCCATCGAGAGACAAGGATTCACCTGGATAAAGCCAAAACAATGAATAAAGTAAAACTGAATATAGTAAAGTGTCAATTAAAGTATCTGGACTTTAAAAGGTTATAACTCAAAAACTAAAATTACTATCATAGATTGTTAAAAAGATTTCAAACACAGACAGATCGAAGAGATAGTGTGGATAAAATCAAAAGGAAAGATTGACAAATATATTTTTGGCGACATTTTAAACAACTAAATCAGCCTCTGATTTGACCATTCTACTGTGACGCCAATTAAATGTGCAACGGATGTGATGGTTTCCGTCCATTTTTTTCCTAACAATTAAACAATTGTAAACAATTAAAATCAGACTTTGCATGAGCAAACATCGGTCATTTACTTTGAATAATAGCGCCCCCTACAAATATTTCTTTTTCGTCTTATACCAAAGACATCCAAATAATTCATTTGTTGCCAGAAAAATAATAATAATAAAAGAATAAGGTAAGTTTTTGCGCATGCTCAGTGGGTCAAATACTGTATGAGATCAAACAGCAGAAAAACTACATGCGCTGTGTCCCGTATGTAAAAGTTTTACTCAGCCTGTAGGGGGCGCTAATGAGACAATGTAATTGTTCACACTTTCAGGCGACCTAGGCCCAGGAGTTGAACAACCGAGTCAAGTGCAAATCAGGCTTAGTAAATGCCATTCTCACCCATGTAAAACTTGACTCAGTCTGTAGGGGGCGTTAATTCTGCAATGTAATGTTTTACACTTTCAGTTTACCCAAACCCAAAAGTTGAACAACTGATTAAAATTTGGTGCAATTCGGACTTGGTTTGTGCAAAAGGGAGATGTGTTTCTATCGTTAACATTTTGCTGCTCTGCTGCTCAAACAACGTTTCACTGATCAAAAAGTCATTTTGATGGTACATGTGTTGAGATGATGTGGAGCGCTTTTTGGCCAAATCTGTGAAACGGAGCGGCCGAGGGTGGTTTGATGTCTGTGCGAGGTGTACATTTGCCATAGACAATGAATGGGGAGCGTTTGTCGTCGCCACGGCAACAGGGTAAAACATAAGATGTACAGTGCCTTGCGAAAGTATTTGGCCCCCTTGAACCTTTCAATATTTGGCCACATTTCAGGCTTCAAACATACAGATATAAAAATTAAATTTTTTGTCAAGAATCAACAACGGAGTGGGACACAATCGTGAAGTGGAACAAAATTTATTGGACAATTTAAACTTTTTTAACAAATAAAAAACTGAAAAGTGGGGGCGTGCAATATTATTCGGCCCCCTTGCGCTAATACTTTGTAGCGCCACCTTTTGCTGCAATTATAGCTGCAAGTCGCTTGGGGTATGTCTCTATCAGTTTTGCACTTTGAGAGACTGGAATTCTTTCCCATTCTTCCTTGCAAAACAGCTTGAGCTCAGTGAGGTTGGATGGAGAACGTTTGTGAACAGCAGTCTTCAGCTCTTTCCACAGATTCTTGATTGGATTCAGGTCTGGACTTTGACTTGGCCATTCTAACACCTGGATACGTCTATTTGTGAACCATTCCATTGTATATTTGGCTTTATGTTTTGGATCATTGTCCTGTTGGAAGATAAATCTCCGTCCCAGTCTCAGGTCTTTTGCAGACTCCAACAGGTTTTCTTCCAGAATGGTCCTGTATTTGGCTTCATCCATCTTCCCATCAATTTTAGCCATCTTCCCTGTCCCTGCTGAAGAAAGGCAGGCCCAAACCATGATGCTGCCACCACCATGTTTGACAGTGGGGATGGTGTGTTCAGGGTGATGAGCTGTGTTGCTTTTACGCCAAACATATCGTTTTGCATTGTGGCCAAAAAGTTAGATTTTGGTTTCATCTGACCAGAGCACCTTCTTCCACATGTTTGGTGTGTCTCCCAGGTGGCTTGTGGCAAACTTTAAACAAAACTTTTTATGGATATCTTTGAGAAATGGCTTTCTTCTTGCCACTCTTCCATAAAGGCCAGATTTGTGCAGTGCACGACTGATTGTTGTCCTATGGACAGACTCTCCCACCTCAGCTGTAGTTATCTGCAGTTCATCCAGAGTGATCATGGGCCTCTTGGCTGCATCTCTGATCAGTCTTCTCCTTGTTTGAGATGAAAGTTTGGAGGGACGGCCGGGTCTTGGTAGATTTGCAGTGGTCTGATAGTCCTTCCATTTCAATATAATTGCTTGCACAGTGCTCCTTGAGATGTTTAAAGCTTGGGAAATCTTTTTGTATCCAAATCCGGCTTTAAACTTCTCCATAACAGTATCTCGGACCTGCCTGGTGTGTTCCTTTGTCTTCATGGTTCTCTCTGCGCTTTAAACAGAACCCTGAGACTATCAAAGAGCAGGTGCATTTATACGGAGACTTGATTACACACAGGTGCATTCTATTTATCATCATCAGTCATTTAGGACAACATTGGATCATTCAAAGATCCTCACTGAACTTCTGGAGTGAGTTTGCTGCACTGAAAGTAAAGGGGCCGAATAATATTGCATGCCCTACTTTTCAGTTTTTTATTTGTTAAAAAAGTTTAAATTATCCAATAAATTTCGTTCCACTTCACGATTGTGTCCCACTTGTTGTTGATTCTTTGTTCTGTATGTTTGAAGCCTGAAATGTGGCGAAATGTTGAAAGGTTCAAGGGTGCCGAATACTTTCGCAAGGCACTGTATGTGCAAAATTTCAAACATTTTGAAAAAACTAAATTTGAAAATGTCCATATAAAACTTTGAAATAGTCTGTAGGGGGTTGTCTGGTCTGGTTTCACATTTAATTGGTTGACTATATGAAAGTATCACTTTGTTTCTACTCTATGTAAAAAAAATAGAATCTCTTAATCAAATGTGGACATCTGAAAATACTTCTGCAAAGCTCATTCCGTCAAATCATCACAGAAAACTTGTCTAATGTATAAAACAGTTATAAACTAATAAACTAATGGACAGAGGAGGTATTTGGATACATGAAAAACAAAAAATATCTACTGATAATTAAAATCAAATTTTTGGCCTTTTGTCTCACTTTTGTGCCCTTTATGTGTGAACAAATATCATAAACATTTTAAACCATGAACCCAACTGGGACATAGCGTTGTGTAAAACTGAATTATAATTTGCAGGTTTGAGTATTCACTATTTCACTACAAAATGCTAGAGCACAGGGCAAGGTTGATGTATTTTCCAGCATTCATTCTATCTGTTCCTGCTGCTTTACATTTCAGGGCTTTGAGCAAGCCGTTTCCTCTGTGTGTTTGAACGACTGGATCCTGGCTCTCCATCAGATTCTACTCATCTTGCTGATCATCGGAAAGTGGCTCCTACCTACTGGAGGCGTCACCCGCGAGCAACTGTCCCAACTTCTACTCATCTTTGTGGGGACTGCAGCAGACATCCTGGAATTCACTAGTGAGACTCTTTCCGATGTCAAGTAGGTGGCCTTCGCTATTTATATTCAACTAAAACAACATTTAATGGACTTGCTGAGAATGTTGTTTTTGTGTGTGTCCCAGAGAAAAAAGTCCTCAGCTGGTCTATATCATCCTCGCCGTATGGACATGGAGTATGTTGCAGTTTCCTTTCCATTTTGCAGGTCAGTGGACATTTGTTTACTTCTACAATGACTCCATTTATGCAAAACCCGATTTGTTTTTCTATGTTGGAAATTCCCAAATGGATGAGAATAACTTTGACACTGCTCAAATAATGTTCAGGACATCTGAAAACTCTTTGCACCAAATTAACTAAACTTATTCCATGATATACAGTGCCTTGCGAAAGTATTCGGCCCCCTTGAACCTTTCAACATTTTGCCACATTTCAGTCTTCAAACATAAAGATATAAAATTTTAATTTTTTGTCATGAATAAACAACAAGTGGGACACAATCGTGAAGTGGAACGAAAATTATTGGATAATTTAAACTTAAAAAAAAAAAAAATAACTGAAAAGTGGGGCGTGCAATATTATTCGGCCCCTTTACTTTCAGTGCAGCAAACTCACTCCAGAAGTTCAGTGAGGATCTTTGAATGATCCAATGTTGTCCTAAATGACTGATGATGATAAATAGAATGTACCTGTGTGTAATCAAGTCTCCGTATAAATGCACCTGCTCTTTGATAGTCTCAGGGTTCTGTTTAAAGCGCAGAGAGAACCATGAAGACAAAGGAACACACCAGGCAGGTCCGAGATACTGTTGTGGAGAAGTTTAAAGCCGGATTTGGATACAAAAAGATTTCCCAAGCTTTAAACATCTCAAGGAGCACTGTGCAAGGAATTATATTGAAATGGAAGGAGTATCAGACCACTGCAAATCTACCAAGACCCGGCCGTCCCTCCAAACTTTCATCTCAAACAAGGAGAAGACTGATCAGAGATGCAGCCAAGAGGCTCATGATCGCTCTGGATGAACTGCAGATAACTACAGCTGAGGTGGGAGAGTCTGTCCATAGGACAACAATCAGTCGTGCACTGCACAAATCTGACCTTTATGGAAGAGTGGCCATTTCTCAAAGATATCCAATAAAAGTCTCTTAAAGTTTGCCACAAGCCACCTGGGAGACACACCAAACATGTGGAAGAAGGTGCTCTGGTCAGATGAAACCAAAATCAAACTTTTTGGCCACAATGCAAAACGATATGTTTGGCGTAAAAGCAACACAGCTCATCACCCTGAACACACCATCCCCACCTCACCTCGCAGACAACATTGGATCATTCAAAGATCCTCACTGAACTTCTGGACTGAGTTTGCTGCACTGAAAGTAAAGGGGCCGAATAATATTGCACGCCCCACTTTTCAGTTATTTTTTTTTTTTTTAAGTTTAAATTATCCAATAAATTTCGTTCCACTTCACGATTGTGTCCCACTTGTTGTTGATTCATGACAAAAAAATAAAATTTTATATCTTTATGTTTGAAGACTGAAATGTGGCAAAATGTTGAAAGGTTCAAGGGGGCCGAATACTTTCGCAAGGCACTGTAGATGCCATTATTACAAACTAAGAGGACACAGAAAGTTTTGTGCACACAAAACTCAACTGACACGCACATACATGCTTTTTGGCTCTGCCCCCCTGTTCTTCAATTCTGGAAAGAAGTGACAGAAACCCTCTCAACCATTATGGACCACTGCATCCCCCACAGCCCTTTACACTGTCTACTCGGCGACACATCCACTCTAACCGTAGACCCAGCAGACCAACAATTTACCCTGATAGCACTAACAATTGCAAAAAAAACAATACTCCTCAACTGGAAATCAAAAATCAAAGTCAACACTTCACAGTGGAAAGATCTCCTCCTAGAACACTTATCCTTTGAACAAACATCCACCAATCACAGAATTACTGAAACACCCAGCAACTGGAACAAACTCATACTTTTTCTTACAAATTAACTAATTGCATTGTCACTGTTATTATTATTGTTACGATAATTTGAATTGTTATGATTATTATTATTACTTTTATTTTCTATTTTTATTTTTATTTTAATGTTAATTTAGTTTTCATATTATTATTATATATTATTGTTATTATGATTATTATTGTGGATTTATCTTATTTTTTTCTCTCTCTCTTTATTTTTGCTCACTTGTGTTATTTTTTTTTTTTTTTTTTTTTTTTTTTTGTTCGTATAGTTTCTGCTTAACTATTAATATTATAAATTATATAATTAGTATTTACACATACAAGATATATCATATTTGAATATGTAGAATAAGCAATAGGGAACGGTGATGGTGAGGAAGCAACAATAATAAGTAATATTGTTTAATTTAATTAATACACATTGTATGATAAATATATGGACTCTTCCCACAAGCATCCCAGGCACATGCCTTTTTAATGCACAACACCTCACGCAGATATTTTTCTTTTTAATACACCACACAATCACAGACAAACTATTGAGGAAAGCTGTCGGAAGAGAGCCAGTAATAATGCTACTGTTAAGGACGCTAGTATGGTCATAATTATGATCTTCATCATCGCCATTGTCGCTATTGCTGTTATTTTCTTCTTTTTTTCTGTTGTTGTTGTCATTGTGTGTGTTTTTTTTTTTTTCCCTTTCCCATCTTAAGTAACTTACACCATACCACCAATTCCCATCTATATGCTTGGCGCAGAATCAATGCATACCAAAAGGGAAGAGAGGAGGGGGAGGGAGGAAGAGAAGAGAGAAGGAGAAGAGGGAAAAGAGAAAAAAAAAAAAAAAAAAAAAAGAGAAAGAGGTTTTGTATATATATATATATATATATATATATATATATATATATATATATATATATTTATTTATTTATTTATTTTTTTAATTGTCTTTGTTTTTTGTTTTGTTTTTTCTATTATAAAAATATAAAGTAAATAATAAGTAACACACAGACACACACACACACACGCACAAACTTGGAAGACCCCCCCCCCCCCCCCCCCCCCCCCTTCCCCCCATGTATGTATGTTCATGTTGTTTTGTTTAAATAATAAAAAAAAAAAAAAAGAAAGTGCCTGTGCTTAGAACTACTTCAATCAATGCGTGTCTAATTGAGGAGTTACTCTGGACGGTAGGAGAGAGGTGTAGGGTGCGTTTTTTTTTATTTGTCTGTTACATATTGTTATTGCATGGTATTGTGTTGAATAATGAAAGTTTTTGGGATTAGATACGCTTTTGCTTCATACTTTTTGTTTATATCTATGTATGTGAAAATATGATGCAGGTTCAAAAGAAATAACTTCTGTTCTTTACTATAAACTGTTAAGCCTCAAAGCAGTGTATAGCTACTGAGGTATAATTGGATTAGAAAGATTTATAATTGTTCATGTTTTTGATTAGTGGTGAACTCAGAGCGCCACAGTGAAGAAGCGGTCCAGGAGATGTCTCTCCTAAAGAAGCACAGCACAGACGTGTGGAGCATTGTGGAGGCCCTGTTCATCCAGGACGGCCCCTTCCTGGTGGTCCGCTTCACTGTCATGACCTACTTTGAAGTCTTTCACCAAATGATACTCTTCTTCACCATCAAGAATCTGCTGGTGGTCATCCTCAACCTGTACCGCCTGGTGGTCATATGTCAGGACTCCAGGGGGTCCCACAGCGGGATTGGTGAGGCCACACCTTTACCTTAATGGAAGACAAAAGAATATGTTGAAGACAGATGTTTTAGATACTGCACCAAGTGCCCGTAACATGGTTTAAAGTTACATTCCACTATTCACTGTACTGGAATCAATATTCTCTACCTCATCCTCATCCTTAGTATCGTAATGCAGTTTCCTCACCTAAAAATGTCAAGCTTGATTCATTTATTTTTTAAGATCCACCCAATTTAGGAAAGTAAGATGATCCTCTTTAGTTGACTTGTAAGTCACACAAACAATAAGGAAGTTCAGTACATTATCTTTTCCAATGTCTGACCTATGGATGGTGCAAGAGGATTTCATATACAGTACAGAAGTGTTCCAGTACCACAGCTTAACAAAACATTACATACAAATGGGGTAAAAGCGTCTATTATCTGACCACAAATATAGAAAGATTGAATGCCAAAAATTATGAGCATTGGAAGTTTGCGTTCATGTCGTAGAATTCTATTTCAGTTGGAGGGCAGGTATCAAAAAGGAAATGTTCAAATGTTTCCCCCTAATAACATGCATATGATTTTTGAATATTGTCACCGCTTCTAGACCCATTTATGAGAAACTATTTACTAACTATATACTGACAAGAATATATAGAACTTGTGGATTGACCCAGGAATTAAAGCTAAAAACTAAAACTAGAGGTCTGACTTTTGTCACAATAGTAACCAGTAATTTTAAACCAGAGGCTCTTTGGATTGTTGTGATATCACTTGAACGCAACCTGATACCAGAAATGATTTTGTGGAGGTAGGTGACATCCTATGAAAACTGTGAATTCACAAAAGATGAATCTGTGGAGTACAGCACAGTCTTCTGACTGTATTTTATGAGTGTGATAGTGTCATAGAAAGAGCGTTTTGGGCCTCTAACTCCCGCAATAACCATCTAACCAAGCTTTTGAGGCATTCCTTTGCATATGTCATTTCTCTTCATGTCTGTCTCATTCATTTCAACTGCATATATGAATAGATTATTGTTGTCTTTATGACTCTCATGTTGTGTTATGTCGGAAGCTGACCACAAAGGGGCACTATTTAATACTTAGATTTGTAGATGGAGGGTCCTAAACTTTATTTAAAGGATATGTTGTGCTTTTGCCTGAAATGTTCCACAAACATCAACCATTCCTTAAAGGAGCAATATGTAATATTTGCATGTCAAGTCATCATTAAATGACCCGAATATTTCAAAAGGCGTTATTAAATCATACTCTTTTCGAATTCATCTTTAACTGATAACAGTAGTTCAGCCGAGATATTTGATTATCAAAATTAGTTTTACGACCCGTAAAAGTTGTTATTGTTTTGATTTTGATGTCCTACCCTCCGCCGTTTCGCCAATCAGGAAGTGTCATGTAAGTCCGTGATCGGGTTGCCAGAACTCCGTGCGGCTCACTAATATCAGAGGTAAAATAACATGTGGCGCAGAACTAAAAAAGGTCTTGTTATGACTCTCAAATCATTAATGACAAAACAAAGACTAAAACGAGGATTTATATCGGGATGCCTTTGAACAATTGAGACAGCTGATAAAAGTTCACGTGTTTCTAGTTTAAGTACGTTCTTCACAGTGTCTCTTTTTAGTGTCTCGGTTTTAGTGTGAACCGGTGGCTTAGTGGTCTAAGCTGTGCGCTTACGAAGTAGGAACCCGGGTTCGATCCCGTGCTGTGTCTTTTTGTATGTATTGCATGTTATCACATTCTATGACAGATTGCTCTAAAAACGGTAAAAGATGAAGGTCAAGACATTTTTTTGCAGATTATAGCTTAATTGTAAAAATAATCATTTAAGACCACATGTACCCCAATTAAAATAATGTTAGTCTCTTTTTGATGTGGGACTTTTACATGTTTGTCTAAAAAATAGGGAATAAATAAAATTGAAAGGTGATATCCTCTTGAGCAAACCCTGATGTTGATACGCTGAAGAAATACGTTCCAACATCCATTCTTCCCACTCCTATTTTGGACATCAATTTCTTATTTATTTTGCATAAACTATGTATAATTACAATGCTTTTATTTTGTTTTTGTTTTTTTATCTCAAATGTCCAAATAATAATAATAAAAAAACATTAATCAAAAGATTCATTCAGCATTAGCACGGCTGTCATGGCAATGTGAATGGAGACGGACAAACAACTGATAAAATAATTCCCTGTGTTTGCTGCTGGATTTGGTGTGAATCTGGCAACCTGAGTCAGGGAGAGTGGGAGAGGACTACAAAATATTGACTGTGACTGCAGTACCACTTTTGGCCAGATTTTTACATATTGCTCCTTTAAGATTTGTATCAACAAAGTTCAACACTTGGGAGCGACAGTGGCTCAGTTGGTAGAGCATTGAAGGTCGTGGGTTCGAGCCCACCGTAAGACCTACTTCATGACTCCCACTGATGTTTGCTGTTGTTGTGTCCTTGGGCAAGACACTTAACCCCACTTCACCTGAAGCCCCCACTGAAAGATCTCAACTCCTGTGGACTCACCACCTGCAGGAGGATCAGTGAGAGGGGCTGGTGCTCTGTGTACTGGGTGCAGCTCTGACTGCCACCCCCCGACCCAGAAATGGATTGAGGGGAAGAAAATGGATGGATGGATGGAGGGAGCTGTGGCTATTGAAGTAGTTTACCACCACTGTGTACTTAATTCATTCTGAATGTCCAGAAAAGCAATATGCATTATGTTTGTTATTTACTGTTGCTTTCACTAGTTGATAGATCTATCTCCAGACAGCATATGCATCGTATATGTTTAGATTTGATAAAACATAATCTTGTGGTGATAAATTAAACCAATAAGGGCTAGAAGAGACGGATTAGAGGCATCAATCTATGAGACACCGATGATGGTTTTCTCCCTGGCATTGTGAATGCATGTGAATGTGAACAGATCCTCATGGATGTCAACGAAAGTTGTAAGCCACTGTCTGTGAGACGTGTCAGGGGGCTTCCATTCTGTGCCAAAAGAACCCTTTGTTGTGCCATTCTTGCAATATTTTCATAAAAATAATGTTAGATTTGCGAACATTTAGGGCAAAGCTGTAACTTCTCGATGGAAACAAATTGTGCCGGATGCGGACCACCTGAAAAGTCACACTATAGGCCTGTAAAACTTGTAAAGTTTTGTTCTGATGAAAATAAATGATTTCAATATGTGTGTTTCTCTTCTAGCCTTCATATACATGTTGTTGTTCTTTTATTACACTTTTTTCATTATCCTTACATGTTTTACTTTATTTTTGGAAAAAATGTAATAAAAATATGCACTACTCCAACTACTACCATCCTTTTCTATAATGTCAAACTATTATTATTGATAATATTTTTTGAATGTATCATACACCATACATGTCATAGAAACCTCAAAGTGCTCGAACTAATTACACACATCTCTTTCCATTTTAATTTCACCTGATTCCACTGCCACCCTCTGGTCACCTGAGGAAACAAAAACGAATCCTTTGACTTTTCCATTCTTAGATCCATGCTTTCACATTTTGTAATTTGAATCCATTTCTAATCTTGTGTGTCCCAAAATTGTTCGGCAAATAGTTTTGTTTGAGCTACATGACAACAAATAGTCACAGTTCCAACTTCTTAAGGTGCGAGAGTGCTTCAGGATCTCCACATGTAGTTGCTTGTTACACTGTAATTTGACCCTTTTGGGGCTGGACTAACTCGCTGTACACCTCGCCGTTCGTAGACAAGCCTTTCAGGTTCGGGTGGAGCTTGACTTATCAGCTCGGCGCGGACATTTCCACTGCGTAATTGCGCACGGAGATCTGTGAGTGGCAGTCCTGTTCCAAACACTGACCCTCTGCTTGTCCTTGTTCCCCTTCTCTCAACTCTGTATCAAGACCCACACACGGACATGTTTCGCTGTGGCATCGACTATACCAGATGCAGGTGGATCGTGCCCCTGCTTTTGCTTTTCGCCATCATTTTTGACATAGTCGCCATTGCAGCTACGTCGGGATGGGTGGAGGACGAAGACGCCAAGTCCCACTACGCGAGTATGTGGGAGCAATGCCGTGGCAGGAACGAGCAGTTTGACTGCAAGTCTCTCATGGAGTTTTGTAAGTTTTATAAGTTTAGACGCTATACATTGTAGCCGCCATCTGTCTGGCATACGGGGTACAGACACAGTTATTATTGAACTAATTCTGTCTGGTGTTAGAGCATGAGTCACTGTCTCTGTGGGACGTAAAATTCAAGGTACTATGTGAAAAATGCGTGAAAGGCGCGACCTCAAAACCCCAAAGCACTGCCTTGAGGCCTGCTGTACTCATTGAACTTTGGACTAACTTACATCGAGTTTGTCTCCAGGCAGTGAGCATGTATTTAACTCCATATAGTTTCATGTTCGTAATTCGTAAATCCTAAAGCGCTTCCAGGATTTCAACAGGTTTTCTTCCGAAGTTTAAGTCAAGATCATTTGTATCCCACAGTTCTCACACAGTGCAACTGAAAGTGCTTCAAAAAATTAAGATTTTAGCTAAATATTTCTGAAATTCTACCTCCTCATTTTTTACCCCTACAGGAGGCCAGTCCCTGTGTTCCCCAGAGTTCGATTTTGTTTATTTGGCAGTTTATTTGGCACTAATATGTCACTGATGAACTTAGGTGCAAGACCATGGAGAGACTTGAACACAAGCAGAGCTATGAAAATCACTTCACCACAACACATCCTTGCATTACAATAGTTTCATTCTATCACCTGTTTCCACATTAATGTATTTTTGGTCTCTGTCTGTGAGTGAGTCACAGAAAAGTGAAACTCACTCAAATAGTCAAATAGTGACTCACACGTGTCTCTTTGCTAAACAATTAAATCACAAGACTCTTACTGATGGGACAAAAAGTGTGTATTATATTTAAAAAAGTTAAATGCCTCAGCTTTAAGCCCACGAGAAGGACCATATTTTGGCTGTGCACCAACATTCACTTGGAGCCTGCTTCCTGTGTAACTGCTTGAGAACAGCCTCCAATAAACTGCAAGAATGAACATGTTTTTTTATCCATGGATGCAGTGAGTGTAACTAAACAAAAGAAATAACAACCTGAATATGTTTCCATTACAGCACAGATACGAGAATACTCTTTCTATTCAATGTGTTATTTCAATCCACGCATGTCAAAAACAAGCTATGTTCTTTTAAACTGAACACAGAGTTGACCCAAAATATAGGACAGCTGGAGGAGAAAGATCACTCAACTCAATATTAAGAATAACAAAGCTAAAGTAACTGTACTATTATGAATTTTGAAGTAGATGTCAGTTGTTGTTGGCGTGTGTTTTATTTGTCACAGAGAAGAACCAGTTGGACCAGTCTGGTGTCAGTGCTGTCGGGGCATGAGCGCACACCCTAATTGTCACGTAAATGTGAATTATTCAGCTTGTGCACTGCGGCGTACGCGCATTGGGGGCCATCGGGTCATTCGACTTTTGTATTTCGAGCTTTATCAGCAAAGACAAAGACATATACACAGATAGAAAGGATAGACAATTATAGTCAACTGTAAGTGAAAAGTGTGAGACTGACAGAAAGTTGAGGGTGTGGTTTAGAAACATTCCATCTGGAGACTTGTTACTGTGAGTGTTCATCTTATCAGCATGCCTTTCCAGTGTGTTTGTCTGTTTTAAATAATACACTGGTATTACTTTGTAAAGTGGGTGGTCTTTCATCATAGAAGGTTAGAAGGTCAAAAGGCCTTGTATAAAAGCAATTTCACAATAACCACTCATTAGTCTTTGATCTATCATGTTTTCAATAAATGAATTACATCTCAATCTCAAAATCCTCCCATCAGTAAGAAAAAAATACAGACAAACAAAACAGGATCACAAAAGTTGTATTCCAAACTTGTAAATTAATCATCATAACAGTAAATATAAAAACCCTTAGTATTAAGTGGTCTTGTCACAATATAGAAGTTCAAGTAATTTCAGTAAGACAGCAATGATTTGAAATGTTATTTAAACAATAAACATTCATTTTTCTCCACCTGCTAAACATAACAATCTACCAGGAAGAGTTGTATATTGTACTGTATTAAGGCAATATATATAACAGTTACATTGATTTTTTTTCCCCTCCTTCAGACCATTATGATTAAAAATCGATTTTAACCAAAGTTACCAAACTGTTTCATGTAAAACGATCAACATTTGAATTTTCAAATAAATATTGATTTCCAACCCAAATGAACATTTCAGATATCTCACGTATAATCAATGTCGTGCCTTTTCTCTTTTTTTATTGAACTACAGAGGCCCCAATGAGCCAGAAGAACATCCTGATCATGATTTCATGATTTTGAAATGTTTTCACTTCTTCGATTTTACAAAAATGTCTATTAATTGAATAAACTTGTTTTTTTGCCCAGCCTTAATCCGTATGTGGAATATTTTTAGTGAATACTTTCCCAAATGTGTGTCTCAATTCAGTAGTATTTTTTGGTGTTGATTAATAGCTGATTTCTATTTTCTAACAAGTTATGTGTTTGTAATTAAGATTAATTGGGTGTTTGTTTAGCTTGGGCCCAGGCTGTAGCAGCTCTCATGGTGATCGGCCTCCTCATCCTCATCATGGCCTTCATCATCTCCTGCTTGGCTCTGTGCCGCACTGTCAACATCAGCCTCATGCGAGTCATCGCAATCCTGCTCGTCATTGTTGGTACGTTTGCAAAACTTAAAACATTCACTTCAATTCAATCTATTCTTGTATAGCCCTGAGTCACAACAGTAATTATCTCAGAGGACCACTGAATTTGCCAACACGGATCAGAGAATTAAATTGTTCAAACACAAGAAATGCAATGATAAAAAAATCCCTTGCTCCATGAGGGGGGCGGATCACCAATGTTCATAACTGTTTATAAATGTCCATAAATTATGTTGAATGTCGAGTGTCCTTGATCATCACTTCTGTTCTTGTTCTCTCCTGCATCGGCAAAGAAAAACTCTAAACCCAGTTGAACGACTCATGAGTTGTAGTATTTTGAGAACAAAGTTAAGGAGATGAAGTAAATGCATTGTGCTGTGAGGGGAGGGGGGGCATTTTGTGTGACATCACTATGGGAACCGCTGGGTCAGGGCACAAATGTAACCAGATCACCCCACTCACAAATTCTTTCAGACAATTGCAGAAATTCTATTTACCATAGTATGAGACCAGATTTCCTATACCTACAATTCAGTATATGACTGATTGATTTGGAATCCTTAGATCTCTGTAGTTTTATATCGTATTGAAATGAGTAAGAATTGAGCATGCATACACAAGTCATTGCATATCTTGCTGCCCATCCTTTCATGCGAAAATTAATCATGTAATTACTGTCAGTGAGACAAGCGACAAAATGCAAATTACAACCGCACCCTTTCTCAAGAAGCACTGTTTGTTAAGCCACTAACCGTGCAGCTGTTTCAACATATTTGTCCCCAGCCCTGACAGTCAGGCATGGAGATGTATTTTTGATATTCTTATTTCTTTCAGATTTAATTTCCCCCCAAATATCCCTAGTCTCACTTGGTCTGTTTACTCCACAGTGGTCCTGCAAGTCATCGCTCTCATCATATACCCAGTGAAGTTCCAAGAGCACATCCTCGAGGGCCACTATTACTTCAATTGGGCGTATGGTTTTGGCTGGGGGGCTACTCTCCTGACCCTGGGCTGTTCCATTCTCTTCTGCTGTCTGCCACGGTATGAGCACGAGCTGAGCGGTGATGCCAAACCCAAATACCTCTACACGTCTGACTAAAGGCTTCCCACGTTTGATAAGCTCATGTGATGAGGTGAATGTTGTCAACCATTTGAAATTTTGACACTGGACCGAAAGATTGTTAAGTATTCAGCCCTGGAATCACAATGGAAGTTCTACATCTGAAAGGAAGCAAAGGGGATGTAGACAAGTGTCATCTCTGCTTTTATAAAAAAAATATATTTTCTACTTTTGTCTAATTTTCTAAACAAACTTAAGTGTATATCCAGTTATTACCTAGTTGTACATTCACAAGTGCACTTAAGCAAAATACTGTATGTGCTGTATCTCATAAAGAGCCCAAACTAAAACTACTTTTCACAAAGTGCAAATAATCCTAAAAATATTGACATATTAAGTGTTGTTGAGTTGAGGCACAGAATGGATGCCTGCCTGTATATTTAGAGTGTTTGTGTGTGCACCTTCTTCCTGTCTGCAGGGTGTTGGATTATTATCGAGATTAAAGCAATATGCTTTCATCCAAAGGGAGCAATATAAAATGCCATTCCGCTGATGTTTTTTTAACACTTGCTTCATGTGTGTTACATGGGCCTTGTTTGTTTTTTAAAACTTTGTTGTATTTTATTATGCAATGAATAATTAAACCCATTGTATTCTTTAGCTGTGCACTTGTTGACCCATCATTATTTAATTTTGTTGAACCAGAATTTGGTGGGGAGAAAATGCATTTTCATTCAGTGCTGTAATCGCAGGTCCGGAAATAAATGGGGTTTTGAGATTCATATTTTCAGAACATTTATGAACGTTTAACCTGCTCTCACATGAATGAGTGTGCTGCGTTACAAGCAAAGACACTACATGTTTCCAAGCAGAAAAAGAACTTGGTTTTCGAATAAAGTTTTATTTTGACATCACAGATATATACACATCTTGTTCAAATAAGAAGAAATAAATTGCACTATTTGATAAGAGCTAAAAATATAATCTTATAGAAGTTTTACAAAAAACAATTGTATTTGTCCTGAAATTCTTTGCTGTGAAATTCTTTTGTCGTTCCAAAGCCTCCTTCACTTCTCTCATAAAAGATAAAAGTGTAGATATGTGGATAAAACGTTTGCTGGCGGAGCTCTGCTTATACAACACATATGAGTCATGATTTTTGAGCTTTTGAACACCCAGCGGCACACCCAGCGGCACACCCAGAGACAGACGTACGTTCTAGCCCCACCTGGTGATGAAGAAGCACATGGGACCGTTCCAGCGGTGGCTGTGGAAGAAAAACTAACATTTCACACTAAGAAAGTTCACGTTGTATGGGTAGTAAGTGATTCAGTGGAGTCATCAAAACTTTGAAAGTGAAATGTAATATTAGGACTAAGACTAGAAAATTGTTGACTTCTTTAGAAGTAGAATAAACCAGGGTTCCCAAACTTTTTAGACAAGGACCCCCCCCAAAATAAAGGCAAAGTTCTACTACAAAAGAAAATTGAAAGTTGCAATATTTTGAAGCATATTAATATGCTATGTGACTAACTGTAACTTTACCATTTTTAGTCATGCATTGTGTTTTATGGCCTAATTAATTGTATGGTACAGTGTTTATTCATCAAACAATTGACAAATAGAATTCCAAAAATGAAACACATAACATAGCATCTAAAAATCACTGTACAGCCTACAGTTCAGTACAGTACCCAACTTAAAACATATTGTGTGTTTGTAATTTACAGAACATGGGTGATTAATTGACTGCTTCAGTCACAGTAGACTAACAGGAAATACAAATAAAAGATGCTGTATGGTGACTTTCTCAAGGTGGCTCGTCTCTGCATGATTCTGTATCATTTATGCAATTCTCTGGAATTAGATTTGTGGATTTGAATATACAGTCTATGATATGAAAGCAAGCCAGATCAGGAAAATATATTCATGTTGTTGCTGTTCTGTTTTTGTTTGTTGTCAGTGGAAAAAGAAAAAACGTTATCAAATCAGATCAACGTGTCCTTTGTATCTTAAAACACTATTCAAAAGAAAAAAACCTGCTTTTATGAATCTGTATGAATAAATAAATAATGAATAAATGTGACTTCACCTTGGGGATAGCGCCACTAGAGGACAGTGTTGGTCTGGAAATAAGTTGCGTTTATGACAATCGTTCACTTTCAATTTGGACAAAATCACATTTACATTGTTTTTGTTCTCTTTTTCAACATCCACAATATACAGATATTTTAATGAAACCTCAATAAATGAAAATATTGTAGCGTGATTGTGCTGTTTTTGTTTCCGTGTTCAAAGACAAGTATTACATGGAAGATTTTTTACAATTATGACATTTCCAAAATAAATCAGACAGAAAATGAAACTGTGATGGATGACGCGACCTGTCTGTCTCCTCAGACCTTGCTCATGTCCATGCTCATGACATGTCATGACCTGCTCTGACCATGCTCATGACACATGTCTGCCATGCTCATGACAAAGCTCATGACCATGTCATGACCATGCTCATGACCATGCTCATGACGCTCTTTGTGCACAGTGGGAGGGATGTGCTGTTGGGTCAGACAGACTGAGCGCCCTCTGGTGACGCAAGGCTATAACTGCGCTCAAGTCGGAGGAGAAAATGGGTGGACGGAAAGTCCCTGTGTGGAAATCCCCTTGACTTGGGCTTTTTCATTTTTTTCCTCAACAGGCAGACGTATAGAGTCTTGTGAAAGGCTTTGCGAACTGCGAAGTCTCTAAATGAGCCGCGATAGTGAAACAAACCGGAGGTTGGATGGCGCCGAGGACTGCTGCGGTGAGGCTGAGTGAAGTGGCTGACAGAGGACTAGCCTGAACACCCAAATAGGCTTTGTTATCAGCCCGACACATTACACAGGTAAGACTGCCTCCTCATGTGACTATCTGCCTGATGCTGGGATCCGGCCGCTCATCCTGGGCCTCGGCTTGTGTGTGCTCGTGTGTGGGGACATGGAGAGGAAGAGAAGCCTGCTCACGACAGTGGCTTTGACAGCCATTGTTTACAAAGACGTCACTCTCTGAAGAATAAGACTCTTAAATGTACGATAAAGGCAATGTTCTCCACTGCACAGGTTCCTAAATAGTGTAGTGATGCACTCTCTAGTGGAATATTGTAACTAATGTAGCTGTCATTGGAATTACGTAAGCCTTTAACGTCAGCAAAGTCTCGTGTTATTGTGTTTTTGTGTAGCCAGCAGCCAGGCTAAACCACAGCCGTCTAGAGCGCCATGGTCCGTCTGCCTCAGCGGCACCAACACCTCAGGGCCACACATGACTCTTGTGTCCAGATGTACTGTTTATATCCATGTGTTTGTGCTCTGCTGTGGACTGCCGCTCTGGAGCCCTGTATCAAGGCCTAGCGCGCCTCTGTGCACCTGCTGCTGGAGATATGGCCGGACACGCAACTTATAGCGCTGTTACTACTGTGTCTGGCAGCTGCCTGCTCCCTCCAACTTATGAGAGCACCTCCTGTGTGCTGACCATTGGAACTCACATTATGAATGCTGTCACAAGGCACGCTGTTGGGTTGTTTGATGTGATTATAACAATTTCATGTTCAAGTATGAACATCTGCATTATTCAAATAAAATGTTGTTTTTAAGCCTTTGAACTGTTTAAAAAGACAGGCCCTTTTCAGTCTCAGCTTTAAAAGGTAGACCTATACAGAGCCTGATTTGGGAACTGAAAAACTAAAGAATACCACCAAAATTCCAGTTGGATCATGAAAATTTCAGATAATTGTGTGTTGGTGCTTTCCATAGCAAACTGTAAATTAAATTTGCATTACAGACTTAATTGTTAGTATGGGGGGGAAACTCCACTCAAAATTTCCCATCGAACCATTCTATTAATGTGTTGTTTTGTGTTTTTATGTGATGTGTGTTATGTGTTATGTGTCTTATCCTGGACCCTGAGTCTGTAATAAAGTTTGATATGATATGATATTAAGATCTGCTTTAAAAATAACACATCCTCTCCTCTTCTTCCCATACAGTTTCCACATTGTTCTGTGTTGGGCCTCCTCCTCTTCCTCCCCACCTTCCACCCACCTGGCCCCTCTTCACCCACCATGTCGCAAGGTCAGAACTTCCTCCCCAAATTTCTCTTTGTGTCCAATCTGCTGAAGGCTGTGAAGATTCGCCAGCGTGTGCCCAACGACGTGGTCAAGCCCACAGCGAGCATTGGAGTCATGCATCACCTGAGGGGGATGCACCGCTACACTCTCGAGATGATTGCCATGAACCACTTCCCCCAGGCCTTCAGGGAGGTGGTCCAAGCTGCCATCTTGGACAGAGCCATGCAGGCCTCACTGGAGCAGGAAAAGAAGCTTAACTGGTGCCGCGAGGTCAAGAAGATGGTGCCGCTTCGTACCAATGGTGAGTAAGAGTACTTAATGCATTTTGGTTATGGGTCAAGGACTGGAGTTAGTAATAAACATCTTTTCATTGAGGGAGGCAGTAGAACAAATTTTTCTCTGAAATATGGTGTTTTTTCCCCCACCGAGCATTGAAAACAATTAATTGTAATCAAATTTTAGTTTTTTGCTTTTTGCGTTTTGGTTGTAAACTTAGTGTTGCCTCACACAACAGATTCAGAGGCTTTGTGGGTGAAGCGTCTTGCCCAAGGACACAAATACAAAAACTTTAATAATAAACAACACAAACAAAGCAGCGGCTGGAGATCACCATCATATCCAGGTTTTAAGTAAATCAAATCAAATTAATGTCACATTTTCTGGACGTATTGTGTCTGTGAAAGACAAGCTCAGTTATCCAGCGATTGCAGCAAATATATATTTTCTGGAGGAGAGCATGTTTGCAAAAGAGTTTTTCTTTTGTGGTGATTTATCAACGACACAATAAAGATTGTTGGGTGACTTTATGACTTAACTGTCATAGCTAAGGTTCAAACCATCAAAGTACTGAGTATAAACATGTGCTCAAACTGACTGTTTGGTGGATTCATTTTTATTTGATTAATTGAATTCCACATTTCTACTTGTGTTAATTATCATTGAATGTACCATAGAAACAGTATCCTAATTTTTACCCAGAATAGTCTGGTTTCAAACCATTAAGATATTTCAGATTAAGATATGAGTCAGCCCAATCCACATAATTCAGATTATGACTAATACCAATTACTCACTCTTGCCGTTACTGTAAAGGACAATTGAAATCCTCTAAGATCTTCAAATCCCTCTTCTGTTTACACACAACCACATTTGTAATGCTAAGTCTTATTTTCTGAGGCATTGATGTTGTAACTCGGGAACATCCCAGGCCAGACAACAATTGAAGTTGATTATGTTAGATTTCATATGTGCTCTGGGAAATTCTCAGAAGTCATTTCAGGGCTTTTATTGATAGTTCAGGTTTCCTTCAATCTGCGCCCACTGTTTCTGTGTCTTTGAGGGTGTAGATCTAGAGTTTATCTCAAATTTCAATCACATTTTGACAATACAAAAATGGCTAAACAAGGCTTATCTACTTTATTTAGTAAAACACAACAAAAAAATCTATTTTCCTCTGAAATGGTTTTGGTGAATCCTACATGGCTTTTTTACCGTACTTTGCCAAGGGAATTGTTCTATGCATTTAATACACACTAAAGCAACCAAATGTATGTTTGAACTATAATGGTCATTAGTATTCTTCATTATTTAGTTGCTATTAAGCATTAGTGTAAAATAACCACATGTTCATTGTAACTTTGGTTGTGAATACCACTCACATGATTAAAATGGAAGTAAATAACAACAGGATTAGAAACCTGCTGAAATGCAATTACTAGTTTAGTTACTGTAACACAAACCTTTAGTTCCTCTTTAGAAGATCCCGAACTGATTAACAAGTCGCCCTTCTTCAACTCTGAGCCGCTTTTACATTTCCTGTCATGTGACTGATCTGTGACAATCTTCACGACATCATCTCCAAAAGGACCTCGACATGACTTTGAACAGAGGACACACACACACACACACACACACACACACACACACACACACACACACACACACACACTATGCTAAGTGACGGCTGCTGAGTCACTGGAGCAGACACACACATCAACACAGGCTGGTACAGGACCCATGAGTGGAGTCTAGTCTTCAGTAAATGCTCCTCTAGTTAGTCTACCAAAGCAGTCCTCGCAAAGGTCTCTGAAATCAACAATGTGATAAAACGCTTTTGAAATTATGTTCTCTTTTTTTTGCCAGAGGAGAAATTCTTTCAGTGTGTCCTCTGTCTTAAATGTCTAGGACACATCCGTGGGTTTTTCCCAAACTCTCTATCTCATGTGTGTCATGTGTCCTCAACAGACTAGATTTGTTCAACAACAATGACCCATTGACTCTACAAAGCCGCCAGAAACATCAAAAACAGCTGATCAGTCTAGACACATTGGGATTTTCTTATCATTTAATTTAACATATTTTCAAAATCTACAAGTCAAGTCTACACAATCACATAACACATCAAACATCTGCTTAAAGGACTGACACACCCCAACAACACAGAACAGTGGATGAACGTAACCAGAAAAAAATGTCATTGGTTCCCTACGTTGGTTTTGTCTTCTGAAAGTGTTCCAGCTTGCCATAGAGGAAGTGTTTATATATAGGCTGTTGACTCTTTCATGTGTAGTTTTTCAACAGGACCAAAAATAAGCGTATTGTTCTGTGTGCAATTTTGTAGCTGTGTTTGGGCTCTCTTGAGGAGGACCTTTCTCACTTTTGAGCTAATGATGTTAATGACATTTGTTGAAGTGATGCAATAGTCATCTGTACCATGTAAGCAAAACCATGTAAACAAAACAAGCAAATCAGGTAATACAGCATCTCTTACAGTCAACACCATTCTTAGGAATGGGTTTCACATAACAAAATTATCATTAGTCTGTCCCCAGCTTGAGCTTTTGGAATTTTACATTTGGAATTAAAACATTTAAAACAATAAGGCTGAAATTATGTTCTTCCACAAGTACATTTGTTTACTTAAACAAGTACTAATTGCCTTATTTTAAAGATGTCCCACCACTTACTGTACCTAAAACCTAAAAAATAGTATGTTTCACTTTGTCTTCAAAGTATTAACTCCCTCAGAGCAGATAGAGAATACCCTTTCACCCGACATGTTCTCAAATGTAGTCAAAAAATTGTCAATTTCTACAAATTGTCAACTGTGCTGTGCCGGTGTTGAGTGATTTGGATATGGCTTCTATTTGACAACAACAAAAAGGCCCAGCTTTGCAACAGGAGGCTAACTCCAAAATATTGTTGAAAAATCTATATAGTCCTATTTAAATTCTGCAGAAAGGGGCAGAGATGTATTTTGTATTAATTTTTTATTGTAGTGAGTTATGTTCCTGTCTAGACATCAGAAGAGCTGGAGGCTTGAAAATCCCCATGCATTGTTTATGCACTGTACCTTTTACATACCATTTACAGACATGTGTTATTAGTACTCTCTATACTATACTAACGCGGTTTGGTGCACTCGGCAAGATGGTCCTGGGTTTGATTCCACCTTTTAGTGTGTGGAGTTTCAGGGTGAATGAGTGTGTGTTTGTGAATGTGACTGTGGGACAATGGATGGAAATTACAATCTGGTACTTACATCACTGCTGTTCATTAAAACACACTGTCCCATTCAAATGACCAAATAAATAATAAATAACTCATCAAAAATGTTGCTCTTTTTTGTCCTCAGGGGATGGAAACTGCCTACTTCATGCTGCCTCTCAGTATATGCTTGGTGTTCAGGATACTGACCTCGTGCTGCGGAAAGCTCTGCATAGCGTCTTGAAAGAGACAGACACTGGGGTTTTTAAGGCCCGCTTTCAGGCAGAGTTGCTTCAGTCCAAGGAGTTCACCCAGACTGGACTCCGATACAGCACCATGGTACGAGGGGCTTCAATACCTTTAAACAGGCAACATCATGCACTCAAATGAATGATGCTTTATATGATATAATGAGAAATACTCATTGTCAATTTTAATTCTGTGATCTCATCCAGAACTGGGAGGAGGAATGGGAGAAGATTGTCAAGATGGCGTCACCAGTTTCTACTAGCAACGGCCTTCAGTTTGACTCTCTGGAAGACATTCACATCTTCATCCTCTCTAACATTCTTCGCAGACCTATCATCGTCATTGCAGGTTTTTATCTTTCATCTCAGAATCAGAATCAGAATCATTTTTATTGCCATGTAAGTAACAGGAAGTCACAGACTTGGAATTTGCTTTGGCTCAGTGCAACAGTCAGAGAAAAAATAAAGAATACCCACTAAACATCCGACGTCCACTCAACCTCCAGATCAATATCGCGTCGGTCGGTCGTGACCTTTTATTCACGTCCAAACGACGTCTGGGTAAGGTGCGCATCTGGAGGTAAAACAATGACCTCCCATAGACGTGGATATGACGTCCAATCCCGACCTCCCCTAAACAGGTCATCGGCCGACCGACGCATTACGTCTTGATCTACCGATAGAAACTATCGGCTGTGAAGCAGTTGATTGAGGGCAGTGTAGTGGTTAAGCCAATGTGAGCAGTTGTGGTGACGTGGGTTTGAGTGTGTGCTTCATTAACTAGATATATTTGTTTCAATTTTTAGCAAACAACTTTTCTAATAGACATTCAATAAACTAATAAACACTCAACATAGGATTATGTAGTGGCTAACAATAAAACTTGTGAACTTATGCATTTGTTGTGCTAACAATCTCAAGTTTGCAAATAAGGGGTGAGCACTTGAGATTGTATGCAAATGCATAAGTTCACAAGTTTTATTATTAGCCACTACATAATCCTATGTTGAGTGTTTATTAGTTTTTAACCAAACAAAGAAAAATTGTTTGCTAAAAATCGAAACAAACATATAACATTGGTGAATTGTAGTAACGTGGGCTCAAACCCACGTTGCCACAATCGCACTTGTTTACTTCACCATTACACTATTGTCAGACCCTAACTCTACAAGTTTGTAGTAAAGTTACACCCAACCCGCTAAAGAGCCGATGCTCACTATTGCTAGATCACGTCCTAACGAGTGGGTCGGCTGATGACCTGTTTTCCACGTCTAAATGACGTCTTAGAAAGGTGCGCATTTGGATGAAAAACAATGCCCTCCCAGACGTTGATATTACGTTAAATTTGTACCTCCCTATCTGCCCTGCTCCCCCTCTTGTTGGAAACTTGAGATTGTTAGCACAACAAATGCATAAGTTCACAAGTTTTATTCTTAACCACTACATAATCCTATGTTAATTGTCGATTATTTTTTAACCAAACAGAAAAAAATTGTTCGCTAAAAACGTAAAGTTAGACATGCACCGACATGGGCTTGAACCCGTTTCGTCACGACATGATCACATTACGTAACCGCTACACCACCGTCAGACAATCATATTCGTTCATTGTAAAAAAAACTGTAGACAACCCCCTGAACAACCGACGCACACTTATGCGAGATTACAGGATGACATGTGAGTCGGTCGAGGACCTGTTTTCCACGTCTAAACTACGTCTGTGTGCATCTGGATGCCCTCCCAGACGTTGATATGACGTTTAATCTGTACCTCTGTTGCTGCCCTGCTTTCTTTACTTTCTCAAATGGAGACTTGAGATAGTTAGCATCACTAACATACATAAATTCACATGTTTTATTCTTAGAAGCTACATGATCCTATGTTGATTGTTGATTTGTTTTTAACCAAATAGAGAAAAAATGTTTGTTTAAAAAGCAACTAACAACCTTCAGGGTTTTGAACTCCCATTGCCACATCTACAGGTCCGTTACTTTTCCCCTACAACACTCTCGTTTTCAATGACTATAATATATTCTTAAAAGAACCAATGAACATCCGAAGCTCACTTGTAGATTACATTTCAGACGCGTCGGTCGAGACGAGGACCCCTATTTGTCTATACGACGTCAATGTAGGTTCCACTTCTGTACGTACAATAATGACCTCCCATAGACTCAATCTTTGAGTCAATTTCGGATCGCTCAGTCCATTCTTCCTCTGCACCTGCTTTATTTACTTCGAATCACCCTCTCTAGTAAGTACACAGTCTGCACAGTTTTTAGATATAGATGTATCATTTCCACATCTAAAAGAGTTGGAGACAGAAAGTAAGTTGTTTTCTCACGTATACGTGGAATTTGTTAAATATATTTTGTATATTATCCGTATTTTGAATTGCCAGTGTTGTCATAATGCGTTGTTGACATCATGGATCTACAGTATAATAACAGCTGGCACTGGTCAGCTGAAAGGAGACACCTTTGCCAACTAGACAACGCTTTTTAGAGCTAGAACCCCATGTGCTCAATTGGGTTGTTTTAACACATTAAAAATGTTAGGTTAGAATGTCCAACAAACTATGTGTTAAAAAAGGTTAAGAATCTTAAGTTTAAAATAATAATTCAATTCCAAAATGTAAAGTTACTGTATATTTCACAATGGTTTATAAACTGCAAAAGACAACAGCACAAATCTAAGTTTAAAAACAGGGAGATCAGCTTTAATATTTGGGACACTCCCATTGTTTAGACACCTGTGATGTCATCAGTTGGAGTTGAGTTCAGATGTGGGACCATGTGGGACCAGAGACTGTGGGACCATAGGAGCACACAGATGTTACCTGCTGCAGAAAGAGATTGTATAGTTCATTTATTGCTTTGTTTAATAAATGGACTGAATGGCTTCCCAGGTCTTCAATGTCAGAGACTTTAACTTCTTCTCACTGTGGCTGTTTAAATGAGCCACTACAGTTATTTTTGTTATTGTTAGCTGGCCAATATTAAATATCCATTCATCTGCTGGTAGCAAGATAACTAGCGCTTGCAACTCTATTCAATTTCTTACTTTTTATATAAACTTTAAAACCAGCCATATGTTAAAATACATTTACCTTTGCTAATGCAGTCAATTATTGTGAAATCCATGAGTATGATTCCATAATTCTTGCAATAACTAATTTTCTGTGTGTATTCCTAATGTGTCATATGTGTTTTGAGTCTAAAACTCTAAAATAAAAAATCATGTGATAGTGATGGTTTAGATATGTTCATTGTGAAAAGATCTATTGATTGCATCTGTAAACCATTAAAACATATTATTAATCTTTCTTTTAACACAGGCGTTTTTCCAGACAAAATGAAAGTAGCGAAAATAATCCCCATCTTCAAATCGGGTGACAAGCACAGTCTGACGAACTATCGACCCCAATTTTCCAAAATACTTGAGAAGCTTTTTATTGATAAATTTGACAAGTTTATTGAAAGATCTTTTCTGTTAAATGACAGTCAATATGGTTTTAGGAGTAATAGGTCAACAGCCCTTGCACTCATGAAAATAACAGAGGACATTACAACTGGATTGGATAACAAAAATTACTTTATCGATCTGAGAAAGGCTTTTGATACTGTTGACCATAACATTCTTCTCAATAAGTTACAGTCTTATGGATACAGAGGTGTCGTGTTGCAGTGGGTTGCCAGTTACGTGGAAAATCGTCAACAGTATGTAGATTTTGCTGGACACTTATCAAAGAGTCAGCAGATAAATTGTGGTCTATTTTGGGGCCAACATTTTTCCTTTTGTATATTAATGACCTGTGTGATGTGTCTAAAATATTAAATTTTGCACTATTTGCAGATGACACAAATTTATTTTGTTCTGGGAGGAATATAAGTACTTTAATTGCTACTATTGAAAAAGAAATGGTCCTACTTCAAAAATGGTTTAATGTCAACAAACTCTCCTTAAATGTAAGCAAAACCAAGTTCATGTTGTTCACCAATCAAAAAAGGGTGGAAGATATTGAATTATATTTTAATGGTGTTAAAATCGAAAAGGTCTCCGAAATCAATTTTTTAGGAGTCATTATTGATGAAAACCTAAAATGGAATCAACACGTTGCTTCAACAAAAAAGAAAATCTGTAAGAATCTTGCCATATTGAGAAAAATAAAATATCTGTTGAACTACAAGGCAATGCAAACTCTATACTGTTCTTTGATCCTCCCATATTATATGTATTGCCTTGAAGTCTGGGGTAACTCCTACAACACTAATTTAACACCTTTAGTCATCCTACAAAAAAGAGCTTTATGAATAATACACAAAACGGCTCCAAGAGAACACACAAATGAACTATTTTTGAAGTCAGGACTATTAAAAATGAAAGATTTAATTGTATTAAAGACATTATTGATTATGTTCAGAGCACGACATTATTTATTGCCCCGTGGTCTTCAAATGTTTTTCTCTGTAAACGATGAAATCAGCAGAAGGAATCTGGATTTTAAAATGCCTTTTGCAAGAACAACACTCAAACAAATGTCCATCTCATGTGCTGGTGTAAAACTATGGAACTCTGTGGACAATGAATTTAAAACATGTTCAAATAAATTACAATTTAAGTTTAAATGTAAACAAAAAATGATCAAGTCCTATGTTAAATGAAGTGAGAAATAGTATTGTATTTGTATTAGTTGTATTAGTTGTATTTTGATACAAAGCCATCTATGTATGTTGTCTTACTGGCATAAGATTGGGGTAGGGGTTTAAATAAGACTTAGTCTTCATCCTACTCCTGTTCTTTATGTGACTGTAATGTTATATAAGAACGAATAAAATGAATGAATGAATGAATGAGTCTTACAGGTGTCCGACTGTGTTGAAGGTGTTCAAAGGTAAGAATCACTCTCACACATTGATTGTTCTTCTGTATTATTATGTTGTTTTTAGAATAAACCATTATTTGGTGTATTCTCTTTGAAAACATCTATCTTTTTCTCAGATTTTTCAGCAACTCACTCAAGATGAAGGAAAGCTCTTCTCAAGGGAAAAATGCCCCCTCGGAAATACAACGTGTATAGAGTAATACAGGGTAAGTAGCTTTCAGGGCTCATTTGTGTCCATGTGCAAAACAAATGCACATTTGCAATTGTTTTTTATATGGAATTACTCCAATGACCAAAGTCTTATCTCAAGTTTCTTAAACTGTCTGAAGTGAGTGCAGTGCCAAGGTTTGTATCAAATGGTGATGGATTGAGTGGTTTGAGGCATTAATAGAAAGTTTTAAGATGTTATATATCACTTTGCCACATTATGTTGAAACTAAACATGTTCCACATTTTCAGGTGCTGTGCTTGGACCTTGTAATGAGAGACTGAAGACCAAGAGAGGACACATGTTGGAACACCTCGAACATCAACATTCAATAAATGCATTCTTATGCCTTTTCAGATTGTGTTTTTACATCTCGGGAACCTAGAGTGTAGCTTGTGCCTGTTTTAATACTGATCCAAACATAGGCGCTACAATCATGTTTTTTTACTCTTTTGCATTAACTGTTCAGTACAGTGGTGTTCATAACACTGTGCCTGGTTTAACACGGTCTAACCTGTACTTTGATGTAGGGAAACATGATTTTTAATGCAGCTCCATGAATTTGAAATAATGGCTGATATCCTTCTACTACAGTTGTTCTAATGCTTTTTGAATGCTGTGTTTATCGTTTATTGCCCAGAGTCAAAATTAAACATGATAAAGCTGCAGCTCAGATTCACAAGGCTTAAATCTGGAATGTTCTTCCTGGAAATATGAGAAAGGCTTCTTCTTTGACAATGTTAAAATCCAGGTTTAAAACAATTCTGTTTCTGCTCCAACTGAAAGATTGTCTTTGTATCTTTTTAATTTACTGTGATTATAATTGTAATGCCATGTTTGATTGTTTCTATCTTTTGTTCAGCGCTTTGATTTTCCTTTTGTTTGAACTGCGCTATACAAATAAACTTGCCTTGCCTATTGCAAGTATGTCTCGACTAGTAAGTGATTCTGCAGAAGTTAAGTGGGTCAATAGGACTGTAAATGGACTTCACATAAACGTCAATATTTTGGTCATATAAGACGTCGAGAGGACGTCAGACCCGACCGGTTCTGTACCACATTGCAACCTTGAATGAACGTCCAGATGATGTTGAAATGACGTTGTTTTGACATCTGCTTGCTTAGTGAAAACGACTGAAAACGAACGTCATATAAACATTGATACGTTGATAGGACGTCGGACCCGACCGGTTCCGTACCACATTCAAACCTTGAATTGACGTGCCATCAACGTCACATTTGGAGGTCGAGGTGACGTCGGGAAAACACGTCCGGATGTTGTCGGGAAAAGACGTCCGGATGACGTCGAGAAAACTTTCATTCTGCACCCACCAGTGACCTATATTCTACGTTGGGCAACGACGTTGAAATGACATTGTTTCAACGTCGGCTTACTTAGTGGGTAAAAGCACTTCTAAGGAATAAATTTGAAATAGAGTTACAATTACTATATACAATATACAAGTGCACATCTGCACCAATAGTCTCACAATAATATAATAAACCTAAAGTAATCTTCAACGGTCTGTATTTTCATGAATCCACACACTTTTAAATGTACGCTTGCATCTCTGTGTTACAGACCAGGTCGTGAGAAGTATGAAGTCAGGTTCCTCTATCTCACCGCTGAATGTGGGCGGTATCTATCTTCCACTGCACTGGCCTCCTGCTGAATGCTACAAGTATCCAATAGTTCTCGGCTATGACTCTCAGCACTTTGCTCCCCTTATCACTATCAAAGACAGTGGTCCAGGTAAGAAGACAAGTTTATATGATGTTGTAGCTATGAACTTTTTCACATTATCATGAGTGGAGTGTGTTCCCCCATGTGTAGATTTCCTGTAGGCGCATTTTGTACACTTAAAACATGTACTACAGGCAACTCCCCTCTGTGTCCAGATCTCCCCTGAAAATGAGATTCTGAAATCTATATATTTTTTTGTGAATATCAGAATTTCTCTTAATGTTCACACATTGTGCTCATAGTAAAATTGTAAATAAAAAGTAGAGCTGTATAATCGCCTCTTTTTACTCCATACACAAATCCAGGCGATCCAAGTATAGATGTTATTCTTTTATTTGAAAATAAGGTTTTTTTATAGTCGGAGTTTAACTATACTTTAGCTAATTCAAGTGTGATGTTATGTTGTTGATAAGATAATTCCCACTTCAAGTCTGTGAAAAACTAATAAATGTGCTGTGCTCTCAAATTGACAGAGATTAGAGCTGTACCATTGATCAACCCAGGCAGGGGAGGATTTGAGGAACTCAATGTTCACTTTCTGATGGAGAAGGAACAGCAACAGAAAGAAATACTTCTCAAAGATTACCTGCTCTTAATAGAGATCCCTGTCATCGGCCTGGGATATGACGCCACTCGCATCATCAATGCAGCACGGTACTTGCTAAATATGTTGATGATGTTCTGCCTCATTATATGTTTTAGCTGTGTTTTGACATGTATGTGCATGTTCCTTATTCTTTGTAATAGATTGGATGAGGGCAACCTTCCTGAAGACATGAACTTGATGGAAGATTATCTGCAGTTGGTCAACCATGAGTACCAGCGCTGGCAGGAAGACAAAGAACAAGCCTGGGCTGCCCAGCCACAGCGGCCACCGCCTTTCTCTGTTTCTCAGTTGTCACTCATTGAGATCCGCTGTGCCACACCACGCTGCACGTTTTATGTCTCTGTGGATACGCAGCCCCATTGCCATGAGTGCTTTGAGAAGCGACAGGCCACAGGTGGAGGGGCAAGGATAGAAGGGGTCGTGCAAACTAAGGTTGGGGGAATACAAGGCGCAGAAATTGAGACAAGTTCCAGAGGAGCCAGAAGCAGCAGTCCACCGTCTTCCTCCTCTGGAAGAGGGGTGGTGCAGTCCAGTCCTCGTCCAGCCCCTCCCACAGCACCTAGCCTCAGCCTTTACAGTGAAACCCATGCAATGAAGTGCAAGACACCTGGCTGTTTGTTCACCCTGAGTGTGGAGCATGATGGATTATGTGAGCGCTGCTTCAACTCTCGTCAGAACCATGCTCCCTCTGCTGCAGGGACAGCAGCTGCTGGACTTCCTTGCTCTAATGGAGGGACTGTAGCCCCGCATATGGCCCAGGGCACTGGCTGGACACAGTGGGAAAAGCGTGAGACAGAAGCAGAACGCTGTGGCATGTGCAGACAGGAGGTGTTCAGGATATTCAATGGTTTGTGCCCCCCTTGCATGCAGAGACAACAAGTTCCTGAAAGAGGGGAACCTCAGCAGAATAACTTAAAGACTGAGGCTTCTTCTTCAGTTTGGAGTCAGGCCAGGGATGCAGAGCGGCCGTGCCTCACTCTCACGCCGGGACACACGTCAGCCTGGCAGCCACCTTTAGCAAGGCCTTGTAAGAGATCAGGCTGCCAGTTCTTTGGAACACCTGAGAAATTGGGATTCTGCACTATCTGCTACGTAGACTATCAAACAAATCACCGTAAGTCACATTGAACTTCTCATTATGAGTTTCTCTATATATGCATTCATCCTCTTTGTTTTGTTCTGCCAAGATCTGACTCCGCCCCCGGCACCTGTGCAAAGCCGGCATGGCCTGGAAGCAGGGTTTCAGAATGCCTCTCGGTGTCGTGGGCCGGGCTGCGGTGCAGTTGGGAAGGCAATGTTGGAAGGCTACTGCGACAAATGCTATGTGAAAGAGCAGAGCACCCGGCTCAACCAAGTGGCGCACCGCACACCTCACTCTCCTCCTCCAGTAGTGGTAAGATTTTCTTTGAAACGTTTCCCAACGCAACAAATGTCTCTCATGATACCAGCATCGCTACTGATAAACTAGTGAATCTTTGTATATAGCAATTATATATATATACTGAATAATAATTTGAATCTAAAGTATTCTTCTAATATATTGAAAAAAGGTACCTAATCAGAATCTGCTTTGTTTGTGTTTTTCCTCCAAAGCGTGACCGTACTACTAAGCCAAGATCATCACAGCAATCTCAGACGCAGACACAGACACAGACACAGTGTCGAAGGAGCGGCTGCAGTAACGTGTCCCCAGGGTGTACAGACCTCTGTCCAGAGTGCCACACTCGCGGCCAAGGCAGAGAGGGGGGCAGAAGGGCGCAGGCGCCTAAAGAAAAATCCAAGCAGCGATGCCGGACACAGGGCTGTGACCACTACGCTAACCAAGAGAAACAGGGCTACTGCAATGAGTGTGACCACTTTAAACAGATTTATCGCGGCTGATCAGCAACAATGACACATTTCTAGCACGTTAGAGCCGCTGCCCTGCTTGGGCGCTTATGCCAGTCAATGCACCTCCGAAACTAACTAACCAACTCACTATCTAGTGACTTGCTAGTAACCTTATGGCCTAAAATCCACTCCCTATGTAGAATGTGAAGAAAGAGTGTATGTACATGGGGAGGAAGTGAGTGTGTGTGTTTAACATTAGACATGGCCTCCAGAATACCTCTTTGTGCAATTATCATCTGATGTGCCAACAAGAGGTGTGGCTATATGTCAGCAACTGACTTAAGTGTACAATATGTATTTAGAGGTACGTAGTACATCGTGCCGGACAAAATGATTGTATGTTGACATAACAAGAAGCATCTGACATTGCTTTCTAGACCACAGCCAAGGATTTATACCCCAGTATGTTGTCTGTCCTAATGCATCTGTGTATCGTCTGCCTGTCTGTCTAGCATTGCTCTGGAGAGCGAGGGATGCGGTTTTGGATGCCCAAAACCAGACTGGAGAGCGAGAAGCAGGAGTAACTGGGCTTGAACATTCTTTTCATTGAAGGGCTTGAAAGAATTCAAATGACAATTGACAGTGTTGGTTCAGCTACACCATTTTAGTTTGAAAAGTTTCAAAATACATATGCCAAAAATACTCTTGTAAAATTTAAGAAGTACAATATTTTTCTTCCAATTGACAAGCAATGATAGTATGGGTTTATATTTTGACAAAACGATCTACTATTGTTATTTCATAGCTTTTGTGATAAAAAAAAGTTTTTACTTGATATGAAACAAAACATAAGACTTAAGTCTTGGAAATGTGCAAGACAGACAGGGCAGGCCCCTGCTAGTTTTGGTGCTACATGTACAGAACTCCAAGCCTCTTCATTGTAGCCAATATGCTGATGGACACAGTGGAGACTGGTTTCATCTTTCTATTTGGCCGGTACTTCCTCTTATTTCCCTTTTCCTGTAAACCTAATCTGTTGCCTTGGTCCTTGTTTTCTTGTTTACTGACCACTCGAGCACTTAGAAACACATTTGCAATTTTGCATATGCACAAACAAGGCTGTCACTACTGGACACTGCAACCTCTTCTCACTACACACATAGACACAGCTCTTTGAGATTGTATGCGCCCCACCTTAGCCAGAGGTGATGTAAGCAAACTTAATCTCTTTGCTCCATCCACTGGAAGTGCCATAGTGACACTTTTGAAATTTCAGACAGCAATCCCATTGTCTGCTTTACCTGAATGTGTTTATGCTGCTTTACAGCAGCACATTATTGGGGCTGATCCTCGATAAGTTTTGCCTTTAAATAGTAATTCAACCTTCATGGACCAGAGGGGCCTGATCAGTGATCCTGGATCAGTACCTCCACTTATCAAATGCTTTGTGAATATGGATCTTGGTCCATGTTTTTGGACCTTTAACATGATGCCTCATCTCTTATAATTATACAGTCACATTGCACATATGTTCAGCTAGGAGACAACTGATATTACTTGTATTTTCTCCTTTTTTATTGATTTTGTTTTGAAAGACATCTGCCATAAGTCACAATTGTTGTAATCTTCAAAAAAAAATTATAATCTGGCATATTCTACAACAGGGGTCTCCTCAATCTTTGGGTCTATCAGTAGCTCACAACCCCAAAGTAGTTCCCCAAAGGTTTAAAAATGTCCATAGATATTGTGAATATCTACCACAAATTTAAATGCATATTTTACAATCAGTAATACATAATTGATATGTTTTATGAAAATGAAAGGGGAGACCCTTGCTATACACTAACTAGAGAACCTTAGGTTGACTTTGCCTGTACAACTAATGTCTCAATTCTTTTGGATGGTTTGCCACATGAAATAAAAAGCCTCCCTTGGACTTTTCTTCTTTTCCCTGCTGTGGGCAAATGTCCAATCTGAGACTCTACTGTAGTTACACAGCTTCAGGCTTTCTTCTGCCTTCTTATTCATTTGTATCTCAAGCTGTCTGTTCATCCATGCTCTTATGGCCTGTATGTAGAACTATGTGTGCTTTAATCACCTCTAGATAAACCTTAATAAATTAAAAGGCCAATTTTGAGTCAAATCATCAGATCCCAAAGGATTATAGGTTCTGGGCTCTGACTGAATTTGACTGGGATCAATAAGTTGCACATGACTTGTCTGCGCTGCTGAGACATTTAGGAATGATACCCTGACTTGTTTGGGGACATTCCAACAATAGGAGAAGCATCCACAGAACAGAAGAAGGTGTAACAAAACATGCAAATGTGTGGAAGTCTTTCTTTGTGTGATTTTTCGACAATAGGGTATTGTATGAAAAAAAGCTGGTTTTGTTTGTTAAGTATTTATTCATATCAAAATATCTGTATTGTGTGATTCAATAATTATTTATATGTTGTCTTGAAATGAATTATTTTTATGACAAAATATCAAATCAGTCTGGTTGTGGTTGTTTTAAAAAAAGCTACCTGTACACAGTACATCATAGCTGCTAGAAGGCAGAAGTCCATTCAACGCTGCTGTGTGGATTTTCCACGCTGGTTTGACAGATTTCGTTAGTTATGTGGGTTAGGTGACATTTGACATTAGAGGGACTGCAGAGTGCTTTGTTACCACAGTCACACATAAAAAACTGCTGTGGTTTCCTGGAAATACCCAGATCTGCAAAAACATTAATTTGCAGAGTGAACTGAGATACTTCTTTCACAATACAATAAGCCATTTTATTTAAGTTCAATGCAATTTATTGACTTATTGCAATGTAGAACTCATCTCTAACACAACATGATCACTTCAAGTCAGACATGACCAAACAAAAAAATGACAAATGGCCCTTGGTGAGCATTCTTCTCAGATTAGTCTGGTCTGTATGTGTCCTCTTGTCTAACTATTGATGTACTCAATTGTCCATTGTTGCGAGGGGTGGGGTTTTATATTTGGAGAATGACTCACGTGATAATATTATTTCAGTCCAACACAAAAGTTTAAAAAAAATATCTTTAAATAATAATAATCTATGATTATCTTTGAAAATTATAATTAACTGATTGTGGTAAAAAAATACGTCTTATGTGATTGATTCGCAATGGAGACATTTGTCACATTACATTTACATATAATATATATGCGGGCGGGCGGGCACCTCCTTGCTGTGGGCACCTCCTTGCTGTGTGTGAGTGAAAAACAAACGCTCCTCCACAGTGACGCTTGTTGCTACGTTGTTTAGACATGGCTGTTGTTGTGAGCTTCATTTAGCTTAGCCTAAAATAAACACTTGTCACTGTTTGAACTCCAACTAGAAAAAGATGAAAACTTTTGAGTCGGATGAAGAGGATGCAGAGCAACTTGGTGCATATCAAAAGGAATTACGACGTAAGTTCTGTTCGGAAAGTTGTTACTATATTATTGGTACGTGACTTGGTTTTATGGAACAAGATGCAAAGACTAGTGGTCAGCAGTGGCCGCTATCTAAAGAGTCATGCACTAAAATCATGTTTAAAATACAAATCGTTTCATATAGCTAGCTATAGGTAGCTGATATTAAATGTACATTCATTAAATATGAAATTAGCCCGAGGTTTCCTGAAGATTATCGCCTAATACATCTACGAAATTGTTATAACGCTGCATTTACGTTTTATTGCAATATTCATGTTTAAAAAATATATTATTTTGGTTTATTTGGTTAATTTCACGATTGAAACAGGTCAATCAGGATGGTTGCATTCTTGTTCTTCTGAATAAGCTCATAGTGATAAATGTGGCAGAACCCGGGGATAGACTGAGTTTATGGGTGTTAGTTGGCTGCTGAAGGGAGGTCTCCATGTTTAACATGGTACAACTGTGATCTCGCATGAGATGAGCTTGCATGTTTATTTTGCTGTTTGTTGCCCTGTGTGACTTGCATCTAGAGCGGGCCAATGAGAGCATCCAGGAGCTCAGCACTGTTCTGGAAAAGCCCAGTCCCTTTGCTGAAGTAATGGAGGGGCCAGAGGGCAAGTACAGTGAGGGAGGTTCCCTTCATCTACAACCTGTAGAAGACATTATTGAATGGAGCCAGAAAACACAGAGTGAAGCAGGTGAATTAGAAAACATGGAAACAATGTTTTGTCAATTTTATCAGAGAATGAGTCATACATCTCAAAATAATTGTACCCCCCACAGTTAACCAGCTAAAAAGCCTTCTTCTCAAACAAGGCAAAGATATTCCTCCTCCTTGCTCTCCTTCTAAGAGGCTTTCTCCATCTAGGGTATTGTCTTTGCATGATTGAATCTGCTATTTTTCAGAAGTGCTTTGGGTGATTGCAGTAAAGATTCATCCAGTATTTGTATATTTTCTTTTGGCAGAGTGCTCAACAAGAGAGCAGGTCTGGTAAACATACTTTTCAGGATTTGGTCCCAATGATCCACAACCAGGCAGACTATATTCAGCATCTTGAAGCAGAAGTTAAGTTCTGCAAAGTGAGTATATGTTTTTAACCGTATACATAAAGTTTCAGAAAGTAATGTATATTTACTAGTTATCATTTGTTGCTTTCAGGAAGAGCTTCAAGGGATGAAACAACGTGTGATGGTGGTGGTGTTGGAGAACGAGAAGTTGCAGTCTGAGCTCAAATCTAGTGCTGTAGTGGAGTCCCTTAAAGACTTCACTTTTCAGACTGCGGTATTAGTATTTTTAATATGTGTAATTAAGCCTTGTAAAAAGCAATCAATTTCATTTTGGTTTTTCAGATGAATGAAAACGTGCCAGCCAATGGACACATTTCTTCAAATAAATGGAAAAATGAAATGGTAATGTTTTACTTGATTGATGTATTTATTTTAAGTGATATATATGGCAAAATATATGTCACGTCTCCTTATTTCCTTTCAGGAACAGCTAAAGGTTATATATGCAGCACAAACTGAAAGCTTGGAGACTCAGGTCGTCTCTCTCAGGTAAACTTAAGACCAACACTACATTGAACATACTATGATTGTCATTACACAGTCGTTTTTGAGCTTGAGAACGGGGGTTCCGCTGGGACATTTACTCAGTCCTGTGAACATTGGTTCAATTGCTTGTTTTTCTAATCTTCTTTTGGCAAATCAAGTATTTTTGTGACACTGCTGTTGATTTTTTTTCTATTTTATTTTTTATTTTTATAAAAGGAACATTGAGTGTGACTTGAAACATAAATACATGTACATAAATAGTTACATCTATGTATCTATAAAAAGACACTCATCTTTCTCCTCTCATGACATCGCACTGACTGCATCTGATGGGTTTCAGAGCTGGTCTGGTTGAGGGTCTTAAAGATTTCACACTAAAATAACAGCAATTGGTCAAAGTCAGATTCTGATTCATTAAAATGACCTGAGCCTCCCATAAAACTTGCTCTGAAGAATGTTCAAAGTGTTGGGAAATAAGATTAATGTGCAATGAACATTTGCAGTCAGTTTGAAAATGACATATAACAATTGTATCTGTTACTGTGTTATGACGTTTTGGTGTCTGTTAAATTTCACAGTATACATATTTTTATTTATTTATAATTGTTTTATGTTCTGCAAAGTTGCATTGATTTGGCATTGAATGTTACATTGTTACATATGTGGGAATGTATTCTATTCAGCCTGCATGTGTGTGTGTGTGTGCATGTGCTTGTATGTGCCATCGGAGCAATCATGGGAACTATAATCTCAATAACATTGAGATTGAGATTCATACATTGTGATTGTATGAATGAAAATGCAGTGTGATTGAAGAAATCATTGCCACGGTTACTGACATCAGAATGTTCCTTCAGAATGGCCCGACACGCAGAAAACCAAGAAACTGATTGATTTTGTTTTCTGATTAGAATAGAATAATAATAATAATAAGACAAATCTACATAACCATTTTCATCAGAAAAGGCCATACATTATTTGTGTCTGGGAACATGGACAAGATTTGGATTTTACATTTAGAATGAGTAATAATGTAGGTTTTCACATGTTTTATACTTTCGCCTGGCATCGATTTTTGACTCGTTCTGTAATATTTACAGCTGTTTATTGAGTTCAGCTCATTCATCTTGTTTGGAGTACTCCTTCTAATCTCTGTGCAGAAAAGTGCTCTGCAACACTGACATTTCTTCACTGAGGGACAAATGAAGGTTCTCTTATCTTTTTCATATTACAGAAAGGAGCTGGCTGCTTCTCTTAAAGAATGTGAGGAAGTCAGAGTTCGTTTGAAACACAAAGAGAAGCAGTTAGCCCACACCACTAACACCAATGGAGTCCCCACCGTGGCGGGGCTGTGTCTGAAGTGTGCCCAGCATGAAGCTGTTCTGGCTGGGACACATACAAATGTCCACATCCAGGCTATTGAAAGATTGACCAAGTCAGTAATAAATACATCCTATAGTTGAATTATTGTTTTGTAATCTGGTATTCTTGCTTTAGGGAACAAGATGAGTTGATGATGGCTCTCCAGACAGTACGTCTAAGTCTGCAGGAGGCACAGCAGAGGGAATGGTCCGCTTGTCTTCAGGTCAAGCAGGCGGTAGAGATGACTGAAGAAGCAAATCTTCATAAAGCAAGGGTGAAAATAAAACCATACACTAAGCCTCCAGAATTAAAAAAAAGAATAGTTTTAGAAGCAGCCCATTTGTATATTTTATTTACATATGTACAGATGGAGGTGGAGTACGAACAGTTGTCCCGAGAGTTGGTGCAACAGCGGGAGCGAGTAGAAAGAGAAACACAAGGCCTAAAACAGAGACTGACTGAAGCTCGAGAAGAAGGCCGAGCTGAGTCCCACAAACAAAAAGAGGGGCTATTAAAAACCGTATGAGCTTGAATCATACTATTATCTTTGAAGAAAAGAGATGTATATATTTTTTTCTTTCTGTAAGGTTTCTAATTTGACCCAACGGACGGCTGATTTGGAAGGGCAGCTGGACCGAGCAAGCAGGGATAAGAGCTCCTTATCTAATCAGCTGGATGACACTGTTCGCAAACTCACTATTCAAGAACAAGAAAGTACAAGGGTAAATACCACAGTTATCAGTGTTGAGTTTTGTGGAATTACATGATAGTTCCACTAGGTGGCACTAAAGGACTGTCCTTTAGCTATCAGTTTGACTTTATATTTATTTATATTTCATATTCTAGTGTACGTATAATATTTAAATGTTAAATTATAATCCAGTGTTTTAATATTATAGTAGATACTTTAGTGAAATAGAGAATCTGGACTGTCTACATTGGAATATTACAGTTGTACAGTGGAATGAAATGTGTTAAAATGTTTATAATAGCTTTTATTTGTCACCTCTTAGCTGAATGTGGATTTGCGATACCAGCTAAGCCAAGCCCTGCTGAAGAAAGAGGAGGCAGAGCGAGAACTTGGAGATCTCACAGCTAAAACACACAGACAGATAGAAAAGGCTGCACAGGTTTGTTCATCCTCTAACTTTTTAGTTTTAAGCTGTGAAATAAACACAAAACTTTTCTTACATCAAGAAGGGTATATTATGTAAACATATTTTTATGCACTGAACATTTGGTTTGGCAAAGGTTGGATTATTTGTGTTTACACTGCTTAACCTATACATTTTAATCTTCTGTGGCCTTTTGACTGGATTCATCTGAGATCATAAGGGGAGTGCTAGTGAAATGTATTCTAACCTCTCTGCTGGACAGGAAGTGGAAAGACTGAACTCTGAGTTGGTTGGCTGTCGGCAACATTTGGAGGTTGTCCAAAAGGACAATGGCCAATGGCAGGCCGAAGCTCTGAGCCTAGCGGAACAGCTGGCAAATGCCCAGCACCAACTGCACCTCACCAGGTAGTACCTAATCCTATTATACATGCCACCACACACACACACACACACACAGGCATACACAACACTCCCCTCTGCCCAGCCCCTGCCCAAGACAGTCCGGTCCAGTCCAGTTCAGACCAGCACACCAACTGTAGCACACCAGGTAACGCCTAATCCTATTATAGCAAGTTCACACACAAACATACACAATCTCATTTAAACACACAATACACACACGTGCTGCTGTGCTATGGTCCCGGTACCAACTGGACCTCACCAGGTCACCTATAATCCCGTTAAGCATGCAACAACATAATGCAGCACACATGACACACTGTCCGTTCTGCTACAAGGGTAGTGCCCTGTCCAGCCCAGCAACAGCTCCTGTTGAGCAGAAATGGTGCCCAAGCCTTTTCCCTGGCTCGAGTGCCATGCACACACAGAGAACAGTAGGCTGATGGTCACTGGACAGCTTGGTCCTTAGTGCCTCCTACCAATTTCCGGCACCCGTTCACTTACCCCCTGTGCATTATGAGTTTCCCTCCTTGCCATCTTTAATATCTTATCCATCAGAATTCATTAGAATTTGTTGACTGTTCCTTTCTACTTGTTTGGACCATTTTAAACTTGTCGTTCATCATCTGGCGGCTGATTGCTGATTGCACCTCACTGACTGCCAAGGCCATGCCAGCCCATGCCAGGCTCTCGGGGCACTCTCTCACCCCTGCTGTCCAAAGCTGAGGTGTTTGAGATAGGCACAGATGTGGCAGTGGTGCCCTGTGGTGGCAGAAACTGCAGGTCACAAGGTTGTAATGTGTGCTTGGATCTGTTCACCTCCTGTCTTATAGATGTGTGCACTTGATCTGTTTTTGTGTGCCTGTTAGCTGCCCAGTGCTAACCTTTTGACCACCTTTGCCCATTCGTCTAGTTTTTAGGGATATTTCAATGACTTGGTGCCATTTATTTCCAGAGTCTGTTGAATAAAGTTTGTAGTATTAAGGTTCATGCAAATTAAAGCATTTGCGTTTTGTCCTTTTTGATCACAAAATTTTCTCATTTTGCTCTTTAGTGTCACACAAACCCTCCTTACAGTCAACCAAATGGCATTGTGCATGAGGTGTGCAACCACCATATACCATAGAGTTGTAAAGTACAAGCGCATGAATATAAATGTGCTATCTGAAATGCACTAGTTCTACCATACAACGCATGTGTCCACACTTGCACAGATGCATGCCTGCGCCGGCTGGTCCCATGGCGGTTGGTGTGCTGCGCTGCGCTCCAGGATTGGATCATCAGCCAGCTGTGAGTTGGACAGCGCAGATCTGTGCTAATCCTCGTCACTCTGTTCACATCGGCTCACACACATGCACACGCGTCGTCTTCAGGCTCGGCCCTGATCAGCAGAGGGCTTTGCGCAGTTTGGTTTGTTTGTTTGCTCCTGTCTTTCTTGCATTTCCTTCATTTCTACTCACTCAGTCTCCACCCGGCCTTCGCTCCCTTTCGTGGGATCAGATTCATGAATCCCAAAGGCTTCTGTGAAAGTGGCCAGCAGTTTCAGTGAAACTACAGATCGCCCAGACCTGTTCATCTTCTTTGTGTTTTTGAATCTGAGCACAAACCTCTACTGGTTTTGTTATCCTCCATGAAATTGTGCATTCATGTTCATGAGGCACATTTTTAGAGCTTGTGATGGACTCTGAATCCTAATTATGTAAAGTGAAAGTTTACTTTCTGTTAATAAAGGGAGTACCCTTTATTAAGATTCAATATTGCTTTAACTACACACATCAACATTTGGTTTTAGTATTTTCATAGACCACATGCAAAGCATTGGTTCTCATAGCTAAAATTAAATGCAAGTAATAATTAGGTAGTATTAGTATTAGGTAATTGACACATTTGTGTTAAATTTGAAGTATTGTGAAGTCCATTGTAAGGTTTTGAGTTTCACAAACTTACCTCAGGCAGGCCCTCTCCTTGTGTCTCCTTCAGTTGTAGTTGGTGAGGTCTGGAGAGGCGGTGTGTGAGGGCGGAGAAGTGTAAATGAGGAAGGTGAGGCAACAGATGCCGTGTCCCGCCAGAGGCTCACTTTGAGCAGAGTCAAATCTGGGCGCGACAAAACTGCTGTAAACCAACTCGGCAGGAGGCCCTTGTCCAATCACGGTCCGGAATAAAAGGGCCTGGGCCTCACATGGGCTGCGGTCGCTCCAGAGATGCAGGAGCCTAATGAACTTCCTTGCTGTGCCAGTGAGAAGACACACTTTGTCTGTACCTGGTATTAGCATGGCACATCTCACACTCAGCAGTAGCCTCTTCATGAGGATAGTTGCTGCTGACATATTTGTGCGGTATTAGTTGAACCCAAGTGCTTACCTTTGTGGAAACGTTTGTGTTGATCCCTTTTGGCTACACCTGTATGTGTGTGTGTGTTTGAGTGAAGTTTAATGTGTCTTTGTGTTTCAGCAGCAGAGTAGTGCCAGGTAAGAAGCTGCTGTGTGTTCTTGAGCGTTTCTGACCGTTAGTGTCTGTGTGTGCCTGTCTGGTCGACAGCCATGTTGTTGGGTAGCAGATGGCACCATGGTTGGCAGGGGAGGGGCTGCTTAGCACAACTAATCAGACAGTTACGGATAGGGCAGCTGGGAGGGCCGCGGGCCAGCCTCATATGTGTGTACGTGTGTGCACCACACAGTGCCATGATGTTGACAGTGGTGGGCCCGTTGGCCTGGTGATGAGACCTCGCTGCGTTCTTCTCTCCTCGCTGTCAGAGTGCCCTCTCTGCCATCCTGCCTTCTCACCTCATTCTCTGCTCTCACACTGTCAATCTGTAGAGACCTATTTTCTCTGCTTTTGTTGTTCTATTAACTTTTGTCCATACCTTTACTGTACCTTTCTTAAGTTACTCTATTGTGTAAAGTAATGGCCATTATTTTTGATTTGTATCTGTCAAATGTTTCAGTTTCTGGAAAAGTTTTGGGGAAAATAACCGTCCTCACAAGGCCGAGTAGTAAGGATAAACTGGAGCTCAAAGATATCACACTGAACCGTAGTATTATTCGAGTCAACCAAGAAAACATTTTCATTGAAAAGATAACTAGGCACACCCCCGTCAACATATAAAGAAAATACCACTTATATACCATTATTATAGTGGTATTATATGCCTATTATATTTCCCCAGCATACAGGAGCGAGCGACCTTCGAAGTAACAATTATACTGTAAAAGATGTGATTCGAGTGATGAGCAGTATTGAGACTACGTATATTAGTTCATATATTCACATATAGGTTTTTGATTTAGGCCAGAACGTTACATTTGAGTCACATATGACCATTGCACTTGTTGATTGTGCCCCCACTTGCCTACTGTTATAATTCAACACGGGCTTTCTATGTCCCCACACTGAATGCTCTGACAAGAAACCTTATGTATAAGTTCATGAAACGCTCTGAGGATTCGTTAAACAAGATTATGTATACAAAACAATACTTCTCATGTGCAGAGCAGTGTTAGGCCCACTTCTGAACTTTAGGCATTGGAGGAACTGTCTATACAGAATTTTGTAAATTGTATGTTTGTGTGATGTTTGTCTCTATTTCTGTTTCATATGGACATTTTTATGTGTCTGAATTAAAGATAAAACAAATAGATAAATACATATTTGCCATTTGTTCTTAAAGGCAGATTTGTGGAGTGTATGTTGATAATATTTGCCCCATATGTTCAGATTTCTCCAGATGAGCTGTGATCTACACTTGATCTCTGATTTCACTGCTGTCCTGGTTTTGGTTTTCAGTTGTGTCGTACTCTTTCCATTTCCTGAGGATGGGTTGAACAGTGCTCTGTCAGATGTTCAAATCTTGGAAAATATTTGTATAACCTAACAACAATGCTTTAAAGCTTCTCCAAGTATAACATTTGACCATTCCTGATCATTGCAGAACAGCTTTTCCCGGCACACTTGCTTTCACCTCACAATTGTCTGCCACTTTGTATTTCACATAAAATGCCAATGAAATAGCTTCATGTTTGTAACGTCCACTGGGTATGAATACTTGAAAGACATCGTGTGAAGGAGAAAAAAAATGAGTGATTTCATGTTATTTTGCTGGTCATCTTGTTGATCATGTTGTAGCTATTGCAGCTTCCTGGGAGTTCCTTTTTACAGAGCACTTATAAACCTGAGGATAGTATGTATAACTTTGAAGTTTTGTAAGAAAAAAAGGAGAAACTAAAAAAAGTTGACTCCATTGTAACTTTAATCTACAAACATTAAATGGCTTCTTAAAGTATTAAATTATTCCTAAGTGGATGATCTAACCAGGATTGTTATATGGGACGTTAATGGTGTCAACCTCGAGAGTAGAGAATGTATAAAAGACTAACTGGGAGAACCTCAGGCAAGATGGAGGCAAATCTGTCGGCTACAACTGTTCCCACCTCAGCCAAAGTGCCCTGGGACACTGGCCTACATACCCACTACTGCTGAGGGACAGAGCACCAGCATTCTGGCCCTTCCACCCCCTAACAATCACCATTCACCTTAAAAAATTCAACTCAATTCCACAGTGATATTTTTTGTTATTGTTTTTTTGGATTCTGTTAGTGGCAATTTCTTTGGCTTTACTTCAGTGACACGGCTTCATTACAGTCTACATTTTTGTTTGCTGTTGAATACGGTTTTAAACATTTTAGACACAGGTGCTGGAGTTTGTACTAAATGTGAGTAAAATAAATACATAGACAAGTTTTTTAGTGTTGTTTTGATCATGTATTTGGTTACAGAATTCTGCATACCTTTTGTAACATATTCTAGTATGTGGTCCAATCAGAGTTCTGTATTCTGACCACACTTTTACGCTCTATAATTTACTATATTGTAAAAAATGCAGCTTAGAAATAGAACCACACACACAGATATGTGTTATAATGGTGTTGGATGGGAGAGGACAAGACAATGAACCAGTTTACAGAAAAGTACAGAGTTGGTAGAGAGTGATGTTCTTGCTGCCAATTGCCCCTGAGCCTTGAACAGGCTGAGGGGCTGGGACCCGCCTGAACTCACATCAGGGACGTGTCAGGTGTGAAGTGAATTCCAACACCAGGAGAGACGCTCCATGTGGTTTAACTGCAGCTTTTTCACATATTCTGTGATTGTTCAACTATTTGTGTTTTTCTTTATCGTTTTTGTAGCTATGAAGCCGATTGAAAATTAACATTGAAAATCTCATTCATTTGGCTTCCAAATGCCGCTTGCAAATGCATTATTTATCTGTTCAGAACTATCACTAGTGGTTATTTTAGAAGACTACTCGTCATTGATTATTTTTTCCGTTAGTCAACTTGTAAAACAATGATTTCCTTTTATACAATGATATTTCTTCAAGAAAAAATTGGTTTGGACATTTTGATAAAATAATGTAGGCGTTTGAAGGACAACAATCTTTTTATGTGTTTCTCAGCTGGTCCAATAAACTAACATTTTATTTTAGTTGTTTTGTCACAGGAAAGAGGGTGAATCCCCTTTTTGACATAATATTTAACAAACTCTGAAATAAAAACATATACAAAATTTCATACAACGTCATTTACACAAACACAACATGAAGACGTACACATAGAACATACAGACCCACATACATGTGATTATATCATATACTCCCAAATAGGGACAAGAGCCATACGTATTTATGGCATTGTACATCTACGATCAATTCACAAATATATGTTTAACTTTATCTTAAAAAATATATTATTATTCAACTTTATGTTTTGAAAGTTTTAATTTCTTATTGATCTGTTAATTGCTCAGGCCATATTGTTGCAGTATCTCACGAATAACGTCAAATCCCAGAAATGTTCATCAATTAATTAGATGGTGCATTTTAGGCAGTCATTTATAAATTTCCTCTTTTGACCCTAGGCTGCGCCGCATATGTTATTCAGTAATCATTTGTCTAGGGCACGTTGTGTGGCATGTTGAATCACGTCGTTTCTGAATTGGGTCAGTCTGAGAGCATATTGTACGTATGTTGTACATTTATTTTTAAAACTCACAGATGTCCTCTCTTCAAGTGCACTCCTCATGTGTTATGCCAATTAAGACTTTTAGACCTTCTAACTGAACCAATGGATGATGACAGAGGCCAATCAGATGCTAATTATTAATGTAGAAAAGTGCGGTTATTGCTTCCACTTGAAAGGATCACATGATTTACAGGTTTCTCTAAATCAATTACTAATATATGCCAACCATAATTGTACTTAAACAGTATTCTATGTAATTAACTAGTACAAATATCCAAAACAGAATCTATGAAACTTAACAAGTACTGAAAAACTAAAGATGTATGATTAGGATCTCTTAGGATTAGGACTGTAGAGTGAAAAGGTCCGTGTGTCTAGTGTAGTATTAGGCCTTTATTTTACAGTTTTTTGACATAACCTTAAAGGTATATACGAGGATTTTCTACTTCCGGGTGGATCATCAAGACTATTGGTCATCCCAATTGTCAATCATTCTGTTGATATGTGCTCGTCAAATAAGACCAGAGAGTTTTGTTCAAAAAGTGGAAAGGGCGGTTCTTTCATAGAATTTGGGAAAATCCTCCTATATGCCTTTAAGGAAGTATGGCCGTTATAGACTTTTATACTGATATTTAGTCAATGACAATGGTACGTATCACGGCTAACATTTTGTGGAACTCTTTTTTTGCATTGCATTTGTTCTATAGTTGCAGAGTACCTTGTGTTTTGCTCAAATGAAAACGCTTGCAGATTTCGGACACCACTGGCTCACTGACCTTGGTGATGGTAGGGTGCTGCGGTGCTCCTTGTAGAAGAAAGACGGCCCAGGCCACCCGCTGTAAACAAAGTTGACTTGCCGACAGATGGATTGAATGACAGAGGGGCTAAGCGAGCCAGGGTCGGGCCTGGCAGCATCGCAGCGCACAGAGACCAGGATAGAGGGAGGCAGAGAGAGAGGGAAAGATAAAGGAAGGGGGGCGGTGAGGAGGTGTGAACAGGTGCAGGCCCGCTGAAGGAAGAGCCAGCAGATGGAGAGAGACACAGCCAGTTTAGTTACAGGAAAAAAGGTGGGTGGGAAATGAGAGGGGAGGAGGGAAGTAGTTGAAAAAAGCTTGCAGTGAAGACAAACCGATCAGTGGATGGACAGTCAGCAGAGATACATCAGGCTGCCTCTGCGCCCGATGTGTTTGTTTAAAGAAGAAAAGGGTGTCTGATGTGGGAGCACTGATACCGATTACATCACCCTAAGGTTTGATAAAATGTGTTAAAACACATTGAGGTGTGTGAGAGAGAGAAAAGTGTGACACTGTGTGGTCTGCTGTGGAGAACAATTCAGATGTTTATTGTACACCACGCTAATGATACGGCAGCAAGGCAATTGTTCAATATGTCACTTCATTTTGAGCATGACGGACTCCCTGGATTTTGGCAGATCGGCACGAGGCTTCTATCTCACTGTCTCTCAGCCACACGTGGGTGCAAAAATATACTCGCACACATAAGATTTTAAGATTTGTAGATAGTTGTAGCAAGTGTTGAATATTAATTATCAAGATGATTGATGTAGTCTATCATAAATAGCTGTGGACATGTTGGATTTCCTCCACACAAATTAATCATCAGTGTCACCATACACCATTCAGGACACACAGGTTAGAGTTTATAGTTGTAAACACTTTCTTTCTCACATTCACGTGTAGTCTGTGCTTAAAACTTTTCCTCAAACTGCTGGTACCATCTTGAAAATAGTAGTTAAAATCCTCAGGTTGCCGATACTTCAATGTGTCTTTCTTGTAGCAGCATTATATCAGAATCATAATGTTTAAAACAAAAAAAAACATCCAGCTATGAAACTGCTTTGGTATTATAGCTCAATGACAATTACTAGTTGTAAAATATATTGTGGTAGGTTAGACCTGAAAATACGTCATCTAAAATGTACCCCCAATGAGTGCAGGGCCGTAGCTACAGTATTGCAGGCCAGAGCTTTCTGAGCATCCAGAGGCCCCCACACTGGGATTGTATACCCCCATGCTGCCATTTCACCCCCAGCGATGATTAAAACACAGCTGTTGTTGCTCCGATCAATGGCCCACTTTTCTGATAATCACTGATATTTGACTGAAGGCCAGGTCACTGCACCTGAGTGCTCCATGCAAAAACAAAAACGGGACTGACAGTGGCTTCACCCATGACCAGCTGTGACATCTGCATTCTGCCACAGGTGTAGTACTTAATTTACCTGAGGTTAAAAGTGAAAAGTGAAAAGTGAAGAAGCACATGGTGGAGTGCAAGTTGCAGCTTTATCTGTGACTTTGTACAAACAGCGATGGATCCGGATCCAAGTCTTGTATATGTGGCCATTCTTTTGAAGCTTTGCCTGATCGCCTGTTGTCGTCCCTCACCACTGTTGTGTTTAACCCATAAAAAATAAGCATCATAGCTGTCATGCCAATCAGTTTTATTAACCAATGAGTGTTTATTTTTGTCACAATAAACTCAACATCTCCAATGAATGAGACAGAGCTGTGTGATCAATCACTCCTGCGATCAAAGTAGCGAGCCGTGGAGCATCGAAAGTAAAGATGTATTCATTACAGCAGAAACTAAACCAGTTTCTAACCAAAATAACTTTTATTCCAAATACTGATCCTCGAAGACAAACGCACAGCTCTGTGACAACGTCAGTGGCTTTGGCACTTGGCTTTGAACTTGTAAAGTAATTCTTAAGTGTAGAAATAGTAATAGAAACCTAGGATACAGAAAAATGTTACCCTTCACTTGCTATACCTGACCCAAGTGCATATGTGTTCTCTGATGCCCATCTTTTTGTCTTCAGTCTAAAAATAAATACATTTGCAAAAACACTTTGGCTTGGCATGCTGATGCTGTATGCTGGGTTCACAACCTGAATGTTAATTTATTACCTGTTGGGTGATGTGAATTAATTAAATATATGTATTCTTAACTGATAAATAAATATATTTTCTGATTTTCTGCATTTTTGAGCTTAAAAGCGTGCATTGTTTGAATGTAAAAGTCAGTATTTATTTTGTGACAACGGCTTAGCAGTGGTCAGTTACTGTCTCGTGTTGGCGGAAGGCTTCAGTTCCTCCAAGACCGCCGTCTGAGTCTAATTTTTGCTCGTTCTATGATAAACCGCAGCATTTGGTGGTTCTGGCATTGGAAAGCAGATTCACCGTGGGGTGCAGCAAACTCTGCGCTTGGTCAGGCCCTGGCACCCCACATCTAATGGACAACAGCTTGAATAGTGCCCACTTAGGCAGACAGCGTGGACTGGACCCCTTTCACTTCTGCACTGTTACAGCCAGCTTCTGTCCCCATTCTTACCCAGCATCTCCTTTACCTGGCCACTGCCCCAGAGCCATAGCTGCTACCTTAGGCCCCTGGCCCACGCAGCTCCCATCGCACTTATCAAGCTGTCCTGCCACGCATCAGGCCAGGCATCTCTAAACAGGCCCAGCTACCAGAAAACTCAGCACTCACAGTAGGCACTGAGGCCCGGAGCTTCTGCCACAGGCACCAACCCAGAGCTCTGCTTATTCTCAATTAGCTCCAAGGCAGATTATTGCCCAGAGAATCTGCGCTCACATCAGCTCTGCCTCCAGCTCCAGGGCCTGGCTCTTTGTCCCTCTGCTGCTTCTGTTAAGTGCTTTATTCAACATGTGTTCATTTTATAATGAAGCGTTTTGTATTCTGTTTATGGGAAAACTATGATGCATTCAAGTTCAACATAAATATATAATTGACTTTAAATTACAATTCTTGACTAGATAATTTTTCTTGATGAATACTATACTAAAAGAATGGTGCTCCTCTCATGTTTTAGCCTTTGTCCCTCCTCCGCTTGTGACCACTCCATTGCTCTCTCTCTGACTGCTGGAACTTTCTGGCTGGCTGTCGGATGCTAATTGGTGGGTAAACAGGTCTAGGACCCCCCCTTTCCACAATGGCACATAAACACACACGCATACACACGCAGATACACAAATACACACGGCCCCCTGGAACCTCATGCAGGACCAAATGGCTGGCAACGCCTGCCCGCCATCTCCCGCTGAGCCCTGGTGTGCGCTTTGGTGGCTCAGGCTGCTGTTCAAGCCCAGCGGGGGTTCATCCACTCACACAAACGCGTACAGTCATCGGCGTAGACACATACTCGCTCCTTGTGTCCCCTGCACACCCGCCACCCGCTTTCACACCCCAGACAGCAGGACAGCAGGAGAACACACACACACATGAGGAACAGACAGACGCGGTCACTTTAGAGATGCAGGCCAAGCGCTGTAGGGGAGAAAAGTTTTCACTTAAACTGGAGAATTCTCTCTTCATTAGCGCCTTTGGACTTCAGGAAGAGTTTTGTTTATTTGTTCATCTTTCCACGTCTTTGTAGTTTTTTTTCTCTCTACGGTCTTTGTTTGTTTCTCTTGTGTTTGGCTACATTTGGGCTTAGATCAGTAAGAAAGTTTTGAACAAATTGGAGAAAATTTGTAGTTGTAGTACAAAAAGACAAATGAGCACCTTTTTGTTTGTGTTGTACCTGTAGGAAGATGAAAATGGTGGGACACGGGTGAAATTCTCTGAAGCTAGACCTTAGAACGCGCTGTTCGATTCAAGTCTCTTTCAGAGCCTGTCTTTGTCGTTTACGTTTGTGAAGGTGAATCTATGAGATGATCTGACCATTTGACATCATGTGGGACAGTGGACAGCTGCATGTTCACTCAGGGGTCCTCAAAGTGACAGCTGCCCCCTATCTCACCCCAAGTCTTTGGCACCCGTTTTCTATGTCGATATAAACTTTTAATGTCACCTTTTTGCTCAAACATGTATCAGATGTATTAATGTAGTAATGTATTAGATATACATTGGCAAATAGGGCTGAATGATTTTGTATATAGTTTTAGAAAATCTGATTCTCTAAGGACACATATCGAACATGTACAAGTAAGAATCCACCAACAAAAAACATGAATACAATGAATTGTTAAAACATGGCTTGTTGAGTTCTAAACCACAAGGTGGACGGCTTTTTTAAATGATTGCAGTATCTGCAAATTGCTAATTGCTGACAACTTTCAATATATCTTGAAGCCCTACATCAAATGATGTGATTGCGTTGCTCATTTCTCTTGTGTGATGAATGAAGAATATATCCATTTCCAAAAGCATGCCTATTACACTTAAATGATATGATTAGCCTCTTTGATATTTAATGTAGTTTTGCCAACATTGAATTACGCTTTCAATTAGTTTGTAAACACTGTAGTAAAAGAAATCTTATTTCATTAATTTGATTATTTTCCATCTGTAGTCTGCACCTGGAGTCTACATATTTAATTCCTAGTTGTGCTTAAACATATAAGACATTGTGGACTGATATCAGTCTTCACACTTGTTTGGCAGCAGATGAGTAAGCACACTTTAACATTTAAGTGAGTGAAGACTGATTTTACACGTGGCGAGCCAGTGCTGGTCGTAAAGTAACTGAAATAACACGTTTGAGCTGTGCTTAATATTTAGTGTCACTACAATGTCTTCCAACACCTTGTTTTTTTCTCAGACAGGAAATGGAAAATGCAGAGCGGACATACAAGGAGAAAATAGCGTCTGAAAATCTAACAACGCAGGAGAAGCAGCAGCAACTGATGTCAGAGCTGCAGAAGACTGAGGCCAAGCACCAAAGGACAGGTCGGTCCACTCATGCGTACGGTTAAATGTTAAATGTTCATAGGATGGTTTCACATGTGTTCACTGACAAACAGAACCACTCTGTGGCACGGTGGCTGAGTGGATAGCACTCTCGCCTCTCAGCAAGAAGGTCCTGGGTTCGAATCCCGGTCGGACCAGGGCCTTTCTGAGTGGGGTTTTCATGTTCTCCCCGTGTCTGCGTAGGTTTCCTCCGGGTACTCCGGGTACACCACTAAAAATATGTCCAATAGTTCTGGCATGCGCTTCCTGTACTGGTGACCCTGCTCCCATCTCTGTGTGGAGTGAGAGACAAATGACCAAAAAATTAACAATTGTAAACCGCTTTGAGACTCAGATCTGCAGTGAAAAGGCGGTATATAAATAAAAACTTACTTACTTACTTACTTACTCTGTCAGGCCTGTTTCCTTTCAACTCCAAACAGAGACCCACGAGATTCCATCTTGACTTTTCAATTTTCTGTTTAAAAGTAGGAGTTCTGGTAGCCCTATCATTACATGACATTTTGTCATTGTATTTGTGTATTTTTCTGATTGTTCTATTACAATGTTTGATTTTCTCTATTCTTGCTGCACTGTCTTCAGTGCCTCCCTGTATTCTTGTTCTCTTTCTTATGAAATAAACCAACCATGAGTTTCTTCAAAGGGATAATAATCCAGTCATTCACATCCATCTGAACTTTAACTTCCATAAACACTTGTCTATTTTTACTATGGCATATTTTCAGCAAATTTTTTATTTTGTCTTGCACAGCGCAGTCAGGAAGAACAAACAATATAATGGTGAAAGCAACATGAGAGTGGAGCTATGGAGAGTTGTCGGGGTCATCTGTAGTGTACATAAGACACAGGAGACCGTCTTTGTGTCCTCCTCAAGGACATTCAGTGTGACTCTTTAAAAAGATGCCTCTGTTCTCTGTTGCACCTTGCACCCCACCGGAGCTGCTGAATAGACGAGTGGGAGGAGATGGGCAAGAGCACAAGTTATGTGTGATGATTGAGTCTGGGCCGCCGTGACCTCAAGGACCAGAACGGAAGAGAACTACAGCTGAAGAAAGCGGAGATCTGTGGGGCAGTGCAGAGGGAAGAGGAAGGGTTCAGAGAGGCCCAGTGTGAGTAGAGCACAGAGCCGCACAGGCCCAGCTCCCAGCTCCCTGTCTGGCTGCACAGTTGAGCTGCTGCTGTTACCACATCTGCTGCACCATCTGGATCCCCCTACTCCCCACCCCTCCTCTCAGCTTTTTTTATTTACCTGTGGTTCCCTTCAACAAGCAGGAAGCCCGCTGGTACGTACTACAAAGATGGAGGACTAGCGGGGGAATGGGACAGGGTGAGGGGGGTGAACAAAGGCTTGGTTTCTGGCGTGTGTCGGCGGCACACATGTTGTCTAAAGAGGGCTGACATCAGAGCGCAGCAGGACGCCGTGAACGGGGAGGGGACAGAGGGAGAGACGTCCTTTAGCAGCCCGCATCACTTCCTCTCCCTGCACAGCCCAACAGACCGTCTTGATAATTAGCTTTTTCCTCATCCAAGTCCTGTCTCTCTGTCCATCCTCTTGTCCTCTGCGCCATCCGTCACGTCTCTTTTTGTGCGCCCCCTCCCACCTTTTTCAGACTTTTTTGTGTGGCCTTTTTCTTTTTTAAGTAAAGGCAAACAGAGCGGCCTCTAGATGATATCAGATATATTTGTTCCTCTCCCTGCCTCCCTCCCTCATTTTCCTCTGTTTGTTTCCAGTGCCAGTTCTGCTGTGTTTCTGTGTCCCAGGGTTCTTTTTGGCCTACGCATGGACAGACGCATTCAAAGCCTGTTCAGCTAATTAGCATTCTTCGCACAACTTTTCCACCGCTGACCAAACTTTGTTTAGTATATAGTGTGTGTGTGTGTGTGTGCTTCTTTACTTTACTTTTAATGACTGATGATGTGAAGGCAGAGACTGATGCCATTAAAATATTGTAATGCCATCACTCTTATGAGAGATATACTTTGTGTTATGTGGCATTATATTTGCGTTTTTTCTATTTACAATTCATACTTTTATGTCTTAATTGGTTCAGGTATGATTCATGCTCCCTCTCTTCACTTTATGCAAATGTTGGGCGCCCAAGTGTGAGGCACTTTTCAAAGAAAGTCCTTTTGGTTTTGCTCGACAGTAACAAAATGACAGAGCAGGTGGATCATTCCAAATGGCAGTCATTGTTATATTAAAAGAGCAGACATATGTTGGAGAGTGAAGCGCGGTTCATTTCAAAGGAATGATGAAAGCCCAGTGTTGGATTGTTCAGAAAGAGGCCCCTGTGAGCGGATAAGGATGTGGCAGGAAGGGTGTTAAAGGAGAAAGAAAATGCGTTCAAACAACTATCCTCTCTCCTACACCTTGCTTCCTTTCCTCAAGACATTTTAATTTGCCTAAGTTTGCATTCTGTTGTTTGAACTATTTTGATGTTAATGTTGACAAAAGCCATTTTTGGAATACAATCAAAGATACATGGCTCATTTCTGCTCCAGCCTTAGTTACACAAGGTCTTCATCTAATTTCTGTTCGTTATGTGGATGTGTTTTTCTATAGAACACAGTCCAAACACAGCTCCAACTGTGGTATAGGGAATATAAAGTGTCCCTATTATTATCTGCTCTTAAATTAAGCTGAAGCTCTATGTCTAAAATGTTAGTGTTTTCTATAATGTATACATGCATGTTTTTATACCTTCAATATATTTGTTTTCCATTTTCCCATTCAAGCGCTGTTGTACTTTGTAAAATAATAAAATATATTTAGAAAACAGCAGAACATCGTATCCAGCTCAGTTTCCTCTGCTTCCTACAGAAGTGTGTGGTGTTGGTGACCTTCGACTGCGGCTTTGTGCTGCGCTGCACGAGCCGAGGAGCCTCCTGTGTCTGAGCCCGTGTGTGTTTGGGCTCCAAGCAGCCCCGGCTTTAGGCTTCAACTGTCGACCCCGACACTTGCATTAAAGTTACCCCACTTTATTTCCATTATGACCCAAACCTGTATGTATATTTTGAGTGCTCCTTGTGCTCTTACTCCCGTCTTGTTGCAACATCAGAATTTCCCTACTGTGGGACGAATAAAGGTTTTCTTATCTTCATCGACTGAGTAACTTTTTAGCTCAGAATCATCTAAAATCGCAGCATTATTTTTCTGTTAGAGGGCTTTGTCCCGATAAACCCTTGTTTCCGTTGACATGCTGTTCCTTTTGGCTGTAATCTTGCACAGTTTGGCAAAAGAATATTTACTTCTATTTCAAATGTTTTAATGAATGAATGATAATTATTTTTACTTTCTATTTCCGTCGAATCCTGACAGACCGCCTACTATAGTTACTCAGTGTTACTTTAATCTTCCCAGTGAAACCTCACACGGTAGTAATCCAAAGATTTCTCCTTATCCTTTGCAGTGACAGAGTTGGACGACCTGCTGAGCTCCCAAGATGCCCTGATCAGGAAACTGAAGGAGGAATGTGTCACTCTGGGAGCTCTCCTGGAGGAGCGCACTGGAAACAGCAGGTGATTATTCAGCTTTTCTTCTATTTAGTTACCTCCTTATCTTCACCAGCTGTGTTCAAGTGCACTAATCCTAACACCATTATTAGATTACATTTAAATGGCCTAATTTCTCATTAACAGAAAAATATGAAACCTCCATCAGTTTGTTTTGTACGCTGGTAAAAGTACTGTAAAAACAAATGTCATCTACTGTATGTTGTCAAATATGTGTACCTCAAAACCCACAAACATTCTTATTATGGCTAGAGAAAAACAATTTGATTTTATAGAATATGTAAGACAACAGTTTTATTTTGGGGAAAAAATAGCAATATCATTTTTTTTATAATTTTTTGATCACTGACAGATTTTTTTAGTTTTTTAAGTGTTGTCACCTTTTGCTTCACGTCTGTATTCAAAATGTCCTCTGTCCATAAAAAGCCTTTCTACTTCAAGCTGCTCCTCTGTGTGTCATTTTAAAGCTCCCTTTCTCCGTGGCAGCTTTTGGGAATTAGCGTTTCGACATATCGCACAGTGACCTGTTTTCTTGTTAACCTGATGCTACAGCAGTCACAGTGGGCGCCCAGCTCCATCTGCGCTGCCTGTGTGCGGACTGTGTGTGTAGTGTGCGTCTGTATGTGGTTGGTTGTGAGCTCTGTGTCGTGTGTCTTTAGCTGCACATTAGTCACATGGCACTGGCCTTCAGAGCTTCCAGCCTCGGACAACACAGTAGGGCTCTGTGGTTCTATATTAATGACATATCTAACGTGTGTGTGTGTGTGTGTCTTCTCTTTGTGCTTCCTCTTTCTGCGACACAAATCAACTGTACATGTTTGCTGAGGTTTAGGCGCACTCTGGTCTTGGTGTGTTTTGTGCCGTGGGCTGTTTGAGCTCCTGGAGTCTGAGCCCAGTGTAGCGGTGAAAGTCCTGCTGGACAGCCGCAGCTTGGCTAAGTGAAGTTACTCTCAACTTACCTCAAAAGTTTCTTCAGAGTTGGCGCCTTTTGTATGGTGCAAGTAGAGTAAGTACAGTAAGTACAGTTGTGGCCGCATCACATCTGTTCGTCTGACTTCTTCTCTTTCTTGCTGGTGCCTGTCTTATCTGTCTCTCTCAGTGTAGGTATAGATTAGACATTTTTACTTGTCTCTTTATTGAAGGTCTCTGTCTGTGGCAGGCGTGAAGTGGAGCAGTTGTCTTTGGAGCGCCGGCGGCTCGCAGACACAGTCCAGAGTCTGAGAGCGCGCTGTGTGGACCTGGAGCAGCAGTGTGTGCAGCACGGCCGCATGCATCAGCGCATGAAAGACAGGTACAGACTCTGTCCTCTGCTGCTAAGAGCTACTGTTTATTCAGGCCCAAAAGAATGGTTTCAGTGGTCTGTGTTCTTTCAATCAGTAACGCCAGATAATTGTTAAATAAAAACATTTTTGTAGCTCTGTGATTGGAGTTGAGTAGCAGTCGCCACCAAACTTTTCCTTTCCTTTGTGGCAAAACAGAAGTTTGAGGTTGTACTTTTGGTGAAGTGAAAGCCGCTGCTTTCTCCTGGGCTTATGCTGCACGATCTGTACATGCGCCCTGGGGTGGGACTGGCGTTCAGCCTGCTGCTCTGCCGTGGGTGCAGTTGTGTAGGAGTTGTTGCCCCGCTCAGTAGGATCACCCCCCCCCCCCCCTCCAGCCCCCCCCTCCCTCCTCAGACGTACTAACTCCCTGGTTCTGTCACTGACACTACATATTGTCTACCACCCACTGGCGTTAACCTGTCGACTGTCGGGATGCAGCCAAAAAGACAAAGTTTACCGAGTCACAGCTGCCTCCTGGTTGTGTGCGACCGATGCGTTTGCGTGGTTCAGGAAAAAAACTCAAGTTGTCATAAAGTGTGAAATATGAATATTCTGTACATTTATGCACATATGTTATAGTGGTATTTTTAAAAGTGTGTGTGTCTGTGTGTGTGTGTGTGTGCGGCTCGCTTTTGCATGTTCTCAAGAGGGTTTAGAGCAGGAGTCTAACTGCCAAAAGTGGATTGGCTGGGAAGTTGGCACCTAACTTCTCTCGTCTCCCAACTGAACCACGATAATCACTCTTGGCATTTAGTGAGTTTTATTTTCTGCTCTGACACTTACTGGGTTGATGAATCCTCCTGATATTGTTAGCCTCCAGAGCTTGGTTGTACAGCAGGTCAATTTTAGACCTTCAGCTTTTCCAGTAAACCATTGTGCATTCACAGATCTTTTTGCTGCATTGGTTCAGTTTTTTTAGCTGTAAAATTTTGTGACGTTTGTGTGGAAGTTTTTTGTACATTTGGTATTTTGCGTTTTGATAGTTGAATAAGCGGGCATACATTATGTGGTTGCGGTGGGCGCCCTGCCGTGCTGCTTGGGGGTTAAGGTGTATGTGTTAACAAGCTGGTGCAAGTGGGTTCAATATCCAGCGCCCCGCCCCTCCCCACAGCCTCTCCATCGGCCTGCAATCTGTGCTGCGAAGAGCGGCAACAGCGCACCACGCACAAAACATTTGGAAAATCAGCTTGATTTATTTTTACATGGGCAAGCTGATTGCCAAACTACACAGGGGTTTTTAGCACACAATGTTTTGCTTCACCAATTATTTATTAATTTAACTATTTCTGCATTGCTTTTTGTTTTTTACCCTCTTGCTTCCAGCCAGCAAGAGTTTGAAAGGAGGCTTGCATCTGACTTAAATAAATTGTATAATGCAGAATTAATTGAAAAACAATTGTCTGTTTAGACTTTAAGCAACATCATTCTTTTTTTTAACCTGTGCATTATTCATTCATAATTTCAATAGAATTTGAATCTTTAAATGTCTATTTTGCGGTGTAAAAATGTGTCATTGAAGTGTGCAGTAGAGATGGACAAACTGAGAGAATTCTCTGTGGTTGTTGATGAAATCGCCAACTATAGTTGAATTGTGTGAACGTTGTTCTCTTACGGATAAATGACCATGTATTTGAGATACTGTCAGAAGTGATAATGTGGAAGGCAGTACTTTTTGCTGAGCTTTACTCTAAGGTTTCTCAATTATTCCTCTGTTTTTCACCATTTCTCTTTAATTTTATGCATGTGGACTTTTTAAACTGTACAACTTTTCTCCACTCTCCTCCTCGACTTCCTTCCTTTTCAGTCAGTAGCAAACGGCACACAACCTTCTCACCCCACAGCTGCTGTCAGGCTGTTTCACCAATTATCACTGTGCTTGTACAAACTTGGGTCACATACACAGTGACAGACCCAGCGAACACCACCACAGTGAGCTGTGTGCGAGGCCAGTGCATCCTTAAAGGAGCGCACGGCGTATACGCAGATGTGCTGCAGATCCACAGGCTTCACTGGGCCATATGGGCTCCATGAAGAAAGATGGTGCGTGCGTCTGGAGGAGCGCTGCGCAGGGAGGAGGGCTGGAGGACGACGGAGGGCCATGTGTGGTATGAGCTGTGCAAGCAGTTGTTGAAGTATGTGAGCCGTGGATGTGTGTGTGCCTCAGCACCAGAGGCTCCAGGAGATTGCTTAATGGAACAAATGGTCGCGGCGGGCCGGGAAGAAGAACAGGCTTGCTGCTACCGCGGGCGCATGGCGTGCTCCGGGCGAGGGCTGCTTCATCTGGGCCCCTGCCACCCACTCCCCCACACCCCACTCCCAAACACGCAGCGTGCTGCCATGCCCCACAAGCAAAAGGACGCTCGTCTTTAAACTTTTCATTAGCAAATGAAGTTGGCAGGGTCTGGCACAGGGAACCAGAGCTCTTTTATTTGTCTCTGTCATCTGTGTGCACACATTCTGAGACGTGGGGCGGATGAGAGACTGAAGGATCAAATGAATGCAGGCGTAGGCCAGTGCACCAGACATACAGTCTATATGCTCTTTAGAAATTGGACCTCACACTGAGACCTTCCAAAGATTAAGCCATTCTACTCATTTACATTTTTAAGATCCAGCAATAGTCAAAAATCTGTGGAATCTGAGGTTTGGGTCCTCTTTGTAACCAATGTCTCTTTTTTTGAATACTCTTATCTGCATATACCACACGAATACAAAGCCTGGAATAGATTAATATGATTTTGTTTAAAGACACACAATAGACTCTCCTGGGCGTCACCAGATTTGAGATGTTATAGCCACCTCTGTTTTGCTGTCATCTTAAATAGTTCCCTCTGGGTGGCGCTAAAGCCTTCTCCTGGTTTGTTCTTGTGGTTTGTCTCAGTGCTGCCCAGCTGGCTCCTGTAGCCGGGAGCAAGCGCAGGGCGGCCTGCTGAAAAAGCATTGTCAAACGGTGGCTTTACAGCTCTATCACTCACACACAAACGCGCTCAGACGCACACATTTCAGCTCAGATGTCGCTGTAGCCAGCGGCTCACAAGCTGGAGCGTTAACTGTGCAAAGCTTCACATCTCCAGCCCCAGTCAGCGACACTCGCTAACACAACTTCATAAAAGTACAAGTAGAAAAGCAGAAACACCTGCCCCTGCTTCAGAAGTAACTACACAAGAAGTAAACTCTTTAAAGCCATGAAAGCAGTCCTCAAACAGAGCATATAAAAGGAGGTCCTCACGGCAGCACTTTGACACTGACTAAATGATAACGCTGCCTTCAGCACCACACAGACCTGTGTGAATGTGATCTCATAATAAAAGCAACAACTTCTGCACAGATTTACAGCTGCTGCAGGCTTCACTCTTAACCCCATCTGTACAAATGTGTACGTGTCATTCAGGCTCAATGTGCTGCTGATCTGAGCAAAGATGAAGGTCTGTGCGCGACGCTTCTTGTTATTCCAATTTCCTATTCAAAGTTCTAGTTAATAGTTTAAGTTGCAATCACCAGTAAATGAATTTAATCTTTTTAGACACGGTTCCTTAATGATCACATCCACATCCAAAGGCCTCGTTCTTAAAACCTCACCTCTTAAGCCACACGCAATAAATCAAACAGTGAAGAAAAGCATGTGAAGCTCCCTGATCAAAATCAACAGTGTTCCCATGTCAAACGATGTGTGTTAGCAAGAGCAACAACTGGCATGACAGGTTGGCGGCGGCAGAGGGGGCATTGCCGTGGGCCTCGCACACAGACACACGCTCTGGAGTGCAGCGGTGCCAGCCAAGTCTGCGCTGGAGCTCAGGGCGGCCAGGGTGGCAGCGGCAGGGCCTGGATCGGGCAAAAATCTGCTTTGGTGAGTGTGTGTGTGTTTGTGCGTCAGTGTGTGAGTGTGTGTGGCAGCTGCAGTCGTGACGCCTGCGGCCGTGTTGTTGTAAACCAGGCGCCCCCCTTCACACAGGTTCAGAGCGTGAGGACAGGCTGCTGCGTTTGGGCGAAAGCAGCAAAGATGAAGGGCCACAGCGTAAATAAGGATCATGTCAAGGGCCAAGACGGATAATTGAATTTGACTAATTAGATTGAGAAATGAATAACCCTCCAATGTGGTTAATTGCATTTTGTGTTACAGAAATTTAAATTAATTTAAATTTGTGTCACTGTTTTCTTGTTGATTTTGTTTATCACTGCTATCATCTTGGGACTTTCTCCACAACATTTCTCTGCATAATTTGTCTCAAAATGATTATCTCAAAACTGCAGTAAATATGGCTAGAATACAAGACACCTAATAAGCACTATTACTACTACCCAGTACTACTTTCATCAGTAAAATCTTAAAGTTGACATAATTTCAAATGAGCAAAGTAATAGCTTCACTCTGATCGTTTGCCCACAGACTTTCCAAATGTGAATATATGCAATCCTTAAAGTCCTTTCATGCCATGTTTTGCCTGAACAAACGTGCTTTTTGACAACTGGGGAAATATCTATTTGTAAATTAAATAAGCAGCAACCTAATTAAAACGACGTGGAACTGTTAGATCTTGCACTAATCGGTATTCTTCATTAAGATTGACGACATACAGCGAAGCGTTTTATCCTCAGAAGCAGATTTTGAAGTCCTCCCGTTAACACATGCGTCTTTATATATATTTGCAACAGTGGCCTCTCTGCCGCAGCTCAAACCCACACGTACAGCGAGTCAGATGGGGATCTCTGAATGACAGACCCAACCGTTACCATGTTTTTTCATGTTTTTTTTTAAATACATCTCTTATTTCTCTCAAAACATGACGATAGCACTTTCCCTTTGGACCGTGCCTTCAGGACATATGCTTTCCACCTGTAAATAAATATGCAAACACGACCGCCGAGTTTCCACGCTCGCTGCTGTATGCCACCGAGAGATGCACCAGCGTCTGTGCCACTTCTAATTAATCTCTTCAGTAGCTGGAGTTAATACTGGTGCAGATTGCCGAGATGCCAGAGCTTTTTGTTGCGAACCGGTCTGGGGAAATTACAACAAAAAGTGCCTCGCAGCTAAACGTGTATTTTGTGGAAAGGAGAAGAAAAAAATAGGGAAAAGTGTTTGGTGTGGATGTGGTTGTGTGTCAGTGGAGGGCAGGAGCCAGCAGGTGGTGTCCTTTGTCCTCTTTCCGGAGACGCAGGGGACGATGTGGTCCCTTCAGGCCTCAGCAGCAGCCAGATGTACAGATAAAAGGCAGCTTTAAGAAGACCTGAATGAGGGCTAGAGGCGTGTCGTGTATAGTATTGCGACAAAGGAGGGTCTGAGGACAGCGGTGATGATCCAGGACACTCCACATTCAACATTTATCGACTTGATCAACATTTGTGGACATTGGTCATCTGCCCCTTATGGATTAATGGCTCTATGTATCTGTGCTGCCAAATTGGTGGTTTTGTAAAGTCCTTTGAGATAACTACTGTTGTGATTTAGGGCTGCACAAGAATAAATCAAATTGAAATGGAATTATATATTATGATTGTTTTAGATTAGATTGTTATGATTTTCTATGCATACCTTTTAATATGCACTATTTTTTTTTCTTCCTTTTTTCTAACTCCAAATTTCTAGCTTGTGTCTTCCTGTTACTTACAAAATAATTCTGATTCTGATTGTCCCTGAATGTCTCATGTGGGGCTGGGATCCTTTTTCAACCAAAAATACCAGATTCATGAAATGAGTTATAATTGACTGTTCATGATCGTAATGGACTATTTATAACAAAAAACGTGACACTATCGTAGTATAAAACTAAATACACGTAGAATAAATAATTTGTCATCAGAATTACACTGTTTGTTCACTTTCTCCATCGAGGATATTTTTGTGTTGAATTTTTAAAAATATGAAACTATAAATAATAAAATAAATCATTTAAATCATTGTTTTACTCGTCAACATTAAAGTCAGCGACCAGTTTACTGCTGACTGCTTTAGTCTGATTCTGAAAGTAGACATTTGAGTTTAGATTTTGCTGCGCGCTTCAGATTTTTTATTTCCAATACACCTTGAACTGTTAATGATATTATCTGTAAATGTCCAAAACGTATAAGTTAAGACAAACCTTTATTCGTTGCTCAGTGTGGAAATGTAAATGACCTTGTTGTGCACTGCAGAAGAAAAGCAGAAGATACCAGCTCTCAGGTTATGCCCACATCAAACAGGCTCTATTATTTAACATAACAGATTATAAATAATAAAATTAAACTCTGGAGGCATAATAACATTTGTTTCAAGGATAAGTCACTTGTGGAGTATTCTCTGTAGTTCGCAGCATCACGAGGTATTTACAGATGCTGATATGGTTTTTAATATCATTGTACATGTGTATGTTTTTATAGTACATTAGGGGAGTAAATATCTATCAGAAAGCCAACAGTTAACATCATAAGCCTTACACTCTTCAACTAAGCCTGGTTTATCCACGTCCCATCGGACCGCTCCGGCTCCCGTGCTCGCTCCCCTGGCAGCGGGCAGAGGCGCGGCCCGCCCCTCTCCCGCGCTCTGGGGTGTAGGCCAGTGCCTGAGCATTAAGCCGCATTAAGCCCTAATTAATGAGCGTGCCAGTCGATGGAGGCCAGTTATTGGATCTGCAGCTTTAGCGCTGCTTTGTGTCCGGGGCCGAGGAGAGAGCAGAGGTGGATTACAGGTGTACGCTGTGTAAGGGGGCCAGAGGTTGGGACGCCCTGGGTCAGATGGCCCTGTCGCTGCTGCCCAGAGCTGTACCTGGACAGACACACAAACTCACACATAACAAATGCTGTGGTCCACATCTGAGGGATCTGCAGAATAGAGATTTAAATAGTTCCAGTCGGTTCAAACGTGCAAAACATCAAGAAAACAAATGACACAAGATAATACCTCCATGCTTAGACTTTCACAGAATCCATTTGGCATCAGCCAGAGTATTTATCCTCATTGTGTTGATTGAATTGAATAAAGTTTTTGATTATAGATTGAAGCGTAGAGACAAATGAGCATGTACACACCATGTAAATGTTGTGATCTAGAATGTGTACGTTCTCGCTCCGTTTGTTTTGATTCATTTTGTTTTTTCATTTTTACATTAAAGGCAAAAACAATCGGCCTCTAAGTGCTGCTTGTGCTCCACGCTGGTTCAGAGTTAGAAGAAAAACGTGTTCTAAATGCTCGGCCTGCTGAAACATGGCTCACCCTATGGAAAAGAAACATCACAAAGGTCCAATATCGTTCGTTTTTTTTTACGATGCTAACATTTCAAACTCTATTTTAATGTTCTTGAATAAACTCGATGTGATCTTGAGCTGGGTTTTTTTGGAGAAAAACTAAGTCATTTTTATCACGTCAGTTATTCAAATAAAGTTCAACATTTACAGCAGTGATTGTGAACAAAAAGGGCTCAAACATCCAAAAAGAATTACTTGACATTCACTCGATAAGTAATTAGACGGCCTTTATTAGAGGTTGCTTCCAGTTAAATCATTAAAAAGAAAATGCTCAGGAAGTCTCAAATGTCCTGTTTTGGAATTTTGTCCAAAGTATCGACACTTGCTCATGTGAGTCTAGTTTTACTGTTCATAAGTTTGTACATTTGATTTTTGATGCTGTTGACAGCGGCCCGACACAGATATACAGCGTGTTGAGTAATATATAAATGTATAGGACGGAAAAGCGGTGTATTGTGCGGCACCTTGAAGTGGGCCAGGGAACAGATTGCGGAGGAGAGCGGGATGTTGGGCTCGGCCTTCTGTCACGGGCGCGCGGCTCTGCCAACATGACCAGCAGGATGAGGGCAGCTGTCCACACCCCCTGGCTACATGCCCCGCCCACCAAACCTCACCCCCCCCCCACCCCCACCCCCACCCCTTCAACCTCTTTTTAATGGTCTTCAAGCCACTACCACGGCGTCCTCACCAATTACCGTCACCCTTCAACTCCAAAACCGGAATCAAATATTTCCGTGACACCGCGGCATCATTACGGGAAAAATACAAGTTGAATCCATATTGTCGCTTTTAATTTGCTCAAAAGAAGCTGGCGATATATAAATAAACAAAACACAAAAAACACTGGCCTACATATTGTCTGCAGCCTACATTCACACATTCCTGGTTTTCCATATGAGGCATCTGTTGTGTGAGGGCATGCATTCACGGATGCATTAGACTGGAATTAAATCAAGGCCAACAGTTCTTATTTTTATGTATTTATTTTAATAGAAAATAATGTCGGGTTAGGGTTTGTCGGATCTGCTTCTTTACCTTATTCATATTAGATTTTTTTTTTCAATCATCAAATTGTAAACTCTGAGCTTTGATACAGTGACTTTTCTTGCTTTTGAAATGTTGTATTTTTTTTCATTTTGTTATTAACTTCATATTTGTTCGTAATGGAATAGTACGTTCAAACAGAAGCCAGCAATCTCACTTCCCACAAACATTTCTTACATCTTGCTCTTGTGTGTATTTGTGTTATTGATTTTAAATGTTGTTTATCTCCTATAACACTTCAGAGCTCCACTTTTTGTCAACAAAGTTCTATAAAAACCCTGCGTCTCTTAAATAATTATTATGCTAAAGACAGAGATTTTTTACTGCTTCTTTTTATGCTAGAGTTACAGATAGTGTTTTATTATTTTGTTTTTATTCATTTATATTGTGCTGTGTGCTCATCATTCTTACTGTTCTGTAACTTGCGATACAACACTGAAATTTCCCCAGTGTGGGACAAATAAAGAATCTCTTAATCTTAATAAACTTGAGATATATTCACTACATAAGAACTCCATAAACTCTGGCCTGTCTGAAATCCACGTTGTTTTAAAATGCTGTCAAATGTTGTAAAACCGGATCAGCTTCGAGATCCCAGCTCCATATGGCTCCGTATGCAAATTCTCACATTCCTTCGCTGCGCTGTGAGAAAACCAGCTCACACCGCTGCAGCGTGAATGAGTGAATGAAATAATGGCAGAGGCTGGTGGGAAATTGTGGAGCAGCACCCCTCCACCCAGCCGCCCCAGCTGGAAGAGCCTCCTCCATCACGCACAGCGCCCTGAAAGAGGCCTTTGTCCGCGGCGGCCCGGTGTCAGCGAGGACGCGTTAATTGGGACGTCCCAGTAATCAACAACTGCACACAGAGCAAACTTTCTCACAATATTTTACCTGCGTTTTCAAAAGGACAGACTGCGCCTTCTGCACGCCGTCGCTGTTTGTGTTTTGAGGAGTTCTTTCTGATGACTGACTTTATAAATCAAACTATAGACACTAGAAATCAAGTGTGATGTTAGCTTTGAGATGTATTGTCCAAGCTACTTTCATCTCCACTCAGCTTCTGTTTGGTCACGTCCTGCTCACTACTCCTACTACTACTGTCTGCATAAATACTGATACATTTACATTGTAATCTGGGCCAGTAGTTCTCAACTGGAACGGGAGCCACCATCAACATACACCACCGAGCTGTAACCAAATTAACTAGTTTATAAATCATGTATAATACCAAAACATATTTAATACAACAAAGCTACAGTTGGTTTATCATTTGTATTTAATCTATTTTTCTGTGGATTTTTATTTGCATTATAGACCGACTTTTTAATATAACTCTTTAAAAGCAAGGTTTTTTTTAAGAAACTATTTTTGCTGTGTGGTAGATAGATATTTATGTTGCTCAACAGTGAACACGACTGTCCAGTTGATCTGATCAAGGCTCTCCAGGTATTAAACACCGCCTTGTTTGAATTTTTCTTTTCACACACTGCCTAGAGGAGATTCAACAATTATCAAATGACCTTATACCATAATTACTGTACATAATGGTATTGAAACCCCAAACATTTGTATTTCTTCTCACTTCTCTCACCCTTTGTGTAAACTTCTTATCCGACCAACACAAGTCCCATTGACATAAAAAACTTCTCTCTTTATTCTCTCTTCCAATATTTACAACATTTGGCTGTATATGATGAGGCTCAGTCAATATTGTGTGTGTGTGTGTGTGTGTGTGTGTGTGTGGTAGGCTGCAGCAGTTGGACCGTCACTGTCAAAGCAGCGCTCAGCAGGTGTGCGAGCTGCTGGCCAAACAGAACCAGCTGATGCACGAGAGGAACGCGCTCACACAGGACATGCGAGAGCTGCGAGTCGAGGTACCTACTTTTCCAACCAATAACTGGTCTTTGCTTTGTCCTAATACCACAACATCTGCCATCTCCTCAGCTAGAAACAAAAGTTATTTACATCGTGTGCGTGTGTAAATATATTCGATCGATCTCATTCATAATTCTGCTCAAATGACTGTAAATAGCGTTTCATTGTGTTTGAATAAGCGTCTAATGTTTGTGTTTACAGCTTCCTGGTGTGAGACAAGTGGACGTTCTGACCACGTGACTGAGGGAGAGGAGCGGCTGGACTGGACGAGCAGTGGAACAATTGGATACGTTTCATGGCATAAGTGGACTCTGATGTGAGAAGGTGGTGCTTAAGACCAGACTTAAAACCCCGGGGGGTTGCTCTGCCGCCCCACGTCAAGACAGCTCCCTCGCTGGAATGTTTCAAGTTTTATATTTTTACTCTCTGGCTTTTAACACCGTGTGAGTTGTGTGGTCCTGTTTATATTTGTTTAATTGTTCCATCCATTCATATTCTTCCCCTTAATCCATTTCTGGGTTGGGGGGGTGGCAGTCAGAGCTGCAGCCAATTCAGCATTGTTTTTATTTTTATTTCTAAATTGGATAACTGGTCATTTATTGTTATTAATTTTGTATTGTTTATACTTTGTGCAAAATGTTTTACTTCCATTTTTTAAACATAATGCTGGCAAACCTGTATTTTTAAATGTGTTAATTTTATGTGTGCAGCACTTTGGAAACTTGATTTTTTTTAATGTACCATGTAATTAAAGTGGATTGGAAACATTTAGTCTTTTATAATGATTCTAAATGAAACACACATCTTGTAACTCGTGGCTAAACTGTTGACAATATTCATATTGACAGTCTATGGTTGACACACGGATACCCAGACAGGAGAGCAGGTTGACATAGTGCTTTATTGAAGCTGTCTGTACGAAGGGACTCATGTGCATCCCTCTCATATACATTTCATGTGTAAAAATACTAGGGATGTACAGTGTAAAAAACAGCTTCATGTTGATGGTAAGTCGTTGTTTTCACGTGGAGGCGGCCTCAGCGGCAGCAGCACTGCGTCTTGACAGCACAAGTTACAGAGACAGGCTGTTGGATCTGCTTTTTTGTGAAAAATATTTGTTCCCAGCACTGTTCCTAGTCAACAACACCTCATGAAGTTGACGATGCTTTTCTGGGAAACTTGACCACTCAAACAACTGTAAAGCTACAGTAGATTTGGACATAGAAATCTGATATAGTTTGTATTATGAGCTTTTTTTGAACGTGTTATTAATAAATGTGTCTCATGCTTCTTGTTATGAATGTTAATAGACGACTACCAGAGATGAAACGAAGGAAGGTGCAGCCATCGGGTCAAACACCAGGGACCGGTCCAAAGATTTGAGCCACTCACTTGTTTCCGGTGAACGGCAGGCGCAGTGCTGTCGGTTTATTAACAGCAGGTGATGTATTTACAGAGCAGCGTTGAGAGAATACTACTGGCATCTGTCGGTGATGGATGTAAAGTACAAACAGCAGCAGCGTAAAGAGTGGACCCAAAGGTTTCACACAAGTCCAAAGGAACGTGTAAAGCTGCCCCTGGTCGCTCTGTCGCGCCCAAAGTCACATTCCCAGGTAGGAAAAGCCATGAGCAAAGTTACTAAGATCCTCCACCTGTAAGAATGGAGAAAAGTATCCTGATTGCTGGACTTGAATGTTTTCTTTGAGTTCCGTCAGCTTCTTCTGACTCAAGAGGAAGAGTTGGATAGAGAGAACTGTCAAAAGCAAAAAGACATCAATGGATCAGCAAGAGGCCTTCTACAAACATTCGGACTGACTAAGTGACTGATGAGTGCAAGCCCTGATCGGGACATCTCTGGCACGAGGAGCACTGTCCTTCAGGTGTCCACAGCTCATTGCCATTCCATTCCATTCCATCTTCTTCCGCTTCATCCGTTGCCGGGTTGCGGGGGCAGCAGTCTAAGCAGAGACGCCCAGACTTCCCTATCCACACAGACTTCCGCCCGCTCATCCGGGGGGACCCCAAGGCTGCAAACCGCCCCAGTGCATGTTGCAGGTCCTGGTTCATTGGAGCCAACAGGACAACATTGTCCGCAAACAGCAGAGATGAAATCCTGTGGTCTCCGAACCGGACCCCCTCCGGCCCCTGGCTGCGCCTAGAAATTCTGTCCATAAATACTGTACAGTGAACAGAACCGGTGACAAAGGGCAGCCTTGGCGGAGGCCAACATGCACTGGGAATGACTTACTGCCGGCAATGCGAACACAGCCCTAACAGACAGTCCTAACATCCAGAGACTTTAGATAGTCAGGACGGATCTCATCCACTCCCGGCGCCTTGCCACCAAGGAGGCTGCTAACCACCTTGGTGACCTCTGCCAGGGAGATGGAAGTATACGCCCCAACATCCTCAGCCTCTGCCTTCGGGACGGAGGAGGTGACGGGGGGATTGAGGAGAACCTCGAAGTATTCCTTCCACCGCCCGACAAGCTCATTGCTTCAAAGCTAAAAGTGGTATATAGAGGATACATGTGCTTCAAAATCCTTTTCTTAAAAACATTTTTAAAAAAGCTTAAATGTGTCTTTAAAGCGGAGCTGAATCGGAATCCTCGGAATCTTATGAAAAATAGTGGAATGGGAAAGTGCTGTGGCCAAAGCTACAAAGCAGCGTTTTGATGAACTCTGTTTTCTAATGATTTTGGCGTTAAGTTGCACGTAGAGCTAGAACTCCTCTGCTGCGCACAGACCTGGGTCAAATCAAAGCTGAAATCCTTCCAAATACTCGGCAACGCTCGCCCGCCGCCGCTGCCAGCTGGGTGCGATTTGTAGTCATTTTGAACTGTGGCTTGTGCCAGACAGGCTCAATTGATCAATCTCACACAAGTATTTTTCATGAGACTTGTGACTTGGGCCTGGTAGTGTGGACAGAGGACTACAGCATGCAGGCCTGTGCCATCCTTTCATTCTGCCATAAAGCGAAGAGCGTTTCCATGGATGTTCAAGAGTAAAGCCTATCGAGTAAGAGCAGCGAGAATTCTTAAATTATCTGTAACAAAACGAGATAAAGGAGGCATTCACTTTTCAGAAAGACGGTAGAAAAACTATACCCCCTTCATACTAAAACAAACAAATAAATAAATTAGAAAAAAAATTCAAGTTATTCTCAATAATACAATATTCAAAATAAATACGTTGGAATGCAGCTTTCAATCCCTTAAACATATCTGCCTCTGAGGAACACGAGCACATGCTTCGTCTGGGTGCTAATTGAACAGAATCATCAGTGGCATATGTTTTCAATAATAGAAGTGCTAGAAGTTAGAAGTTCATCCACTTTCTCTGAGCTAAACCGTAAGGCTTACTCGGCTTGAGAAGACAGACAAGTTTTTGGGGCGAGGGGGATATTTGAAAATGCTCAGACTGGAAGACATGATGAGCACAAACAAGGTCCAGACCAGAGGGGGGCAGGACGCCTCGGAACAGCCCAGGAGTCTAGCGGCAACATGCTCCGACCATAAACTAAGACAATAGCACTTTACGTTTCATTTACATTCGTCACGCTGTGGTTTCAAACTCCAAAACGAGTCCCTTCTTATCGACTTCCACCTGCCCACGTAATCCCAGCTAACACTTTAATGTAACTATCAAACATGTGAAGGCTGTTGGATGTGTCCTGTCCCCCTCATTGTCACATTTTGGTCACAAAACATAAAAAAACACAATGGAGCAGGAAGGCGATCCGCTTTCCCTCCTACATTCTTCAGCCATTTTTGTTTTTTTTTCTTGAGGTGCCTTTTTCACTCAGCCCTAAGAATTAACAAAGTTCTTTTTTGTAGAATAATACAATAGAAAAAGTTAAATAGAAAACTGATGAACAATAAATATAACACATATATAGTAGCAATGGCTATGATCGATGTAAACCCATAAATTGTTGATGCAGACCTCAACAAATTCTCAAAAAACCCTTTGATACAAACCCCTCACTTAAAGTACAGTAGCCGTAAGAAAGATTCATTTCATTCTCGGAGCCATGATATAACAATATGTCACAGTAAAGCTTTTCCAACATGGACACGAAGTACCGTTTTTGCCTTTCCCTTTTTCGGAGAGGGGGTTTGAACAAAAAAACTGGGAGAACAATCAGACAAACTATTTTCCTCTTATTTTCACCTCTGAGAAACTGCATTGTGGGTAATGAGTGAGAGGCGCATCAGTTTGTAGACGTGCGGTGAGTTGAGGAGACGTAAAACAGATTTGTATTAGCGTTAGCAGTTGTGATCTGCAGCATTGTGTAGCGTAGCACCGGGTTTCAGTAGTCGCAGTGGGAGGAGGAGAACGAGCTGTAGTACCTGTAGTAGTAGTAGTAGTAGTATAGTAGTAGTAGTAGTAGTTGTAGTAAAAGTAGTTGTAGTAGCAGCAACAATAATAATGGATTGCACAGAGCAAAACCTGAGCCTGAATCCTGCTTGTGTCGACAGTATGAGGTGGTGTGACTCTCACTATTTCAGCTGCTTCCTCATTCGAACCTTTTGTCTACTCGCAAAAAGCCTGAGATACAACCAGTTATGGCAGTTTGGGTTGAAAATACACTAGTTCTATTGTAGAAATAAGAAACGACGTTGAATAGTGTGTTTGGTTAAGTGCTTCAAATCACGACAGGTTAGCACTGATGCGCGCCGTGTTATAAATAGAGAATACAGACGAGGAGTGAAAATGAGAGGAGAAAGTAATGATAAATAAAAAAGCTAAATGAGATCGGTCAGGTAAGAGTCCCGCTGTGACCGACTGTGATGTCACTCCGTCGACAGCTTTACTCCCGCCCGCTGGCCGAGTAGGAAAACTGCGGGAAGTGCGGTCGTCTCTCATTGTCCAGACAGTCCATACCGTCCTCATCGACTGAAAAACACAAATCATTCAATGAAACACGACTCACTTCAACATTATTTACTTAAAAACCTGAAAAGGCCTGCCAAACTCAGGCCCCTCAGGAGATTTTAAATTATTAACTTTCAGCATTGATAGTAATGGGCTACAATGGCATGTTATACATCATTTTAGACACCATATTATTTCATTTATTCTAAACCCACAATGTAATCTGCATCAGTCTTCCATTACATCTCATTTATATTTAGTCCTATTTTGGTTCAATCCAAAAGGTAAACATACAGGAAAATCCACACACCACACAAGAATACCACTTTTATACTTTTGGCCCCTGACCAGTTCTTATCTCTTGAATCTACCCCCTGACCAAAATGAGTTTGACGGTCCCGGATTAAGAGGAAGAAAAACGTATAACTTTAAAATCAATCTCGAATGCGAGTTATTCAACAAACTGGATGGATAAAATATGTTTATATATCATTGCGTTCAAAAATCTTTATTTTTTTCTCAATAAGGGCTAAAGTAGTAGTGGGAGAGAGGTGTAGGGTCAGAGAGTGTTTTGGGCCAGTGTGCTGTCAGAGAGAATGTGTGTGTTGTCAGAAAGAGAGAGTGTGTATTATGAGTGAGTGAGTAAGTGTATGCAGTGTGTGTGTGTGTGTGTGTCAGAGAGAGTGTGTGTGTGTGTGTATTAAATGAGTGAGAGAGAGTGTGTGTGTGTGTGTGTTGTATGAGTGAGAGGGGGTCTGCTTCATCCAACCTATTTTCAAACTGTATTGCTGTTTATCTGCGTATCCTTTTTTTTTTGTCTTCTACATAAGTATGGACAAGATAAATCGCTTTACGAATCGCACACAACTCCATGGCACTTTATTCCGCTGTTGATTTACACATAAATGTTTCAATTAGCAAATGTCTTTTATGTGCCAATCTCTCGCTAACTAGCTGATGTGCGACCTACAAAACAAGCAGAGCCTCGCTGTTAAAAGCGCAGAAACACATTGCATTCCCGTCATGCATAATTCAGTGGCAAACATTTGATAAAACCTGTATCTGGATTTTTTCAAAAGCCGTATGTGGCCCGAGGGTTATTATTCCGCCACTAGAATAAACACACAATCACGCGTCGAAAGCACTCATCCACCCCCACTTCATTTGGAGAAACGAGAGGCGGCTCCATGCGCAATTAATCCATCTGATAAAAAGTGAGGTGGGGTTTTGGCCTCTGTTCCTTTGTGCGGACTCACATTTCTCTGGTGGAGTTATGGTGATGGTCTGTGCCGTGAACTCCTCGTCGAAGTATCTGGTGTCTGTCTCTGACGTCACCTGAGGCTTAAAGGGAGGGACCAGCTGACGCAAAAGAAAGACAGGGTTTTACTTGAGATCATTGCCAGAACGTGTTGTTAGCTTAAACAAGAACATACAAAAGTTACAGAGGGAAACAGGAAAGTGAAAGTTGGGGAAAGTGCAGATGTAGAGAGGAAAAACAGGCTCTCGGGAGGTGGATATGCAGCGAAGACATCTGCTCTGATCAGAGGTGTGACACAACAGCCCTGGGGTTATGGGGGCTTCTGTTACATCCTCCATGCTGCCCTGCATACATTTCCTTTTCAACACCACACAGACTGCGCTGAAGGAGGAGCATGACCCCCACACTCCACTGGAGCCTCTACAGCTGTTCCTCCAAGAGTTTTATTTAATCATTTAATGTACAGATCCACTTGTAGGTTATGCTCAAAGTGTGGTTATTAATGGTTATTTTGGTGTACATTTCCTAAGTGACATGTTCTTAATTAGCACCGCAGCAACAAAATCCATAACCCTAAGGCCAGGGATCCACACTTCGAGGGCAAAGAGATTAGAGGGTCTGCAGAGCTTTGATCCAAGTCCTTCAAAAGATTATCAGTAAATTAAATGAGGCGAGAACTGATGTGATATTCATGTATGTGATACATTGATGGTTCTGGTTCTGGTGGAAAAGTGTTTGCTGTGTGAGCCTTTTGTTTGTACATGTATGTTTTAAGAGTGTCGACGTATTCAATACAAACTAAACTCTTTGCTTTTCATAGATGTGGCAATACCTGCTTGTCAAATCAGCTGAGCAGTGCAGGGCCTGCTGTAAAACCCAGGTGCCACGATACAGTGTTGGCCCAGCAGAGACTTGAATATAGTCTGTGTGTGAGTGAATGGTGGAGGCAGACTGGAAGGGCAGCTGCGGCTGCTTTTCTAATTCTATTATTTGTTGTATATTTTATTCAATTACATGTGAATTGTATTTTTCTCTAGCAGCACTTTGGAAACTGTACGTTTATGAAGTGTGCTATGAATACATTGGATTAAAGCTTCTTTGACCCCTATAAATTGTAAAAAAAAAAAAAATTTACATGGAAGTATTTGACTTGTCTCTGTGCTTCAGCAGTACCTTTTTATCGTAGACGTCCTGCCATTCGATTCCAGTGAAGAAACTGTGTCTCATTATTTCTTTAGCGTCGTCAGGTCCTCCCCCGAGCCTGAGCAGTGACAAAGGTAAATCAGAGTGACGTCCTCGGACCACTGCAGTCCTCGACTCACTGACCTCTTGTTGGGGTCTTTGATGAGCAGGCCGGACAGCAGAGACTTTGCATCTGAGGAGAGCGTGCGTGGGAACTTGATGTCTTCCATGAGAATGAGCTCGAACAGCTTCTCGTGGTCCTGGTTGTAAAAGGGCAGACGTCCACACATCATCTCGTACGTGACCACGCCCAGACCCCACCAGTCCACCGCACGGCCGTAGTCGTTATCCTCCAAGACCTGAGACACACACATTGTTTTTACTGCTGTTGCTTTATGAGGCCATTTGCTTTTACTGGGTCTATGCCTTTATTCAGCACTTATTTTATTGGTTTAGAGCTGGAAGGTGTTTTATTTCAGTAACAGATCAAGCTGTGAAAAAACCTGCTTAGGCCATTTTAGCCTAAGCATGTTTATATAAATATTGAATATAACATGAAAACTGTCATGGATTAACTGACATTTCTAGTTATTCATATATTAAATTTATAAATGAGAATCACTTTGTTTCCACAGATTTCTTTTCCATGAAATTAACCCATTTTAATCAAAAATCCATCTAGTTTTTAAGCCATAGTTTGAGTCATCTACAAGTTTGTTTTGTCAATATTGTTTTACTTTTAATTTTGTGTTAGTTGCTTTAGTTTAGACATAAACAAAAACAATGAGACATTCTTTGGTTGATGTTGCAGAGGCCTTTTATCTTGGCTGGTCCTCTGGAGACGACTTACAGTTTTCCTCCACAGTGGACTTTGCCAAGTGTCTCAAAAGGACCCACAGGAGAGGGTCAAGGCTAGTGCTGCTTGTTCACTGTTGTGAGTTAGTGTGTGCTTGTTGTGAGCGTGTGTGCTTGTTGTGAGCGTGTGTGCTTGTGCCATGAGCTGGAGGAAAAACTCGCTCCTCCATCAAAGAGTGCCCGAGAACATGGCCCCAGCTCCTGTCTGAAAGAATGGCCCTAACTTCTCTGCCTCCTCTTATCGCTGGCTTCCTTCCGGTCTTTCATCCTCTCTCTTCCAGGACGAAGGAACATGCCGCAAAAGTGTTTCAGGTGCAGCACTGAGGCCTGTTCGCATAATAAGCTTATTAACATGTTCCACAGTAATGAGTGTGCACTGTACTCTGGTGTGTGTGAGTGACAAGCTGATCTGGAGAGGGGCCAGCGCAGCATATGCTGCACATCTCGCCAATAATAATAACATCCCTGTAAATAATGGAGCAGGCTGGGTGGACATGACCGCACGCTAACACACATTAATATAGACATGCAAACAGATTTTTGACCAAGCACTGGAGAAAGTACCACAAACCAAATGGTTTAAAAATATACTGTACGCAGCGACTGAAGCGATACACGGCGATAGAAACTACGGGACAGCTGGCAGTGGCACACACAAGTGAATAAATAGATTCAAATGAAGAGCTCTGAATAGGATAAATAAAGCCTGTTATAAATGATCAAACTATGTGAGATTGTTAAATGCTGGATTTATCTGCCTTAAAGAATGACATGTTTATTATTATTAGTACTTCTCTGTCCGTGTAATCTGTAATCGCTCAGTGGTAGAAAAGGTTCAAAGCTCCTCATCTGGACAAGACTTTGGAATGGAGATGTTTTGGCCGACATCCAGAAGTCACTCTAATTGTGAAGAAACTGAGAAAAGAACCATGTACGTAAACAGTACAAGGACATTCATACATTCTGCTCATGAAACAAGTACCTTCAGGTAGAAAAGGTATTTTTTTTTTTTTTTTTTTATTACCTGAAGTTACAACAGACTTTTGATAAAATCCCTTGAATATGAGGGTCAGTGGAAAGTCCACGACTCGCTGTTGGTCTGAACACTTGAAGCATTCGTGATGCTTGAGTTTGACTAACATGGGCTGCATTTCACCACAGTCTTCCTCTGTGCGGTGTGTGCGTTAAGCTGGTCACCCTGTTGGCAGCTGCAGACACAAGCTGGGGAACAAAGTGTGCCGCCAGCTCCAGATATTCTATTGATTGGTACGGCTGGAGGGATAACACTGGCTTAGGCTGCTGGGAGACTGTCAGACGCTCACACACACAGCAGATGGAATATTTATCTGTCCTCATCAAATTCATAAAGTTTTCAGAGACAAATCAGGAGGCGTTTGGTGTTGGTTCAGTCCCTGTAGCAGGAGCACAGACACAATTCTTTATGAAAATGATTAAAAATCTTCAATTATCATCAGCTGAACTGTGTCTGACTTGTGTTAGCTTGTAGCGATTATAATGTTTGTCTGGGTTCAGTTTTAAATGCACACAATCTTCATATCTTCATATATGTATAGCACAAGTGCAACCGGGCAGAGAGACCTGTTTTGTTAAGGTGTGCATTTTTGTGTTGGGACTGGAATAGTAGAGCAGCTCGGCCTAAGGTGGGGAGCAGATTAATTCACACAGAGCCAAGACGATGCCCAACTGCCCAAAGCGGAGCCCAGCAAGTGAAGTATCAGAAAGATGTCCATTTAAAATAACACTCTATGTTAAATAAGATTTAAGGAAGATTAGAACAATTCAAAATGTAAGAGTTAGTTAAGCGAGAAAAAACATGAGTTTGAGAAGCTCTGTAACTGGTGGGACTCAGTGGTGGCAGCTAAGAGCAGCTCTTGGGACTGGGCCTTGGCAGAACGGACACCACTGCATGGGACAGGACAACACACAGCCTGTGGCTGTCCCCGCTCCTCCACAGGAACTGTACTGGGCCCAACAAGCCCCCACAGGGCAGAGCTGCTGGAACACCACACAACAACCAGCACTGTGTGCTTTCCAGTCATTTCTTACCAGGAAAACTGTATGTGTTTAAGTTTTGAAATAATTATCCTTGATTCTTTGTAGTAAGACAAGGTTAGACAGGTGAGGATATTGTTTTTCGTTGTCACTTTGGACAATGCCTTGTCAAAAATCATATGGACATTTCTGTAATGACACGGGATCTTTCACTCACGTACCCCCGAAACCTCTCCTTTTACCCCTTTAGTGGTGCTCCTGTGCATGTCTGTGTCTTGGCTCAGAGGGAGCCGTGTTATTTTTACATGCGGGCGGGCGGGCGAGTAGAGCGTGCAGGCGGCGAGTGGCGCTTGTGCTGGTGTAGATTTCCAGGTTTTTTCCGAGCACCTTCCTCCAACCTCGCCCATCTGCCGCCATCTGCCTCGCTTTAGCCTGCACTTTCTACTGCATCACACACACATAAACGCACATCCTGTGAAAAATAACCAACAGCCTCCAATCAGCTTTTGGCACGCAAAGGAAGAGAAAAAAAACCTCAAAATACTGCGCCAAATTGTCCTCCATACTTTTTCAAGTGGGATACGCTCTATATGGTTGTCCCCTCCACATCGCCACCCACAGTCCCACGCACCTCGCCAGTTGATCTAGCGGCCTTAGTAGGAAGCAGCGCTGAGAGCTGGCTCCTGGACAGCTGCAGCAGATCTCTATGAATGTGTTAGATGTATGAATATATGAATGCACATATTATTTCATTAGTGGAAAGCCAATATTTCCACCATCAGAGAAAACGTCAGAAAATATGTGCTTTGAGAATTAATAATAGCAGTGTTAATAAATCCATAAAGGAAAGTGAATAGATGTTTGAAACCAACACCTCTAAAACAGTCTTTTTAGAAGTGAAACATTGAGTCTGTGAGAGCACCAGTGTGAATGTGTGTGGTGGGCACAGTGTGTCCCCTGGTTCACAGGGGCCAGCGAATCCTTCAGTGGGACAGCCTCAGCGCCTAATGGACGGACCGCCTGTGGATGCGCAGATGCTTTTATGTAGTACAAAGCCTCAGACAATCTGCACAGTTTACAGAACTCAGTTTACTCACATAACAGCCAATGCAATCTGTGTCATTTATCATTCACGCCGTTCCAAGGCTTTGTCATATACCAAACTGGATTGGACTTGGCTATCGAAAGCTCGAATGCTCAAAAGCAGGTTACAAAAGAAAAGCAATACTTTTGTTCCTCTGTGGTGTGTCTGTGGTGTGTTCAAATGTGCTTGTCTCAGTCCCAGTACTTTTCAAAGTTTTATTACTGCTGTAAATAATTTGACTGCTGCAGAGACATATTGTCATTTTATAAGTAATTTCATTTATTGCGGTATAAGCTAAGAAAACCCTTTTCTCCCACAATAGATTAAGAGATCCTTTATTTGTCCCACAGTGGGGAAATTTCAGTGTTGCATCACAAGTTATAGAACAGTAGGAAAGAGGAGCACAGAGCACAAGATAAGTGAATAATAGCTATACTAATTAAAATAAAACAAAATCTCTAACTATAGCATCAAATGACAAGTCTCTATCTTGAAAATAATAATAATAAAAAAGAAGTGTAAAAGTTTTACATTTGGCAAAATAATAGACAAGTATAAGGTACTGTGTTTTATAGTGCAAGCAATGTGTAGTTACTGTATATGTTGGCATCTGTACATTAGCAGCAGTATGTTTACATCTGTACATTAGCAGCAGTATGTTTACATCTGTACATTAGCAGCAGTATGTTTACATCTGTACATTAGCAGCAGTATGTTTACATCTGTACATTAGCAGCATGAGGCAATAGAGACTTGTCTGAGCGTCAGACTAAAGAGCCCTGCAGGATAATCAATTAATAATAATCACATGATGTGTCCCATTTCTTTGTCTCTTTGAGTTGTGCAGATTTGCCTTCTTACCATGTTATCATGGGGCAGACAGTTCAATCTCCAGGATACATAAAAGCTGGGAGTCGTTTTTAAATAAATGTTAAATGTGTGCTGTTCAGGCGTTACTATATTTATTGTAAGTGATGTTCCACATGATGAGTAAATGTGTTATAGTTCAAGAGTCAGACTAAAATTGGGAAAAACAATAGCTCTTTTCAACAAGCAAATATTTGTCAGATATTTAAACTAAATACACGTTGTTGTATAATTTGGAAATGGTATCTGTCCATCCATCCATCCATCCATTTTCTACCCTTTAATCCATTTCTGGGTCAGGGGGGTGGCAGTCAGAGCTGCCACCCAAGTCTCATAGCACCAGCCCCTCACTGACCCTCTGCAGGTGGTGAGTCCACAGGAGGACGGCTGCTCTCTGAGTGTGAGCATAGACTTGGTCTTTCAGCAGGGGCTTTGGGCAAAGTGGGGTTAAGCGTCTTGCCCAAGGACACAACGACAGCAGTCATCAGTGGGAGTCGGTGGAGAAGGTGTAGAGGTGGGAATTGAACCTACGACCTTTTGGCCTGAAGGCCAACGCTCTACCAACTGAGCTACTGTCGCCCCCGAAACAGTATCTGGAAATACATATTTATATATTTCCTGCTTTATTATTATGAACATAACACCTATGGGGGGATCAATAATGTAACTATCCATCTATTGTTCTACCTATCCATCTAACTAATACCATACTCCGATGAAGATGATTTCATTTCCACTCCCTCCATCTTCAGCTAAACTGTGCGAGTGCAGAATCGTGCATGAATGTGTTTGAAAGGAGGAAGTGTGAGGCGGAACAATGGGACGGAGCTCGAGTGGAAGAGAGGTGTTACCTCAGGGGCCAGATACTCCGGCGTCCCACAGAATGTTTTCATGGTGGCAGCGTCTGTGATACCCTCTTTGCACAGGCCAAAATCAGTGATCTTCATGTGGCCATCTTTGTCGAGCATCAGGTTTTCTAACTGCAAACACAAAGCAAAACAAAATGAGTCTCAGTTAAAATCCTATCACTATGAAGAAGAAGAAAAGGCTTTTAAACCGCAATGAAACTCAGGTGCAAATAAACTTCACGAGTGTCACAAAGCACTTTCATTTTACAGTTCTGTTTAGTCTCTGCACGTTCCACATCTGTCCCTCGAGAGTCACTACACGTTTGTCCTTTTCTTCCATTCACTCATCATCTCAACCATTTAACTCACTTTTATGTTTTATTCAGATATCATTCATTATCGATAGAATAACAAGGTAGATTGTTTTTGGGATCTGATCCAGATTCTTGGCTCCTCAGGTGGTGCTGATGCTGACACCAGTCTGAGATATTTTAAAATACATACAGTGAAGTCAATTAAATGGATTTAGAAACTTCAGAGAAAAACAAATATTCAAAAGACATCTACAGTATGTGAGTTTGCCCAAACATGAGAAAAGAGCTGCAGGAAAACATTAAATAAGTACCACTCATAAATACATATCAAGTGGAAGAAATATGTTTTTTGTTTCATTGTCTCACAAATCAAACTCCTGACTTTGTAGAAAGTAATATGAATAATTCAAGAGTATCACCCCTGAATACTGTGGCATTGAGCCATACAATAACTGACCAAAAAATATGTAAGCTTCCCGTTTCTACTGACTATATGAAACATTAACATTAACATCTACTTAAATAACACAGACGCACATTCCACAAAGACAACTCTGCAATTAAATTTGTCTATTCATTGTTTTTACTTCCTGGTTCATGCAACATTTTGATACTAGTTAATGATCTGTGAAGATGTTCTTGCGTGCCTGCTCCACTCTTTACCTTGAGGTCTCGGTACACGATCTTGGCTGAATGCAGGTAGTCCAGTGCAGACACTATCTCGGCTCCGTAGAAGCGCGTGCGTTCCTCTGAGAACACTCTCTCTCTGGACAAATGGAAAAACAGCTGCAGAGAGAAGAGAGGAAGACGAGGGTGACACAACGAAGAAGAGGGAGGGGGCAGCACGGCAATAATTACTGATTTATTGGAGGAAATTAGCACAACACAAACTGGCTGCCCGCACCATATTGAGATGATAGATAGCGGAGGGGAGGCTTTGGGGGGAGGGGGGTCTCGGAGGAGGGAGGGGGGAGTCGCTCGGCAGCTGGCGCCTCATCCAGCACATATACCTCCACTGCGCTACCCTCTGGGCGCCTTTGGCAGCGTCCTGAACTGAGTTTGGTGACAGGGCCAAATCAAGGGTTTAATCAAAACACTAGTCAAGTTAAAGATAAGACTCAGTGCTGCCAGCAGATCCTTCCTCTTGGAAAAAAATACACATTTTTGGCAAGTTCAAAGTGAGAGATGACATTTTGGTGATAAACTTTGCATAAAAAGGAAGAGCAAAAGAATGATGTTGTGATTGTAAATGTTTGCCACATCAATGTTTTATTGATTTAAAAGCATGGTTTTTTGAATGGTGTCATCTTCGTTTATTGGTCTTTAATTAAATTCTAAAGGAGATACTGTAAAGTTATAGCTCAATATCATAGCACAACTCAGATTTCCTGTTTCCTTCTCCTCACTCATCCAGCTGCACAGCGCCCCGACACCCGCCTGCTGTGCCATATAAGTCAAGTTGTACAAATTACCCGCGAGACCTGGGGACGCGCAGCTCTCCATTATTGCAAAGGGGGTTTGCATATGGCCGCTGGAGTGATGCGTGCAGACCACCTCGCTCAGATGGAGAGAGGAAACACGACAGGTGGGCCTTCATCAGTGCACTGGCAGCTGTGACTGTGGCAGCTCCGTAATGGGCTGTGTGACTGTGCGAGTTTGTGTGTGGTCACAATTTGCCCGTTGAGTTAAAAAAAAAGTGTGTTAGCAGCAATGTGCGTGTGTGTGTTTTGGGATGTGTGCGCGCGGCTCGAGCCAGTGCTGGCTGAACTGTCAGAGCGACTGGGAGGGGAGCAGGTGACACGGACACCCAGGGAATAAACCAAGATTGTGAAAACGTCCCGATTAAAAATCTGAGAAATGGAAAAGCAGGAGATTCCAAACTAATTTTGTTTCCGAATGTCATCTTGGCTGTATCTGCCCCATAGGTGTGTTCATAAATAGATTCAAGCGGAGGCAGGCGGGGAGGCAGGCAGGAGGCTGAATTAACGTGTTAGGACCAAATCAAACAGGAAAACTTCAGGCGGCTCAGCGTTTTTCCTCTTTTAACATCCTGCACTCGAGCCAAGACTCAATACAACTTTATGAACGGTGTCCTTTTGTAGTTTATCTTAACATGCATTTATAATGATTAGTTCACATGGTTAAGGGAACCAACCAGAAAGTACGCATTTTGGTCTTTTCAAAATGAAAGGAACAAAACACTAAAGCCACACTTTTCAGAATCAGACGTATGCACAGGAGGGTACAGTAAAAAATATTATCCTTATATAAATTTAAAGCTTTTTAATTTAAAGTGCCTAACATTTTTCACAAAGAACCCTGTGGGTCACTATTTGATTATTTGGTCTGAGAGCAGAGTCGTCGAATGTTCACTTTTCGGTCTGAAAAAGCGGATATAAAGATGTGACAGAACATTGTGGCTGAGCAGTTAGCAGTTCGCACTCTCGCTTCTCAGCAGAAGGTCCTGGTTTCGATTCCACCTCCAGACTTGGCCTTTCTGAGTGTGCTTATTCCTAAGGGTATCGTGTGTTTTGGTTACTACGGCAAGAGTACACATGTTTTAATCTCAGTTTCTATCCTGAACCTGTGTGTTTTTATGTTTATCAATAACAAAACTTAAAAATAGATATGCACATGAGAGAAGCAGACAGTATTGTCCACACATCTTTCATTTCAGATGACAGAAATGATTGTGCAACTCATTGTTTTCAGCTCACGCCTCTTCTTCTGACCTCCAAAGGAATTCAGAAGATGGTTTGAGTACGACTCAACGTGCTTTGGACGCTTCATTCAATTTGACTCAAAAATGTGGATTTATATTATTCCTTTTTTTATACTTTGATATTGTTGCAAAAGAGGTTGCAAAAGAAATTGGATTTTTTTCTATGTCATTATTATTGTGAAATGATCTTTTATTTTTGAATTGTAAGTAGGTTCTCTGAAGAAATGCCGGAACAGAGAGAGTACTAGTTACCATACCAACACACAGTACCTTTAGCAGTTAGCAACTTGGTCACTTATGAATAAAATATGTTTGCTGCATTTCAGTTATATTCACCAGTTTTTGCACTTATTAAAAGTTAGAAAAAGTGAAAAATTTAAAAAATACTTTTTGGGGGGAATTTCTCTACCGATTTGAATGGGAGCAGTCGAAATTATGGCTCTAGGAGTTCTAGAAGTGTAAGTGGTGTCAGTTACTGTGGTAACGCTGTGGTCTAACGGCTGAAGAAGTAAATGATAAATGTCAGAATACAGTAAAAGCTGCAGTTTTAGATGTGTTTCTTACCTCGCCCCCATTTACATACTCCATGACAAAACAGAGGCGGTCTTTTGTCTGGAACGAGTACTTCAGAGACTGCAACACAAACATGTACATGTGTTCAGCCATCAAAACAAATCAAACAACTCCTGTGCGTATTGTTTTACATTAACCACAAATATAACCGTTTTTATGTTATTTTACTACAAATAACAACTATTCTAGGGATGACCTGAAAAAATACATTGTTGTCTTTCAATTTTGTCAAGTGCGACATTTCGAAGCAAATGAGTGAACAATTTCTCACGCAGCAAGCAGTCTTTTCTGGGTCTAACTAACGCAACAGGAGCAGGAAAACAGCATCATTCATAGCTCCACAGTGTGCGCTTGTGTCAGGAGTGCGCATGTGAAGAGGCTAAACAAAAGAGCAGTTAATGGGAGCGCTCTTTGTGGCTGCAGGTGTGACAGGGCACAAACTCAGATGTGAACTGTATGTAAGTGTGTATTATTATTGTCACAGAAGTCACAAAGTACAGTAGCAGCGAAAACAACCGACAGATGCGGCCAGAATGTAGGACAATGAGCAACGCTTAATTAGCCCTGGGAGACACAGAACATACAGATGCAGTCTGGAAGATGCTTTTATTAAAAACTATTTTGCTTTAGGTTACTGTATTTCCTTTGATAATTCAATTAATCATTTAAAATACATATGTGTGATTTCTATCTACATTGTACGTGAAGTCAGACATTCTTATATAATATTTACTGACAAAACTAATGTAAAAAGCCTCTATGTATTTCTTGTTTATGAAAAGGTTTAGAATCACAGCTGTAAAAGTCTTAATACTTGTATATTTTCTGTTTGACCACCATCAAAAGCTTTATTTTGATTTATTTATTTGGTTGGGACAAATGTAAACAATCAACATGTGGAACACTACAACATTTATACCCAAGGCTAATTTGGAATCTCTGTCTCAAGAAGGGCTTCAGACAACATTTAAAAAAACTAATTTTACATTGACGCATCCACATTAGGCAAAGGCAGGTGTCCGTCAAGTCATAGACGGTCACGGAACTTTGTCTTCAGCCGAGGACCTTAAGTTTAGTTTGAGAGCTTTGCCCTGGACAGAGAATGTTCCAATGTTGTTCTTTTCAGTTTCCTCACAGCTCATAGTCGACGCTGTGGCCTGGGACCAGCAGGAGATACAGTAACAAGGTGTGTACAAGGTTTGCCAATCAAATCGTCCGCTCAGTAATCAGCTGATATTTCACTGTTTTTTGCCAATTTTTTAATCATTGAAAGTCACTGACCACCAACTCATTTGATCAGATTCAAGCTCCACCCAAAAAAACATATAGATACAGATATAAATATGATATTTCAGAGGATGTCCTCATGTAGTGTGGTGGTACTCACTGTTAGAAACGGATGCCTGGTGTTCTTCAGAACTCGACTTTCTGTGAGTGTGTGCGCCACTTCATCCTGAAGAGTGAGATACTTCTTATAAAAACTGTCCTGGGCTGTCGAGGTAATGTCGAAAACCAAACCAGGCAAACCTTGGCAATGATGACTTCTTTCTTTAGAATCTTCATGGCGTAGTATTTTCCACTGGCCTTCTCTCGTACAAGGATGACTTTTCCAAATGTCCCTTTACCAAGCAGCTTCAGGTAATCAAAGTCACTCATGGTCTGCAAAATAGGATCATACTGTAAAACATAACTGGAGAAATGTTCCTGCTTCTCAAAAAAACAGAGGAGCAGGTGCTATACAACTCCAACTGTAATATATGTGAAGTTAGTACCATTCATCATTATCATTATGCAATAAAAATACATCAAACTGACTTTGCGTTTGTGGTGCGTCGTGGATATGTCCATCTCCTCCTCCACCATGTTGTCGATGTTGGATGTTGGGCTGCACTGGATCCTTTCTTCCTCTTGCTTCTGCAACTTATCGGCCACCATCTGGATGGCTTCTGTCCACTCATCCCTGGATTACAGAAGAAAACATTTCTATTGAACCACTCAAGTGTGCGACGAGTTACTGTTGTTCTTAGACATTTCTTTATATGGTGGGACAGGAACCCATAGTCAAAAATAATCAAGTTTTTGAAACAGTTTTATATCATTCAAGACTCGAGACTCTGTCTTTTGATGTATCACAAGTGCCCATACACCTGCCCTGTTCAATCGTATGGCAGGGCCTTAATGTACAATCTCTTAAATGCTTTTCAATTACCACAGCATCCTATTTGTTCAGCAGTGAAGAAACATGGTCAGCCAGAGACTCAACCAAATGAGCAATGATCATGGAGCAGAACTAATACCCCCCAGTCTGTGTGGAAGTGTGTTGGGCCCATTCACTGAGAGCAGAAGCACATCCAGCAGTGAAGGGAACAATGCACTGCTGTTTGCTAACACTGTTCCTCCTCATTGACTTTCCATTAGAGCTGTTGTTCAACATCTGCTGAGCCAAAGAGCCACATACATTGTGTGAATGCATTTGTGTTCCTCAGACCAGCATCTGCATGTGCAGGCCTGACACTGCGTCATGATGACAGATACACCCCTTCAAGACACAGATTTTATCTTGTGAATCAATTTGGGAACATTTATGAGAGGGAAATTCTACTATCTTGTCTTCTATCCAAAGCTTGTGACTAGGGACCGACCAATTTATCATAATTGTAGCGTCTTGCAAGACATTGTAATTGGCCAAGATTTCAGCTTTTTCAAAAACATTTAATCATTGGAAATTACTGTCCCCACTCGGTCATCAACTTGTTCGGAATTTAGCTCCCCCAAAATAGACCTATAGATAAAGATATACTTATGCTATACCTGTACTATTACCTGTATTATAATCTATAAAAATTAAATATGCACTTTATTTATCTCTGCATTTGACCCATCCTGAACGCCACTTAAGACTTTATGACTAGCACTAGGAGCAAAATCCCTAAAAATGGTAACGGTTTAAAAGGATCCAAACCAGTCGTTCCCAAATCATGACCATAGGTGAGTGTAGGAACTTGACTGAATGGTAAATTAGCAGCTTTGCCTTTAAACTCTGATGCTTATACACTAGAGTGAACTTTCTTACGCTTCATTCTGCATTCACCTCCATCAACCTGAACCAAACTTCCAGTAAACGCTGCTTATAAATGTCAAAGCTGAATTGAATTTTTCATTTTAATTTCAAATGTCCCTCGTGCCAGTTGATCCGACTTCAGCTTCGAATGTCTAAAGGTTTCCTGCCTTGTCTCAACTCAAACAAAGTTAAGCACGCAACACATGCCAGGGTTGCACTCTGTAAACTTACTGGATCGAGGTGAAGCCAAAATTATATTCAAATATTGTCAAATCCTAAGCGCTGCTTTACACGCGCACACACTTTCAAATGGTTTTTCCTTGTGAAGCTGCGATAGATGGTAATAATGAAACCTGTTTGACTCCCAAATGATCACCCCGTGTCTTATGTTTTGTTTTGCCCATATGTTTCCTTGAGGGATCTGGAGAAAACATCCGTCTGAACCTAAACAGCGCTGTCTGTCTGTGTTTTTAAAGATCTGACTGGCTTTTTTACTTCTAAACATACCCTACACACTCCAAACAAGGGCAAACTTGCTAATGCGCGACAATGGAGTAATGGGTTTGAGACGGGCATGATGTGCGTCGACATGAAACGTGGTGGGAAACTCTCTCAAGGTCAGGCGGCAGAGAAAGGCTCCCTCTCATGGTTAGAGTGTTTTTTGTCTAATGAGTTTTTTTGCTAATGAGAGATAATGGGCTTGCCTACAGTCGGGCACGGTGCCAACACGTGCCACCCCTCTTTACTAACGGCTGGGGCTGTGAGAGCTGGAGCGTTGCCAGGTTGGTACAGTATGCCACATACAGTAGCGCACTGAACTTCAATAAAAAGTCTTTAAGTAAAACATCTGGGACTTTTTATTCTGCTGACCGAAAGAAATGGACAGTCATTAAAATGGACACATGCTCAATGCTGTATATTTGATTATCTACAGTAGCTGCATTTTAAAGCAACACATAAGAAAGGCAAAGTTGGACAGACAGCTGCAGCATACAGAGACAAACTCAAAGGATGCGCACGAGCATCTGCGGTCTACTGGGCAAAGCTGTTCATTTTCAGGAGATGAACACCTCAGCTCCTCAGAAAGGAGCCAAGCAGCTGGAGAATTTATGCCGATGCAACTTGAAAGGTCTTCTCTCCACTCGCTCTGCCTCACCTGCTTTTATTCCTGTGCGCACAAACGGCGGCAGAAAAAGACAAAAACTTTACACATGCTACTTTGCTTATTACTGTGCAAGTGGATAATTAGCCACATGAATGCAAATAGACTTTTAAAGGAGGGGATGTGGGTGTCAAGGGTAAATAAAAAAAACGTCTCAGTCTTTTCTTCCTGCATTAATAGTAAAATAGGTCATGTATGAATCTACCTCTCATCAGGAGAGTCCACGTGGAACGTTCTTTCGATGACTGTGGTCCACTGGAGACAGCGGATGATGAAGGTGTTTGGCTTCGGCCTCTCTGTCTTCATCAACTGGCATTCTGTAAAATAAATGAATATATACATGTTTAGAGTGTGTACGTAAATTCTGAGGAAGTAGGATTGTTTAAAGTATGTTTTACAGATGTTCAGATTTATGTAGAACATTCCGGTTCTCTCTGTACCCGACTTCTCTCTGTACCCGACTCCCATGAAACCTTCTGCATGTGGACGAACCCAAGCCGCTCCCTGATGCCGAGTCTGGCTGGGCTCCAGCATGAGGAGACATCATGGATCACAATCCTTGATTTGTACTAGCATGGGTGAATTCAGACTGATCCTGGTCTGATCCAACCTGTTTGCAATGGGAGACCCCAGGGGCATAATGCCCTCCAAAAATAAATGGATGTGATTGAAACTACTTACTGTTTGTCAGTAACATAGGACAATGTTAGCTGTTGGATCACAGTATTTTGTACAAACACTGGTCACAAAATGTGTTTTCGTGTGTTTTGTACTTTTTGCATAATTAGCTGTTTACTGTTTACAAGGAGATGAACAACAGTATTGTGCTTGTTCCATGAATCGACCAATAAATGTCTCGATTCAATAATAATTGAACAGTCCTCATCAACATGCTTATCACATATTGACAACATTAAACCAAAACAACACCAATATCACATCAGTGGGACCATCTGAGCTGCCAAGTAGAGGCTTGTTTTCCTGTACCCAAGAACCTCAGTGACCTGAGGCCTACCCTTCAAAAGTCATAAAAAAGACTAAAGTTAATGAGACATTAAAATTTACTCTTCAAATAAATGTTTGTAAATAGGAACTTCAATCCCAAACTTTTTGTGAGTAGTACACGTTGGATAACCAATACTCAAATGCATCATAAACATCAAATCAATGGCAAAGTGAATCTTTATGTACGCCACGGTATGTTGTGCTTTGTTGCTCAGATACATGTGGAAGAGTGGAGCTGTTTAGTGACAAAGGCCAATACAGTGGGCCATTATCATACAAATGCACATTACAGTACACAAGAGTTGGAAACTATTGTTTTATAATTTATATGACGCATTTTACAGACCAAGGTCACCCAAAGCGCTTTACAATGTTCAGATATTGTTCCAATCATTCCACACACGGTGATGATGGAAGCAAGTCGCTGAACACACTGGACCATCAGCCCCCAATCAACACCATCCATTCACTCTCTCATTTACATTTATACCTATTGTGCATGTTTTTAGTGGTAGGGGAAACCGGAGAACCCAGAGGAAACCTACACAGACACGGGGAGAACATGCAAACTCCACTCAGAAAGGCCCAGTTCCGACCGGGATTTGAACCCAGCACCATCTTGCTGAGAAGCGAGAGTGCTATCCACTCAGCCACCGTGCCGCCCTGTACATGTTAGCAGCATGAGGGTATGGGCTAAGTAAAGTGACAGTGAACACATACGGTCCCATATTATTTTAAGTTATTGCACAGATGCATGACATGTAAAAGGTGCGGTGCTCTATAGCATAGAAAGAGACAAGACTGACTTGCAGGTTAGACATAATGGAACAATACATTTCCTTGAGAAAGAAAAGTCCTTTATTGAAACATGGACAAAGCCTACGCACACCAAGCAAGTCAATCTTATCTCTTTCTAAATCAAGTAAATATATTTGTTTGCGTTTATGTGACATTACAGCATTTCAAAGAGCCTACAGTTGGGTAGCCTGAAAATCTTCCTTGGTAACTGTGGCAACTGTTAAAAGTCTCACACTTGTCGGTCTGGTTCACTTTAACTGGACATTTATGGACACTGGTCATCTGCCCAATCCCTCTATGTGTTTTTTTTATTTATCATTGCATTTATGCTGTTTGAACTTCTTGATTCTCTGATCTGCGTGGGCGAATCATCGTTTTTTTAAAAAGTTCTCCGTGGTCACTACTGTTGATTAAGGACGATACAAAAATGCATTAAATTGAATTGATCTGAACCATATCTGGTTCACTTGAGGAGGTAATGGGCCACAGATCTGTTTCAAAAGACACGTTCATTTGTTTGGTTGTTTTATATAATGATAATAATAATAATGCATAGGTTTTATTCAGCGCTTTTTTGCACACTCAAAGACGCTTCACATGTCAATATTCATTCACTCCATATAAGTTGTGACAATATTATAAACGTACTGTATGCATGACTTTTTCATCATTTAAGAACCCCTATCTTCAACATATGCACAACGATGGCCGGTACTACATGCAAATAATGATATAGGAAAACAATTGGACATTCATTTTCTTTTTCAACATTTTCTTTAGAGAGCAGTACTGGCACCTGCCTACCTGCTGAAATAAAACCAAAAGTGATTTCAAATAAAACAGGTCACACAGAGAGACTTGTTGATACAAGTGACCACTACATTATACAACAACCGTTACAGTTGAATTATTATGGTTAGAGGATGAAATCTAACCCGAAAACAAGTGTTCCAATTATTTTTTAATGTGTGATGATGAATATAACAAAAAGAATGTTTGGCCCTTCTCACCCTCTTACTAAAGCAGTGTCTTTGACTGAAGCAGTTGCCTTATTGCCCCTCTGCACACAGTAGTGATGGAGAGGAGTGTGCTTCTCCGTCAGCAGAGACCAGGACGAGCGGCCGCTGTGTAGCTCTATCTGTGACAACCATTTAAAGCGGATATGACAGCAGGCCGCGCTCGTTAACACGTCGCAGAAAAACACCTGCTCCGCTGATGGGAGCGTATGAGTGTGCGCACTACTCCTGTACCTCTGGGTGCAGAAGGTGTGTGTCTGTGCGCAGGGATTTGAACCAGCAAACAAACGGCGAGGAGATGCATCATTCAACAGGAAGCCAAACAAGGATGCTGCTCAGTGCCAATGCATCATCCGGATTAACAAATCACACCTTTCCTTTCATCCATTATCCCATCTTTGATTTTTTTTTTTATATTTTCACAAATCCACCCACTCAGCCTTCTTCTCCCGTTTGCTGTTTACTCAGGAACAAAGCATATTCTTTGGATAGCTGTCTGCTTACAAACAGACTGGTGTGAGAGGGGAGGTGGACTGTGAGGGCCTGTGGGAGGAGCAGCCAAAAAACCAAATGAAAAAACAATGTTGTGTAACTTTAAACGTGTAAATACTACTTCTACTCCAGCAGCGACAGACAACTTTCAACAAATTGCATTCGGTTTCACAGTCATGGGTTTCTCAGCTACGTTCTTAAGAACATTAAGATTTGATTAAGATAATGATTGTCTGACTGTTCGGTGTGCTTCCAGGTGCTTGTAGACATTCATTTGTGTCATTGCGCAGTTTAATCACATTAAACCACTCAGCACCAGGCATCACCACAGAAGATAAAACACACCCATCGAGGAAACTCACCCTGTTCAATTATGCTTTGGAAGATTCCACCTTGAAAGTTGTTCCTTTCAACGCACGGGCGCACGCGGACGCGCACACGCACATGTATGTATAAAACCCTGGCAAACTTTGCAGGAGTAAAATATGAATTGTTTAACAAATGGAAGGAAATAAAAAGAAAGTTAACTGATAAACTATTAAAAACTGGCAGTGATGAGCGGCCTGCTGGTCTGTAGCCAGTCTTTTCTCTGAGTCAGTTTCTACATCAAGTGTCCAACCAATGGAAGCCTGTGGCTGGCCACTTCATCGCTCAGCTGTCCAGTACAACTGAAAACATTTAAGCAATCCTTCTGGCCGGGCTGAGGCAGAGCGCACACGTCCACTGGGGGCGGGGGAGGGGGCAGCCAGGGGTGGCACAGACGGAGAGAGGAGATGGACAGTTGTCCAGACAGAACCGTCCAAACAAACACAGGCACGCACCAGCGCAAACACACACACACACGTGCAGTAACACTGTGCTGTTTGGGCCCATCCAAATCTCCCAAAGATCCAATGGTGTTCTGTCAAGCTATCCCATCTTGGCCCTGGCTGTAATGAGTCCAGCGAGCTCTCCCACTCTGGACAGCTTGTCTGGGGAGCCACATGTCTCTGGTTTGGACTGCTGGAGAAAACAGAACAGCCGGTCTCCTTCCCACACCATCTAACTCGGACTCCACACTTCAGTTTCATTAAGTTTACTGCACAACTTTACTTTTCCCTTAAGGCCAATTAGTAAATACTACACTATAGACTTCTTAAGAAGAGTCTGTTGCTTCTTGTTTCGAATGACATATATCAGCAAATAGGAGAATGAGAAGATGTTTGGACAGATTAAAATACACGTTATTAAAATAACGTGTATCACTTGTCGGATGCAATTTTCAGCTGAGTACATTCATATTCGAGTTAGTGTTTTCGTTAAAAATGGGCCTGTCACATTGAATTTGTACATATAATAAGCCAAAGAACCAAACCAGACTTTTTAAGAATCATTTAGATTTTCAGCAGAAAGTCTTGTTGGCACCTCTGCCAGTTGCAGCTTGTGGATTTAGCAATAAGAAAATGAATCAGCTGTGACTGTGCCTGTTCCAAGCTTTCTGATTGGACAATTACAGCAAGGTACAGACTAACTGCCACTCAATTAGCCAACTGATTAACTATTCATTTCAGGACAGAGGGGGACAGAGAGAGTGAAGAGGACGAGTGGTAAGTAGAAAATTGTAAATCTGAACTAGCGCCAACAAAGTGAGTCATATAGAAACTTTTCTCCCTCTTTCGCCTCGCACTTCTTCCAAACACCTCCAATCTTATGCCTGATGCTATAAACAACAGCGAGGAAAGCAGGGGAGAAGAAAAGCATGTCCGACAAATAAATAACTCCATAACTATGTGAGCTCACCAGCCATTTGTTAATCAACTCAAACAGGGATTTAATTTAATGCTTTGGCCAAGGTTGGAGCTGATATGCAGATGGCGCAGAGATGGGGCTGTGCGACTGGCGCTCTGGGAAACGGGAAGAAGAGCGGGGGAGGCGGGGGAGGAGGGGGTGAGGGATCAGGGTGCCACAGCGCTCCCGCGTTCCAACACAGCAGCTCAACAGCACAGAGAGACGCCT